CAGGAACCTTCTCTCTTTAAACATTACTAGGAATAGGGGCGCCTGGGTGGCTCAGTCGGTTAAATGTCTGCCTTTGGCTCAGGTCATGATCCCAGGGCCCTGGGATCGAGCCCTGCATCGGGCTCCCTGCTCAGCAGAAGGCCTCCTTCTCCCTCTTCCACTCCCCCTGCTTGTGTTCCCTCTCTTGCTGTGTCTCTCTCTGTCAAATAAATAAATAAAATCGTTAAAAAAAAAAAAATTACTAGGAATAACGGATTTCTTTTTCATATCCGATGTATTATAATCCATTACCATCATTGTTTTTCATTACAGTCAGATTTCCTAAACCTGGCCACATGGAGCTCCTTTTTTTTTTTTTTAAGATTTATTTATTTATTTGAGAGAGAGAGTTCACGCATGCATGCACGTGCAGGGGTGGTGAGAGGGGCTGAGAGGGAGGGAGAGGGACAGGCAGACTCTAAGCTGAGTGGGGAGCCTGATTCAGGACTCAGTCTCACAACCCTGAGATCATGACCTGAACAGAAGTCAGGAGTCGGACACTTAACCGACTGCGCTGTCTAAGCACCCTGAGACTCCAGCTTCTTCTTTTTTTTTTTTAAGATTTTATTTATTTATTTATTTGAGAGAGAGAGAGAAACAGCATGAGAGGGGATAGGGTCAGAGGGAGAAGCAGGCTCCCCGACGAGCCAGGAGCCCGATGTGGGACTTGATCCAGGGACTCCGGGATCATGACCTGAGCCGAAGGCAGTCGCTTAACCAACTGAGCCACCCAGGCGCCCCTTCTTTTTTTTTTTTTTTAAAGATTTTATTTGAGAGAGAGAACGAGCATGAGGAGGGGGGAGAGGCAGAGGGAGAAAGAAAGGGAGAAGCAGACTATCCACTGAGCAGGGAGCTCGATGTGGGGGCTTGATCCCAGGACTCTGGGATCATGACCTGAGCCGAAGGCAGATGCTTAACCGACTAAGCCCCCCAGGCACCCGGAGACTCCAGCTTCTTAATGCTTGTTTCCTTCCCTCTATAATTTTACTTTCTCTCCATAAGACATTCCTTCATCCTCTTCACCGTGCTTTTTCCCTGTTTTCTTCAGCTTCTCCTTTCCAAGCCACATTTTCTGCCCCCCCCCCCGTTCTGTCTTCTGCTCCGCACTATTATGAGTGTCCCACGGATCCCTAATCCACCCCCCCGCCCTGAGTTCCCTCCTTTTAGTTTTCATTCATGGACTCTCATTTAAAATCTTTCTTATGCCAGACTGCATTTACTGTGTATCTGTTTTTGTTAAGCAAAGCCATTCATGATTGCTGAGATGGGCTTTCTTGGGTATGAAATGACAGTTGCACCCACACTGAGAAATGAAATTACAGCCCAAAGGAAGGAAACCTGATACTTTAGTTAGCCACTCTGACACAAATAGGGAATCATGTACAGTCCAGGCTCCTGTGGTTGAAAAATTTTTTAAGTGTATTTACTTATTTAATCTCTATACCTAATGTGGGGCTCGAACTCATGACCCTGAGATCAAGAGTCGCATGCTCTTCCATTTTTTTTTGTAAAGATTTATTTATTTGGGGTGCTTAGGTGGCTCAGTTGGTTAAGCATCTGACTCTTCAGCTCAGGTCATGATCTCCTGTTGTGAGATGAAGCCCGGCATCAGGCTTCATGCTCAGTGGGGAGTCTGCTTCAGATTCTCTCTTTCCTCTCCCTGACCCCCTCCCCGGTCTCTCTAAAATAAATAAATAAAATCTTTTTTTTAAATTAATTAATTAATTTATTTGACAGAGAGAGAGACCCAGCAAGAGAGGGAACACAAGCAGGGGGAGTGGTAGAGGGACAAGCAGGTTTCCCCCCAAGCAGGGAGCCCAATGCGGGGATCCTGGGATCATGACCCGAGCCGAAGGCAGACGCTAAACGACTGAGCCACCCAGGCGCCCCATAAATAAAATCTTAAAAAAAAAAAAAAAAGATTTATTCATGAGAGAGGATGCGAGCAGGTGGAGGGGCAGAGGGAGAGAGAAAGAGTCCCAGCAGACACCCCACCAAGCGTGGGGCCTGACCCAGGGCTCAACCCCAGGACCTGGAGATCATGACCTGATCCACAACCAAGAGTCGGAAGCTCAGCTGACTGAGTCATCCAGGTGCCCCAAGAGTGGCATGCTCTTCTGACTGAACCAGCCAGGTGCCCCTGGGCTCCTGTATTTGGACAGAGAGTAGTTCACAGGCCTCATGACAAACTTCTGAGGACCTGGGGCTTGCAGCCACTGGTCCAGGCTTTCCTTTCCTGTTCCAGCTGGATTACCAGGCTCCCAGCTTTTCTGTCCTCACAGCTCACCGTGGTCTCTGCTCCCAGGGCCTCCCTTTGCAAAGACCAGGATTTGTATTGGGTTTTCAGGATTGCATATGCAGGGTGGCCGGGAAATGTTTTATTTTCCTCAGGAGTCTCTCAAGAGATGGCCCTTTCTTTTTCTTTCTTTTTTTTTTTTTTTAAGATTTTATTTATTTATTTGACAGAGAGAGAGAGACCGTGAGAAAGGGAACACAGCAGGGGAGTGGGAGAGGGAGAAGCAGGCCTCCCGCTGAGCAGGGAGCCCAGTGTGGGGCTCGATCCCAGGACCCTGAGATCATGACCTGAGCCGAAGGCAGATGCTTAACGACTGAGCCACCCAGGCGCCCCGAGATGGCCCCTTCTTTGAGGACTTCTCTGTACCCTGGAGAGACTTTTTTTTTTTTTTAAAGATTTTATCTATTTATTTGAGAGAGAGAGAATGAAAGATAGCACGAGAGGGAAGAGGGTCAGAGGGAGAAGCAGACTCCCCGCTGAGCAGGGAGCCCGACGTGGGACTCGATCCTGGGACTCCAGGATCATGACCCGAGCTGAAGGCAGTCGCTCAACCAAGCCACCCAGGCGCCTGAGACATGTTTTCTTTTTTTTGTTTTTTAAGATTTTATTTATTTATTCATTAGAGACAGAGAGAGGCAGAGGGAGAAGCAGGCTCCCAAGGAGCAGGGAGCCCGATGCGGGACTCAATCCCAGGACCCTGAGATCATGACCTGAGCCGAAGGCAGACGCTTAACCATCTGAGCCACCCAGGCGCCCCCCGAGACATGTTTTCTTAATTGTAGGGTTTTTCTTATCTCCTGACTTCCTGTCCATATCATTAAGTTTTTCTTCCTGTCTCACTCAGTACTGGGATTTTCCTGACTGTAATGGTCTGTGAGCGTTTTCTCCCGTATTACAAATGCAATATTATGTATTAGACAAAAATCAATAAAGATGAGCAAAAAATTATAATAGCTAACATTCTGGGGGCTCTTAGTGTGGGTTGGCAACGCACTTTGTGTTTGTTAACTCATTTGAGAGGCCGACAACAACCAGAGATGTAGGGTTGGGGTTATCCTCATTTTCCCTCCTTTGCAGTTGAAGAAAGTGAGTCTGGAGGTTAAATGACTGGCTCAGAATCACAAGCTGATAAGTTGCAGAGCTGATCTTCAAACCAGAGCCAAGACTTGTTTGTGTTACCCTTCCAGAGCTTTTCCTATATACAAGCATATATACACAAAAATGGGATCGTATTGTATGTAAAATACTTTTTATTCCCATATATTGTGACCATCTTTCCATGTTGGTAAATCTCCTTCAACAGCATTCTCTTTAATCCAGTGTTCTTCTGTTTCCTCTTCTTTCGGCCCTATACCCAGGATCGACGAGAACGTGCTGGGAGCCCAGCTGGATGTTGAGGCCGCCCATTCAGAGATCCTCAAGTACTTCCAGTCGGTCACCTCGAACCGGTGGCTCATGGTCAAAATCTTCCTCATCCTCATTGTCTTCTTCATCATCTTTGTGGTCTTCCTTGCCTGAACCCTCTCCACTCTGAGGCACTCCGTGGGGGTTCGGAACCCCTTTGGGAGGGCAGGTGGCCAGTGTTGCCACTGAGCCTGTGCAGGGTGCTTGGGAGAAAGGCCCTGTTTCCCTGGAACTGCTGAGAATGGCCACTGCCCCTGACCCCTGACCCTTTGCCTCTGGCCACCCTGTCCTCCCCTCACCGCCCTCAGGCCCTCGAAACACACACGGTTCTGGATTTGTACTCTGCTGCGAGGTGGCTGGAAGGGAGCAGAAGCCACTTGGGGGGCAGTGGGGGAGGTTGTCTCCACTAGGTAGGAGATTTTTAGAAACTCCCCAGCCTTTTCCAAAGGAAACTTTGGCAGCAAGGGGAGATGATGCCCTTTCCCACCTTCCTGAGAGTGAGGAGAGGAAGTGAAATTGCTCCCCCCAGCCCCCCCCCCGGGACCAACTTTCCCATCTGGGTTAGAATTTGACCTCTTTCTTCTTCCTCTCTCCACCACGTGAAGCAGGGGGGGGGGCCCTGAGCCCCTCGGCTGCCTGCACAACCCCAACTTTGGCTGCTGGTGACTCTCAATCTGCCAAATGCGCTGCAGCCCGTTTTCTCCCAATTACAGCAAGACTGTCAGCCTCGCTAGCCATGTCGTCATTTCTGGGTGGGAGCGTCGAAGGGCCTTCACAGCCAGTGGAGTGAGCGCACTGCCCGGTACCAGAACTGAGGCTGGGCTGATGGCTCGAAGGGCCAAGCTTTGGGCCCTGTGCACACAGCTGCCTCCGGGCAGGGAACACCCAGGTGCAGCAGCACTTCATGAGCATGGAAACTTCCCTTCAAAGGGGGAAGCACGACCCCAGCATGGGTCCCTGATTGGTGGCAACTTCCAGGATCATCTCCAGCAGTATTTGTACGTGTTTCAGCTGCATGCTCCAACCAGCTGGCCCCCATTTTTCCTTGAGCTGGATGACACAGGAGCTCTGCCTGCTGCCAGGAGTGAAAGGTGAAGAACTTGTTCCCAGCTCCGGCTGAGGCTCTTGGTCCCCTCCAAGCCCCTCACCAAATCCAAGCCAGTCACAGGAGGATGGAGGAGAAACCTGCCTGGAACGCCCACCCTCCAGGGAGGTTAATACACTTCTTGGTGTTATTCTGAGGTTACTGGGGTCCCCCCACATCTCACACACCCCAGAGGAAGTTCAAGCTACAGAGAGAACAATCACAACTCTGAAAGCTGACCCTAGAACGTCGGGGGTGGGGGAGCAGTCTAGGAGAACCTTTGTCTTTTCTAGCCCAGGCATTTTACTATTTCCTCTCTCCCAGGCCTCTGGTCAGAGGTGGTCTTGCTTGCATCTTCACTGCCCAACTGACACAAACTGTGGTTCTGGTACGGCACCTCAGTGGTGGATGGGGAGGTTGTGAAGACGATTGCTTGTGAAAGCCAGAAAAATGGTCTGTTCATTTGACATGGCAACTCTTCTTGGGAGGATGCATAGATCGGAAATTCATTTATTTCCCAAGTGTTTGTTGAGTTCTTGGTACTTGCAAGGCAGGGTACTGAGCCAGGAGCTGGAGAAAAGTCACGAATTAGTGAACATCCCTGCTCTGTTGGGGTTTACGTTCTAGTTTTCTGTTGCCTGATAACCCATCTTACGAGGAAAGCGTGACATATATCGGCTGCTGGCAAAGGGCTGGGCTGAGAGCTTCAATACTGGCTGTATAACGCTAGGGCATCTAAGAACCATCACTCCCGCTCCAAGGCCCGGGTCTCCCCTTCCTCGGAAGCCCTTCGTGCGACCCCCTTCCCCATTCCTCTCGGAGACTTGGGCTGCAGCAGCTTGCTCTCTACTCCAGCGCTAGCCCCGGAGGTGCTGGCGTAAGACGAACCGAAGAAAGGCGGCGGGGCGGGCCGGCCCCAACCCTGGGGTGGCTGGGCGAGCGCAGGTCTCCGGCGGGACCAGGAGCGGTTGAGCCCCGCCCCCGGCGCGGCTGCCAGCCGAGTGCGCACGCGCAGAGGGCCGCGCTCCTCAGGTGGCACCGCCCACCACCGGGGGACGTCGGCGGCGCGCGACGTCTTTCGCAGGATAAATGCGGTGGCGCCGGGCGTAGGAGCGCTTCGGCCGGGGCGCTTTTGGGCGTTCGGACGTTTGGTGGCGTTGCGGCCCGCGCCTGAGCCGGCCCTGCTTCTCGCTGTGCCATGGCGGACGAGGGGAAGTCCTACAACGGTCAGTGCTGGCTCTCAGGGCGGGGAGCGAGATGATCTGGGGCCCAGTGGGCGGCGCCGGCCTAGGCCGCAGCCCCGGGGCGGGAGGCCGCGAGAGGCCGGGCGTCCGCGGGGGGCGTCGGCGGCGCGGCCCGGGGGCAAGGCCCCCCGCGGGCCCGGCCGCACTCGAGGCTGGGAGCCCGACGTGTTGACGCGGGAATCCTGGCGTTGCGAGGAGCTTCGGTCCGGAGCAGGCGGCCTGGCGGTGGGGTGGCGAGATTCCTTTGAACTTTGTGGGTGGTTGATGCCTGTCAGTTCAGGTTGGCGGCCAGACTCTTCCTTTAAGGTGAGTCGGTGCCCTTCTCATCGGCTACCTGTGTCCTATTTTCCGCCGCGTCCAGTCTCTTGCCCTGCCTCCCCTGCGGCCTTGGCTTTGGCTTTAAAATTTAAACCTCCATACCAACGCGCTGTATCCGAACACTACGCAGGGTTTTTGTCCAGAGGAGTGGTTAGGAGCACATGACAGCTGAGGTTTGAGTCCTGAGTTGTCTTCCCCAAGCTTGAGTGAATTCCACTCCCAGGCCTCATTTTTCTATTTTCCTAAGAAGGTAGCGATTGTACTTATTTCCTAAGTTTGGCCTTGTGTATGTTAAACGAGTTTATTCACATCAAGTGCCTGGAGCATAGTGCCTGGCCCTGGAGAAAGTTCTCAGTGTATATTAGCTGTGTCTGCGATTCAGTTGTTTGTTTGTTTGTTTGTTTGTTTGTTTTTCCCCTATGGTCATTTCTTAAGGTTCATTGTTTGTAGAGTGCTAGGCATGAGGCAGACCTTTTTGGGAGTCATAGACCTTTTTTTTAGAAGCCATTCCTACACTCCAGAGGATTCAGAGGGTCCTGTCCCTGGAGAGCAGTCAAGGACAGTTGGCTAAGCTCCCTAGTTGCCACTAGAACCTGAATCTTAGAAGTTGTCTCCTGAGTTAAAAGGCATTTCTGGGGGTGCCTCTGTGGCTCAGTTGGTTCAGTCAGCATCTGCCTTTGGCTCAGGTCTTGATCCCAGAGTCCTGGGATAGAGCCCCATGTCGGGCTCTCTGCTCAGTGGGGAGCCTGCTTCTCACTCTCCTTGCTGCCCCTCCTACTTGTGCGCTCTCTCTCTTTCTCTCCCTCTCTAGTAAATAAATAAAATCTTTTTTTTTTTAAGGTATTTCTGGCCAAGGAAATAAAGAGCCCACTCCCAAAACTTCAGGGTGTCAGTTTGAGAACAAGAATTTTTTTTTTTTTAAGATTTTATTTATTTATTTGACAGAGAGAGACACAGCAAGAGAGGGAACACAAGCAGGGGAAGTGGGAGAGGGAGAAGCAGGCTTCCCACGGAGCAGGGAGCCCGATGCGGGGCTCGATCCGAGGACCCCGGGATCATGACCTGAGCCGAGGCCAGACGCCCAACAACTGAGCCACCCAGGCGCCCCGAAAACAAGAATTTTAAAGAGGGACGGCTGGGTGGCTCAGTCATTGGGTGTCTGCCTTCGACTCAGGTCATGGTCCCGGGGTCCTGGGATCGAGCCCACATCGGGCTCCCTGCTCTGCCGGAAGCCTGCTTCTCCCTCTCCCACTCCCCCTGCTTGTGTTCCCTCTCTCACTGTGTCTCTGTCAAATAAATAAATAAAATCTTTTAAAAAGAAAAAAAAAAGAATTTTAAAGAAGCCAAAAAAAAAAGTTTTAAAGAAGCCCTTAAATTGATTATATTTATAACTGTATGATGTTTGTACTCTGTAGGCAAAGGAAACATTGTTTGCTGAAAGCTGATGTGATCATTGTGATTGATTGATTTTAGGAGATGTGAGAGAGGTCCCCATCCAGATTTTGAGAGGGGTTAAATAGATTTGGGAGGCCAAGAGCAAGCAGATTTCAGGTGACTTTTCAGTTGCACACTGAGTCTATATTCTGCTCACACTTCCACATTGTGCTTCTCTTCTTTGTAAGTTCCAGTTTCTGACTCATTTTTCTAAAGCCCTGTGTTGTCTTCCAGTAATGTTTCCCTCATGCTGCCATGTCACAGAGAGGGTTCTCTCTCTCAACAGACAGAAGTTTGCGTGGAAGTGGGCTTCGTAGTTGGTGTGTATGTCATTCTATAGCACAGGCTGCTGGAGCTGTGATTGCCACAGCAGGGTAGCTGGACTAGCAACATGTTTTCTTTTCTTTTCTTTTTTTTTTTTTTTAAAGATTTTATTTATTTATTTGAAAGAGAGAATGAGACAGAGAGAGCATGAGAGGGGGGAGGGTCAGAGGGAGAAGCAGGCTCCTTGCTGAGCAGGGAGCCCGATGCGGGACTCGATCCTGGGACTCCAGGATCATGACCGCAGCCAAAGGCAGTCGCCTAACCAACTGAGCCACCCAGGCGCCCAGCAACGTGTTTTCTAATTGATGTCGTTTTTAACCCCAGAGCACGATGACCGTGTTAGTTTCCCTCAAAGAAGAAAGAAAGGCCGGGGTCCTTTCCGGTGGAAATATGGTGAGGGGAACCGTAGGTCTGGAAGAGGAGGTTCTGGCATCCGGTCTTCCCGCCTGGAGGAAGATGACAGAGATGTGGCGATGAGTGATGCCCAGGATGTTCCCCGAATACGACAGTAAGTGACCAGTTGATCTGGTTTGATTTTAGTGACCCATTTATTTATTTAGCTCTCTACTGCCCACACCATTTCTCTTCCCACCTGTACAAGTGAGAATGCCAGGGCCAGCTTAATGGGCGAACAGTCTTAGCTGCAGTCCTGACAGCAGTGTGGGAAGCCTTTGAGAAGACATTCCTAGTGTTTGTGGACATTTTATTCTCTGCTTCCCCACAGCAACCCCTATCCTTCCCGACCCAACCGTCGAGGTGACAGTTGGCATGATCGAGATCGCATTCATGTTACTGTGCGGAGAGACAGAACTCTTCCAGACAGAGGAGGGGCTGGTACCAGTCAGGATGGGACCTCGAGAAACTGGTTTAAGATTACAGTGAGTGTGTGGGGCACCTGGGGGGCTCAGTCGGTTGAGTGTCTGTCTGTCTCTTGATTTCAGCTCAGGTCATGATCTCAAGGTCATGAAATTGAGTCCTTGTCATCTTTGTGCTGGGCATGGAGCCAGCTTGAGATTCTCTCTCTCTCTCTCCCTCCCCCTCCCTCTGCCCCTCCCCCCTTAAAAAAAAAGATTACAGTGAGTGTCTGGGGAAGTAGATGCTGCAAGGGAGAGAGGGGGCTGGGCTCAGAGTGAAGGTCTTTACTTTTCACACGACAAAGTCAATCTTTTCAGCTGTTTTCTCCACAGTCAGGTGTCCATCCTTTCTCCTAGAACACCTAAGAGCAGGTTCAGGAAAGGCATAGAAGAGGACAAGCAGGATTGGGGGGGGGGGCACCATCTAAAGGAAAACATGATTAACTGGTTGGGAGGTAGAGGAACTCCTCTGAATGTCTCCATGTGGCTCAAGCCGATCATGGGGCTTGGGATCTCTTAAGTTCTCTGAGGGTCGGGCCAGGTCTGAATCATATCTTAAAACTTTTAGAACCAAAAAATTTTATTTTCTTGAGGAATACTAAGTTTAAATGGACAGAAAGGAGGAGGGTAAGGAGTCTGACTTGAGTAAAAAAACTTTTAACTGGCCCTTCCTTCAGGAAATGTGAAAGGAGTGCTAGATGCGTCTGATGGCCAGCTTTCGTTACATATTGTTCTCTTCTCTCTCTCATCTAGATTCCCTATGGCAGAAAGTATGACAAGTCATGGCTCCTGAGTGTGATTCAGAGCAAGTGCAATGTCCCTTTCACCCCCATTGAGGTGAGAGAAGGCCTCTGTGGCTGCTGGGCACCAAGGAAGGCGAGGGGCCAGCTGGACCAGGGGCCCCGGGCTCCAAGTCTCATGCTCTTGTTTCCTCTTTGTGCAGTTTCACTATGAAAACACACGGGCCCAGTTTTTCGTGGAGGATGCCAGCACCGCCTCTGCGTTGAAGGCCGTCAACTATAAGATTGTAGATCAGGAAAACCGAAGGGTGTGTATAAAGGGCCTGGCTTGGCTGGGGGTAGGTCTTGATCCTGCAGCTTAGGCTTCCCTGGGATTCACCCTGCCCTCCGTGCCTTCCTGTAGATATCCATCATCATCAACTCCTCTGCCCCACCCCATTCGGTACAGAACGAACTGAAGCCGGAACAAGTCGAGCAGCTAAAGGTGAGTCAGGCTCCTGTCACGTGTTTCCGCTCCAGTCCTCCCACTTCTTGCATCCACAACCCTCCACGCAACCCAAGTGAGCCCCTGACCCCCAACCCCTTTTCTTTCCCCTGTAGCTGATCATGAGCAAACGATATGATGGCTCCCAACAAGCGCTTGACCTCAAAGGCCTCCGTTCAGACCCAGGTAGGACCAGTAGCAGTCATTCTCAGGGAGGTGGAGGCAGAGGGGGTCTGTCAGGTGGGGAAAGTTCGAGAATGGTTTGGTACGAACTCTGACCTGGGAAAGCCCTCTCAGATTTGCCTTTCCTTCCTTTCTGCTTCCTGAAGACTTGGTGGCTCAGAACATCGATGTCGTCCTGAATCGCAGGAGCTGTATGGCGGCTACCCTGCGAATCATTGAGGAGAACATCCCTGAGGTGAGGCCTTTGTCCTGTTTTGAGGCGGGAGGAAGCAGGGTGCGATAGGTAGGATGGGGTCAGGAGGCAGGTGTGTCTCTTAATTCTTTGTTGGCGGTGCTTCCTCTAAACTTTTCTCCGCCCGTAGCTTTTGTCCTTAAACTTGAGCAACAACAGGCTATACAGGCTGGATGACATGTCCAGCCTTGTGCAGAAAGCACCCAACCTGAAGATCCTCAACCTCTCCGGAAATGAGGTGAGACCTGAGGGCCTGGTTGTGTTGTGGGCGGGGTGAGCAGAGGGCTCGGGCAGGAGGCTCGAGGAGGGTGTTTCGGGGATGGGGATCTTGCTGGCTCTCCTTACCAGGATCTTCTGCCCACTTTGTCTCCCCACCTCTCTGCAGTTGAAGTCTGAGAGGGAGTTGGACAAGGTAAAAGGGCTGAAGCTGGAAGAGTTGTGGCTTGACGGAAACCCGCTATGCGACACCTTCCGAGACCAGTCCACCTACATCAGGTCAGTTGTAGCCTCTGTCTCCCCTCCTGGGGACCTTCACCCCCCGGGAGGCTGAGCTAATGCACCCTGACCAGTGCCCGTCTGCAGGAGATGTGCAGCCCTGAGCTGGAACCACCTGTCCTTTGGGAGGATCACATGTTCCTCCCTTCGTCTGTCCGTGTGTCCCAGCTTGGCCCCGAGGTTTCCTTTCCTTTCTTCTCACCTGACTACCTATTTGCTGTTCTGTGGTCTTTCCTCTTCCCAAACACAGCCTTTTCTAGAGTCTCCCAATCCTGCTGTTCCAGGAAGGGCATTTCCCGCTTTCTACCACGACCAGGGCGTGTCTTGCATATATGTCCCATACGTGGATCTGCCTTGTGCCAAGAGCCTGGTATCCCTGGGCCGAGAAAGGCCTCCCTCCCTGGGACTTGCTGTTGATGGGCCTTCCCTTCTTTGTCCGGTGCTGGCCCCTCTTGCCATTTTGCCAAGAGGGACTCTTGTCACAGTCCACGTGCCCAAGGCCGTTGCCTGGGCCTTCCCCCTCGTGCTGAGGTTGAGGCCTCCTCGGAGCTGGTGCCACGCACTCTGTCTCTTGCCCAGAGCTGTGAGCTGGGCCCTCCCTGGAGAAGAAACCTGGGTTCCCCAAGCCATGTGACTAGAGCCAGGGCCCCGCCAGCAGGCGAGGGAAGCCCAAGGCAGGCGCTGGGCGTGGAGGCCACGGGGGCATAGACTACCGAGGAGACACAGAACTGACCCTCTCGGGGGGGCGCTGCCCCGCCCTCACTTGCACACCTCACATCGCCCTGCTTGGCCCCGGAGGATGGCTGGTTAGCCAGAGACGGGTAAGATTCCTCAGGGAAGGAACAACCTAAGACAGGCACAGTCGCAGAGGGGCCATCAGGAGAGAATTTGGGGGCCAACAGAGGTGGGGCACAGACCCTCACCCCCCCAACTTTGCAGGGGCCTGAACCCTCACCTCTTCTGAGGGAGGTCTCCTGCCCCCATGGCTGCTTCGCTTCCCACGCCCAGCTCAGATCGGGACCCAGGTAGCAGACAGAGACCTGGCCAACAGCAACTGCCCTCCGGCTGCAGCAAGAATTTGTTTTCCGTCTGTACCTTGGACCACGGGGAAAGGGGCAGCCAAAGGAAAAGGCTGTGTTGGGTGTCTTCTTCCCTTTTTTCTTTCTGACTTTCCTGAATGCCTCTTTGCCTTATAGTTCTTTCGCTTTTTCTTTGCTTTTTCTTTTTACTCTCTACTTCCCTCTGTCTCCCCATCTCTCCCTTGCCCCAGCCCCATCCTGCCTTCTCTCTCTCTCTTCTTTTCCTTCCTTGTCTTCTTTCTTCACCTCCCCTCTTCCTGAACCCCCCGCCTTGCTCATCTCCCTGCCCCAACATCCTGTGCCATCCCTGTGGTGTGTTCTGGTCTTGGCCACGGCCAGACCGGGCAGAACTGATGGATACCTGTTGAGGCAGCGGAGCCCCTGGGCTCCCACCCCATTCCCTCCTCCCGGGGCTGCACAGGTGAGTAGGTGGAAGGTAAGGGGGGCAGGGAGGGGAAGGAGGTCCTGGCTTAAAGCCTGGGCTGGGAGTGCTGCTCTGTGGCGCTCGGGTCAGGCAGCAAGAAGAGAGTCAGCCTTCAAGGCAGTCATTTCTGGGTGCCCCGGGTGAGGTGGGGAGTGGGGCCTCTTTCCCCAGGGCTCAGAGGCTGGGGAGGAGTGAGAGGACAAGCAGGATGGGGTGGGCGGTCCCTTGGGCTTTGGAATATTTGCTCCTAGAGCAGCTCAGGAGGCACGGTGGCTCTGAAGCATCACTCACTTGTGTCCCGTTTTTGACAGCGCCATTCGAGAACGATTTCCCAAATTATTACGCCTGGTAAGTCTGTAGCGCTTTAAATTCTTTTCTAATGAGCATAGGCTCTCCCACCCAAAAGCTCTTGCCTCATGTGTGTTCGTATGACCGTTAATTTGGAGACAACGGAGACCTTTGAGAATCTGGCAAAGGCTATAATCCTTCTCAGAAAAAGGCCCGTAGACAAAAGTTGCCTCTGTCGGGATTCCTGGATCTTTTCCGTGTGTCCTTGACACTTGATCTCTGACCCCCCATTCCTAGTTTGCCCATCTCGTTACTCATCCAGCCTTTTCTCTCTGGTTACGCTGTCGACTTCCCACAGGACGGCCATGAGTTACCTCCGCCGATTGCGTTTGATGTTGAAGCCCCCACGATGTTACCTCCCTGCAAGGTAGGAAGGGGGCAGCGCTAGAACTCATGTTGGGAGGAGAGGATTGGATACGGGGTCCTGATACCCGTGTGTGATTCCAGGGAAGCTACTTTGGAACGGAGACCCTGAAGAATCTGGTCCTGCACTTCCTGCAGCAGTGAGTATGCAGGGCCCCCCGAGGCTGGGGAGCGGTGGGTGGGTCCCGGCACAGCTCCCTCTGGGGAGCCAGACCCGGGAGCTCAGACTGTCCCTTTTGTGTTCTGCACAGGTACTATGCGGTGTACGACTCTGGAGACCGGCAGCGGCTCCTGGACGCCTACCACGACGGGGCCTGCTGCTCCCTCAGCATTCCCTTCACGCCCCAGAACCCTGCCCGGTGAGTGTCCCCGGCCACGGCCTGCCCAGGGCCATGCAGGCGAGCAGCTGCCAGCTCTCATCCTGCTCTGACCCCTGCCTCCTTTTCCGCTCCTTCCTCTAGAAGCAACCTGGCCGAGTACTTCAAGGATAGCAGGAATGTGAAGAAGCTCAAAGACCCGAGTAAGTGTGCGATGTGAGCAGGGGGGGGGGGGGGGGGGCGGGACTCGGTCACGGGGCGCGGGAGCGGGCGGCGGCCCCTGACCTGGGCGCTCCCTCCACAGCCCTGCGGTTCCGGCTGCTGAAGCACACACGCCTCAATGTGGTCGCCTTCCTCAACGAGCTGCCCAGAACCCAGCACGACGTCAACTCCTTTGTGGTTGACATAAGCGCGCAGACAGTAAGCACCTGTTTCTTGCCCACAAAAGCCGGAACTGGGGAAGGGCAGTTACGAGGCCTGGGGGCCTGCGGGCTCTGGCCGGGAGCCCGCATGGTGACAGACGCCTCTTCTCTCTCAGAGTACGTTGCTGTGTTTTTCTGTCAACGGGGTCTTCAAAGAAGGTAAGAAGCTTTGCAGTCCCGAGTTTGCAGAGCGAGATTTTTTTTTTCTCGGCACTCTCAGCTACCTTCCTTCTCTGTCCCTGACCTCCTCCTCTTCTGCCCCCAAGCCACCTTCATGAGGCCTGCCCTCCCCACCCCGTGTCTGGGAAATGGGACAAGCCTGAGGATTAGGAGGACACAGACTCTGAGGTCAGGCAGGTCTGGGCTTCCATTCCAGCCTCGGGCCCATGGGTCTGTGGGCAACTTACATTATCTCTGGGCTTCAAATTCTTTCTTCGTAAAAGGGGGTTGGTAAGAGCCATCTCACAGCCATGCCGTGGGGAGTCAGCGCAGCGCCGGACACAGGAGCTGACGCACGGGTCCTCTGGGTGGGCTAACGCTGGTGGTGGTTCGCCCTGCCCTCCGACACTCCTCCTCCCCTCTCCTCCCCTATACACACATAATCGTCTGTCTGGTCTGCTTCAGTTGAGTTGTATCCAGTAAGACCAGGATTGGAGAAGCTTTTAGTAAACTTGAGGTGTAGCTGATTCTAAGGGGTCGTTGCTGTTGTTAACATTACAGTGGACGGAAAGGCTCGGGATTCTTTGCGAGCCTTCACCCGGACATTTGTCGCTGTTCCTGCGAGCAACTCAGGGTGAGTGAGTGGTTTACCACATGGGGTCCCAGTCCCAATCCGTGGCCAGCATGTGGGAATTGGGGGAGGGATGCGAAGGGGGAGCCGGTCCTCAGGAAATGTTCCGAATTTCAGGAGGAGGCTCTCACAGTAGTGGTGAGCTCGGCTCTGGAGTCAGACTGTTTGGGTTTTTCATCTGGCTGCACCACTTCTAGCTGAGAGCAGGTTTCCTCATTGGGAAACTAACATAAGCTCCTTACTTCTTTGGTCTATTGTGAAGATCAGTGGGAATAAGCACTTCCTTGAGTTGGGGGAGAATATGTAACTCTAATGTTGTTTGGCATCTGCCCCCATACATGGGTTCTTAGGGGCATAAGGTGCGTAAATGATAAAAGGTAATGACCAAGGGGCGCCTGGGTGGCTCAGTCGGTTAAGCGGCTGCCTTCGGCTCAGGTCATGATCCCGGGGTTCTGGGATCGAGCCCCACGTCCGGCTCCCTGCTCAGCGGAGAGCCTCCTTCTCCCTCTCCCTCTGCCTACTTGTGCTCTCTCTGTCAAATAAATAAATAAAATCTTAAAAAAAAAAAAAAAGTAATGACCAAGAGTGGGGAGGGGGACTTGGTGGGTATTGAAAGAATCAGTTAAGTGTAAAAGTGTCAAGTGTGAGAACAGGAATAATGTTGGGAAGTTGAGGTTGGCTGGCTGTCCAGCTGTCTAAAGTGCTTTTTGTCCCGAAGGCTGTGCATCGTGAACGACGAGCTGTTTGTGCGGAATGCCAGCCCTGATGAGATCCAGAGAGCCTTTGCCATGCCTGCACCCACCCCTTCCTCCAGTCCAGTGCCCACCCTGTCCCCAGAGCAGCAGGAAATGCTGCAGGCGTTCTCTACCCAGTCTGGCATGAACCTTGAGTGGTCCCAGAAGTGAGTACTGGGAATGTGTAGGAATAGGGGTAAACAGAGGTAGGAGTGGAAGTGAATAATGAGTGCTCCTGACATTTTAAAAGCCAAAATTTAGGGGTGTCTGGGTGGCTCAGTCATTAAGCGTCTGCCTTCAGCTCAGGTCATGATCCCAGGGTCCTGGGATCGAGCCCCGCATCGGGCTCCCTGCTCCGCGGGAAGCCTGCTTCTCCCTCTCCCACTCCCTCTGCTTGTGTTCCCTCTCTCGCTATCTCTCTCTCTGTCAAATAAATAAAATCTTTAAAAAAAACAAAAAACTAAATTTATAAATATGGCCCATAAAAAAATTTGGCCTATGCCTAAATCAGCATAGCAAAATTTTTATATACTATTCTGCAACTTACTTTTTTTGCTTATCCCGTGAATGTCTTTCCCTATCATTATAAAAATTACCTTAGTCTTCTTGATAGCTACTTAATATTCCTTTGTATCCAGTAGACCAGTGATAAGACATTTGGATTTTTACTAATTTTTCATTTGTAATCCATAGTGCAAGAGTGTATGTAATTGTTGGCACACATGGGTGAGTGTTTCTCTAGGAAGGATTGTGAAGTGGCGTTCAGTGAGCAGGGTGCTCTTCCCCCCACTCCAGGTGCCTTCAGGACAACAACTGGGACTACACCAGATCTGCCCAGGCCTTTACTCATCTCAAGGTAAGTTTTGGGAATTCAGTAGCAAGAAGACCAGGGATCTCTGGGCCTTGAGACGGTCAAGCCAGCTGGGGGGAGGGGGAAAGGGACTGGCTCTACTGTCCTTTTCTTTTTTTTCTAAGGCTAAGGGCGAGATCCCAGAAGTGGCGTTTATGAAGTGATCTGTAGCCGTGCCCCAGAAGAAGCCCCCTGTAAAATAGCCCTTGGATATTGATGTCTCCTTGTCGTGGCTGTCGGCTCTTGTCTCCTCCTCTCTGGCCCCCAGGCCACCCCGTGACTGTGACCGAAGAGGGAGGGCTGCTGGATCCCTCTCCTCACCTGCCTTCTGGAAGACTTCTGGGAGACTTCCAGGAGATTGAGCCTCACTGGTGCCAGGAAGCCAAAGCTTACTTTGTAGAACTGACACTAAACTCCCTCGAAGGATTTAGGTGCTTTGTGTACTTAACCCCAGAACCCGCCGTACTTTTTAAGATAAAGAGTGATATTGTATTTTGTGTCGCGATGCTACATTGTTTTTGCCTCGCCCCTTCTTGCGGGGCGGGGCCCCAGCGCACCAGGGCGGAAGGCCTCTCAGCTCGGGGGCGGGGCCGCGGTCGGAAGCCCCGCCCCGGAAGCGACGACGCGCGGGGCCATGGCGGCGCTCGGGCGGCGGTGGGCTGTGCGGCTCCTCGCCGCGCTGCGGCCGCTGCACGACGCGGCTCCGCCACGGGACGTGCTGCTCTTCCAGCACGAACGGGGCCGCTTCTTCGCCGTCCTCGGGCTGTTCTGCGCGGGCCAGGGTGTCTTCTGGGCGTCGCTGGCCGTGGCAGCCTTGGCCCGGCCCCCGGCCCGGGCGCTGCCTCCAGACGCGGAGCCCGCCGAGCGCGGCCGCTTGGACCTGCGCTCCACGCTCTGGCGCTACGGCCTGGCCGTCGGCTGCGGCGCCATCGGTAAGGCGTGGGCTGGCGTCCACCACGGGGACGTGGGGCGGCTGGACACGACCCTCCCCGGCCCGGCAAGGACAGTGCGGGGCTCCCGAGCCTCCGGGCCGGGCCACGCTGCAGTCGGAGGCCCCTGAGCCAGGCCCTCGGACAGGCCTGGGGTGAGGTTTGCCTCTCACTCTGCGAGCTTGAGCAGTCACACCGCTCTGACCCGTCTCGCCCTTGAAACGGGGGTGTACATGAAGGTGGTTGGGGAGGAAGGACGAACACAAGAGCCGGGTAGAAGAGGAGCTCGGTAAATGTTACTGTCATCACAGTTTTTTTAATTCTGGGCCACTGGAAAGGTTGCTGCTTAGCTCTTCAGCAAAAACCCCTCACCGCAAACTTTGGTCTTCCTGCAGGTATCCTGGTACTTGGCGCTGGTCTTCTCTTCTCCCTCCGTTCTGTGCGTTCAGTGATGCTGCAGGCTGGAGGGAAGCAGGTGACCCTCACCACTCATGCCCCCTTTGGCTTGGGTGCTCATTTCACTGTCCCTTTGAACCAGGTGTCCTGCATGGCCCACCGTGGTGAAGTCCCTGCTATGTTGCCTTTGAAGATCAAAGGCCGGCGCTTCTACTTCCTCTTGGACAAAGCTGGACATTTCCCCAACACAAAACTCTTTGACAATACTGTGGGTGCCTACCGCAGCTTGTGAAGAAACCACCTTGGGTCGCTCACCTCGCCCAGAGGGGAATAAAAACTGAACCTTGGAGATGGGGTGACAACCAAGGGCAGGACACAAGGGGGCCCAGGGTTCATGAGCAGCAAATAAAAGAGCAGTCATCCCAAGGGCAAGGGACAGAACCTCTGACTTTTGTTCCATATCTGTTTAGCTCTGTCCTCCCATCCACCTGCCTACAGTGCTTTAACACCAAGAACTCAGTACCAAGATGAAGGAAGAAAGTAATATAATATTCTGGTACAAAAACAGCTGTAGGAAGAGAGGTGGAGGGGGCCTATCATCATGTTTCCCTCGTGGAGGGAAAACAGGCTCCCAGCATAAACAGGGCCATGAGGGGGCAACAGGACTGTAGGCACTTGGGCACAGAGTCTTTGGCTGCACGAAGCATTCTTTGGTTACTTCTCAGGAATGGGAAAGGCGTGGCCCAACGAGAGCGTCTGTCTCAGAGCTCCATTCAGGGTCGCCCCGCTCCAGGGGCCGGTATGGGGCGGCTTCGGACTTCCACTGCACCACCTGAAGCGCCAAGACCACACACCACAATACCAGATTCACCCAAGAAGAGGTCTGTGGGAGACAGGAACAGGAGTGTGAGGAGTGTGGCCATCTCAAACCCAGTTCCACCCACAAACCACTATTCTCTGTTCATGGTCAGGTCGAAAGCCCTTCAGCCTCTCACTGGAGAGCACCCTTAACAACTACAGGTGCTTATAGGAATCTGTGGGTCCCTGGGTTTCCACCAGTCTTTCATATCCCGGGACCTCACTTCAGCATTGTGTAGGTTGGAGTAAAACTGCAGGGCGGTTCCAGGGGGTGTCCATGGAAGTTTCTGGGCTTCAGAGCAGCTGTGAGGTCAAAGAGACGGTGGTGAGAAAGGGAGGATATACTCCGAACACACCCATGCCCAGGTGCCCTTCAAGGTGAGAGCAACTGACAGGGACAGAAAGGGGGGTATAGCTCCCTTCTGCAGAGGGAAGGCAGTCAGCCCCAGCCGGGGTTCCCTCCCTCTCCCATTACCTAATTGTAATGTTCAAGGAGATGATGGATTTGCAGAGAGAACGGGTGCCAAATCGAAGGATACAGGCAGCCACTAAGACCAGGAAGATGGCTACAGCTGAGATGACCAGTGCAATGCGGAGCCCTATGGGACCTCTATGAGGACGGGGAGAGTAAGCCTTGTGGTTGAGGTGGGACTTGTCCCAGCTCAGCCCCCCACCCTCAGCCTACGGCAGTCACCTGTGGGAGTCCTCGATGCAGCTGCTGTAGACCCAGAAGAGCAGAAGCAGGAGACAGTAGAGGGCCAGGAGGCCAGAGACCCCCGCCACAAAGTAGCAGAGCGATGGGGCCGAGGGTTGGGCTAAGGCCGGGGAGGAGCCATTCAGGGCGGCCACACCATACAGGGGACAGCGGCCACTGAAGGAGCCCTGTGAAGAGAAGCTGCTGAGTCCCACCTAGATTTCAGGTTAGAGCCTCGGCGCAGGCTCATGGCAGGTGTGAGGGCTACCCTAGGAAGTTCTCCCTACACTGTCAGTTCCTGTTTCTGGGCCAGTCACTGATGGAGAGGGCCTGCTGGGGAAGTCAAACCTGCGGTGGCCACAAGGATCAGGAAATAGGCGGTGGTTATAAAGGATAGTGAGCTTCGGAGAGGCCTCACAAGTTCTGGTCTCCCCTCTGCAGAAATGCTAGAGTAAAACCAGAACTTGTGTAACCTTCAGCTGTCTCTGGTGTTTTCTCATCTATTAAAAAAAAAAAAAAAGTCCTAACCGGGGCACCTGGGTGGCTCAGATGGTTAAGCGTCTGCCTTCGGCTCAGGTCATGATCCCAGGGTCCTGGAATCGAGTCCCGCATCGGGCTCCCTGCTAGGCGGGGAGCCTGCTTCTCCCTCTGCCGCTGCCTCTCTCTCTCTCTTTGACTCTCATGAATAAATAAATTAAAAAGTCCTAATAGTGCCTACTTTATAGGGTTACATGAGCCTGTGTTTATGAACACGACTGCCTGGCTGGGGAAACCCTTGGGCTTTCCGTGGGCGTCTCCTACATGGCCGTCTGGTCATTCTCACACACTGGGCTGCAATCCTGCGGTAGCCTGGTCATCTCCGCTACACTAAGCTTTATTTCCTGGCGGAGCTCGGCACAACAGTGTCTGATTTAACGGATGAAGGCAGGGCCTGGGCCGAATTCTGCTGCAGAACCAGTGTGAGGTTTTGCAGCCGGAGCCACCAGGCCGGGCTATGCCTGCCGCTGTCAGTCACTCCTGAGGACTCGTCCTTTCGGCGAGGAAACGGCTGTGAAGCAGAACACCGGCGGGCGGAGCCACAGAGCGCGATCGGCGCCGATGCATCCCGGCCGCAGACCGGCGGCCACCCGCTCCCGGGAGCAGCGCGACGGGACCAGCCCGGCCCGGCCACAGAGCCAGCACCCCCGCCCCGCCCCGCCTCCCCGACCCCACGGCCGGCCCCGCCCCGCACCTGGGTCCGGGTCAGCGTCGCGGCCGCCACGGCGCCGCACAGGAAGGCGGCGGTGAAGAGCAAGAGCTCGAAGCGCTGCAGCCAGGGCAGCGCCATGGCACCCCCGCCACCAGGAAGGGTCGCGGCGGCTGCCAACCGCCCAAGCCCCGCCTCATCCGGCGCGGCCCACGAGCGCGGAGACGTCACTTCCGACACGGGGCTTTATTTACAGAGGCGGGGGCGGGGGCGGGGGGCGGAGGGGAGAGGGCCCAGGAAAGCGCCGTTCAGAGCGGCAGGTACAGCGAGTAGTCCGAGAGCGCCCAGCGGCGGGCCGGCCGGCCGGTGCGGCCGATCATGGGCAGCTTCTGCACGTAGCGGGAGGCCGGGCTGGGCCCGTACGGCGCGGGGAAGGCGGTCTGGAAGAGGCGCCCGCGGCACCGCCTCCCGGCCTGCCGCCCGGCGATAATAAAGCGGAAGTGGGGGGCGCCGCGCGGGGCGAAGCGGCTCTTCTGGAAGACGTCGCGGGCGCCGGCGCCGGGCCCCTGCTGCCGGGGCGCCCCCCGCGCCCGGTGCACGCGCGGCAGCGGCCGGCTCTCGGAGGCGGCGGGCGCAGAGGCCGCCGCGGGGCCGCCGCCGCGGGGGCTCTCGTCGCCCTGGGGGCTGACCATGGCGTTGGCCGTCAGCTGCGGCATCTTCCGCACCGAGTCCGGGGCGGCCGCCGGCTCCTTCTTGTCCCCGGGCGGCCGCGGAGTGGTGGGCGCGGGCTGACCCGTGCCAAAGCGGGTGGCCAGGCTGTCCCCGAAGAAGGCGTACAGCTCCCGGTAGATGTCCGCCAGGGTCAGCGACGGGGACGGGTCCTCCGGCCCCGCGCCTCCTGGCGGCAGCGGGAGGACAGACCCAAAGCCTGGCTCCGCGCTGCCCCCGGACGGAGACTCCTGCAGAAGAAGGCTGTCCCAGGGCAGGTCGTCCGAGCGCCGGCACCCCCTGCCGCTTGGGCCCCCCTTGTTGGGCTCTGCCGCCTGCGCCTTCATCTTCAGCAGTCGCTCTACGGCCACCTGCAAGAGCAGAGGGGCCAGGATAGGCAAGAACTAGGAGGAACCTGGGCCCATCTAGTTTTCCAAAGTAAGGCAGGTGAGCTGCTGAGCTCAAGCAGGGAAGAAGGGAGGCTGGAAGGCGCAGACACTCACCAGAATGGCTCCATAAACCTTGTGCCCATCTGCTTTAACCTGGGCGTTAGAGACGGAATAATCATCTAGCACAGCCTGCAGATTTGTCCAGTAAGTGGACAGGTGTGGGTACAGGACACGTTCCACTGCCTGGAAGGGAGAGAAGGCAGGCAGGAAGCACCTCTTTGTTGTTTATTGCCTCTCAAGTACCCTTTCCCATGAAAGACCTACTTTTATCTCCGATATGAAATTAGCTTGGCATATTCAGCCAGCATTTATTTAGAACCCACTGTATGCCCAAGCCTTTGCTAAGCACTGGAAATAAAGGTCAGGTACAAAAACAGTATAAAGTGACCCAACTATCACTGACCTGTATGACAGACGCTAACTAAGAGGGTATATATAAGTAATGCCCATTGCTAACAACAGACACATTTAATTTGCCACCTGCTACCCTATATGGTCAGTAGGCAAGTATTCTCTCTGAGATGTAAACTGGGACTCAGTTCAAACCACCTGCATAAAAACAAACAACTGATCAGAGACCTGGTCTCTGATTATGTATCAAATTTCAAATCCTGTGATTAATTTTCGGGAAAGCAATTAAGACTTCACAGAGGAGGTGACCTCTGTTACGCGCTTTGCTGGGTGAGAGTTCTCCGTTGGTCATCCACAGCCTATGGATTTGAAAATGTTAACAAATGGGTGAGTTCCTAGAGAAATATAACTTACTGCCGACTCAGCTATAAAAACTTAAATTCTCTAACCATAGTAGGTAACCAACCACAAATAAAACACTTTGCTAAAATTTACAAAGACAGTCTACAGATATTCAAGGAAAAGAGCATCTCAGTCTTACAAAAACAAACGAGAAAGAAGTGCTCCCACCCTACCTCAGTCTCTAGGGCCAATATAACCCGGATACTAAAACTCTACAAGGACAGTACATGAGAAGAAACTTATGATTAATTTCACTCGTGAATATAGAAAAATCTTTTAAAATTTAGTAAACCCAATAGTATACAAAAAATGCCTTATATTTCAATAAAAGATTTAGATTTTTTAAAGTCTATACTATAGCCTATTTGAGTCTATACACAGAAATGTAATGATGGTTGGGGCGCCTGGGTGGCTCAGTTGGTTAAGCGACTGCCTTCGGCTCAGGTCATGATCCTGGAGTCCCTGGATCGAGTCCCGCATTGGGCTCCCTGCTCGGCTGGGGGTCTGCTTCTCCTTCTGACCCTCCCCCCTCTCATGTGCTCTCTCTCTCTCTCTCTCTCTCTCTCAAAATCTAAAAAAAAAAAAATGTAATGATGGTTTACTATTAAAAATCCATAAATACGGGCACCTAGGTGGCTCAGTCAGTTGGGCTCTTGGTTTCCACTTGGCTCAGGTGGTGATCTTTTTTTTTTTTTTTTTTAAGATTTTATTTATTTATTTGACAGAGAGAGACAGCGAGAGAGGGAACACAAGCAGGGGGAGTGGGAGAGGGAGAAGCAGGCCTCCCGCCAAGCAGGGAGCCCGATGCGGGGCTCGATCCCAGGACCCTGGGACCATGACCTGAGCCGAAGGCAGACGCTTAACGACTGAGCCACCCAGGCGCCCCTCAGGTGGTGATCTTGGGGTCATGCAATGCACAGTCTGCTTGAGTGCTTATCCCTCTCCCATCCCCTCCCTCTGCCCCGCTCTCAAGTGTGAAAATGCTGTCTCTAAATAAATAAAATCTTCTTAAAAATCCATAAATACAATTAATCACATTAACAGATAAAAGCAGAAAAACCTTAGGATCAATTCAAAAGCTACAGAAAAAGCATGTGATAAAAATTCAACATAAATAATAAAACCAAGAGTATAAAACAGTATGAACTAATCTTAATCTGAGAAAGGATATCAAACACAAGGGAAACATCAGTATAAGTAGGAACGTTATTAGCACTTCTCTTATTAGAAATGACACAAGGATGCCCCTATCATCATATGTAAAATGATATTAGCAATCCTAGCAATAAAATAAAAAGAAATTAAAGGCATTAGGTTTAAAAAAGATGAAATAAAGCCATCATTATTTGTACCATATGATCTACATTAAAAGCCCAAAAGAGGGGTGCCTGGGTGGCTCAGTCGTTAAGTGTCTGCCTTCGGCTCAGGTCATGGTCCCAGGGTCCTGGGATCGAGCCCCGCATCGGGCTCCCTGCTCGGCGGGAAGCCTGCTTCTCCCTCTCCCACTCCCCCTGCTTGTGTTCCCTCTCTCTCTGTCTCTCTCTCTCTGCCAAATAAATAAATAAAATCTTTAAAAAAAAAGCCCAAAAGAATGAGGCACCTGGCTGGCTCAGTGGGTAGGGTGTGCAACTCTTGATCTTAGGGTCGTGAATTCGAGCCCCATGGTGGATATAAAGATTACTAAAAATAAATAAGCTTAAAAAAAATAATACAAGAGGAATTGAGGGATAGTTCCTTAACATGACTAACATAGTATGGGCAGGAATTTTTGAAGTGGGGATATATTAGTACCTTAATTTTTGAAAGGAGAAGACATTGATACACAGAAAGTAAAGCCATCAACTAGCCTGGCCTCAGGCAAGAACTGTATACACGGCAGCAACAAGCACAGACCATTTTTGTGAGAAAAGACACACAAATACTGTTTTTCTAATTACAAACGGGAGCTCCTACGGCTCTGTCTGTGGGCAAGGCCAGGGTCCTCACCTTCCAGCCAAGGGCGTGCAGCCCCACCACAGCCCCGTAGTGAGAGCAGAGAGGCCGCACAGGGTCTGCCAAGACCTTCTGCAGGGAGAGCAGGATCTGCTGATACAGGCCGCTCACAAGGTCCCCGTGGGTCCTATGGGAGCAGCATTCAGTGAGAGAGGAGAATGCAGCACGGGGCCGCCCGATCTGACTCCAGGCAGGGCACGCAGAGCACGCGGCGGTCTTTGGCGCCCTGGGGTAAGCCAACGGGGTCGCGCCATCCATTTATAAAATCCCGGGGCGCCACAGCGCAGCGACCGGGAAGCTCTAAATGGAAAGAGGCTCCCTGACCTCGCAACACAGGGCCTCGCAGCCAAACACCACCCCCCGCCCCGGACCCCAAGCCCCTCCGCGCTGTGGCAGCCCCACCCTCTGCTGGGCTAGGCCCAGTGGCTACCAGAAGATGTGGCTGAGCAGGAGGGCAGCGCCATCCCGGAGGGTCCAGTGGTCATTCAGAGGGTTGATGGAGGCAGCCAGTGGCTCCAGGACGCAGTAGAGGACGCTGCCGACCAGGGAGCGGACGTAGGGCCCCAGGCACAGGTGTGGGTTCCGAACGAGGCTCCGGGCCACTTGCAAGAGCCGATGGAGCTGCTCCAGGTCGTGGCTGACAGACTTCACCTGTTTGCAGCGGGCGCTGGCTGAGGGGCACACGAGGGGGCAGGCAGGAGCCTGCCACTCTGCGAGCTCCTGCCACCAGCCCTCCCCGGTGCTGGGTCGTGTCCCCGCAGAACCTTCTCCCCTGCCCCAGCCTGCTCACTCACCCCACTGACCACATAGACAAAGTAAGGTAGCAGTGCTGCGATCTTGGAGTTAGTCTGCAGGTCCTGGAGAGCAATCTGAAAAGGAAGGAGCCAGACTGCACTGGGTCCACCAGCCCCAAGGATAAACGGACATTTTTTAAAGGATGCCTGAGTACTTCTGTAGTAAAATTGTACACATTCACACTCTTTGATTCAGCAACTGTACTTCTATAAATTTAACCCACTGTAAGAAATACCCACTCACACACACACCCACTCCCAGCCCTGTCTGTGGCAACACGAAACTGAATACACCCTAGATGCCCCACACGTTTTTAACGGAGAGAAGCAGCTGTTCTAAAACCAGATGTTTACTGTAATACCACTTTGCTTTATTCTAGAGTAATCACAGTTAAAACATTAAAAAAAAAAAAAAAAGGTAAGTTGTTTCCATTGGAGACTCACTTTCCAGCTTGTATGTTTTTACTTTACAATCCTTCTATAATGAACATGCTGGTATTACTTTTATAAGCAGAAAAAAAGAGAGTTAAGTGAATGAGAAAAACCCTCTTAGCCCTGAATCTCTGCTGTGACCTCCAAACTCCTCTGGATAAAGCTCCTGTGCTCAGGTGGGGCAGACAACAGGCTGGCGAGGAAGGAGCTCAGCTCCCAGGCCCTGCATCCAGCCATCTGCCCTGCGCCTGGGGACCGGAGCCATGCTCCTAAGGCAGGCCTGTACGGGAGGGACATTCCCAGTTTTGCCGGGAGAGTGGCAGCGACAGCCAGACAAGTGGAGGAGTGGAGAAGGTAAGCCCTCCAGGAGAGACCTCATGCTTGAGCAGATGCAAATCAGCGCTGCCCTCATTCTGGACAGGTCGCATCCCGCAGGCCCCGCGGAGTCCCAGAGGCTAATGTGGCGGAGTCTCAGACCCGGGCGGCCAGGCACCCTGACCTGGCTGCCTCTACTTCCTTTCTCTCCCTCTCACGTCCAGGCAAATGCAAGCTGCCAGGTGGCTGCCCCCCACCCACCCCCGTGGCCGCAGGTTAATATACACGCTCAAGAGTAGACTCTGGAATTAAAGGGGGGGTACTGACCACATGAGCCCCCAAAATGGCCCTGCTGAGTTGCCCGTTCCCCGGAGAATGAGGTTCCTGCTAGAGTGGGAAGAGGAGTCAGCCCCGGAGGAGGGCCAGCCTCCGAGCACAACATCCCCACTGGCAGCAGCTTCCAGCCGCATCAGCCGGGTGGTGTGGAGTGGACAGGAAGCAGGCATCTGAAAGAGTTTCGGGGAACTTGAAAGCTGGACTTTGTGCCCCACTGGCTCACCTTCATCAGCTGTGGGTCGTCCCCCAGCACAGCCCGGGTCACTTGCTGGTAGTACTTGAGAAGGTCATCAGTCAGCGAAGACACAGCGCTGGGCACTGTGCGGGGATGGGCAGGAGGTAGTCAGGGTGGAGAGCCCAGCCCTCTCCCAGCCTCCCCGGCCTGCTCTCCCTCACCCCCCTACCCTCCACCCTCCCCACCAGAAGCCTTTTCAGACAGGACTCCCAGAGCACATAGTCACCAGCTCCTCGTGGCAGCCTGCTCGGCCCTGACCTTGTAGGCTTTTCACACCTCCGTGCTCTGTACTCTGCCCCCAACCCGTCCTCCGCTAGGCAGATTCCTGCTCGTCCTCAATCCCAGGGACCCCAGCTGCCCAGACTTCTGTGCTAGGATCCAACACCCCGCATCATGACTGGTTCCAGGTCTGGGCTCCTATCTCCAAATCCGAGCCCTCTGGGCAGGGACGGTGCCCACTCAGAACCGGGCATTGGTAAATACTTGTCAGATGAAGAATCAGAGGTACAGGGGCACCCCCACCATTCCCAAGGGGAAAGTTCAGAGCCCGTTCCCCATACTGCCCCTTACCTGATCCTTGTGGGGCCAGGTTCCCTTTGCCATCTAGGTAGGAGACATGAACTAGAACCAGAGCAGAGGGATGGGTCAGCCTGGGGTTTTGCCTGTGGTAGCAACACCCCCCCACCCCCCCGAGTCCTGCTCCATCCACCAGCCCGCCCGTCACCCCTCCTCTGACAAGCCCATTTGCGTCCCTGGCCCTACCTCTCACAGCTGTCTCGGCACAGCCTTTAGGGATGTTGGTGGCCAGGGCCAGCTCCACCAGGTTCACCTCTCGGTCCTCAGGGAAGTAAAGCTCACCCTCTCTGGCAGGGCGTAGGGGCAGCGCCTCCTGGGATCCATAACCACACACGGCCTGAGCAGAGAGGAGCAGAGAGCATGCTGAACCCACGGCGGGAGAGGCGTTCTACCGACCAGGGCAGGGGGTCTACGTGTGAGGCAAGTCCAAAAGTCCCGAGAATGGGGAGATGTGGGAGACTTCGAGCCTACGGCTGGGAATCTGGCTGGAGCATCCAGCGCGCACAGGGTCAGGGAGTAGAACGTGGTCCCTCCTCCCTGACTCGTACAGGCTGAGCCCCACACCCCTATGCTGCCTCATACCCACCCTACTTTGAAAACACAACTCTCTTTTTTCTTTTTTTTAAGTAGGCTTCATGCCCAACACGGGGCTCAAACTCACAACCCTGAGATTAGGAGTCACGTGCTGTACTGAGTGAGCCAACCAGGTGCCCGAACACTACTCTCTTCTAAACATGACCTTCTTCCCTCAAGTCCCTGCCCCACAACAACTATGCAGGACATTTTAATACCCACATTTGTGCCCAGCCTCCTCCTTTACCCAGAATGTCCCCCCGCCTCCCCTCTTGGCTTAGTCTAACGCAAGCCTCCCTTCAAAGCCTGCCTCAAATCCCAGCTCTTCCAAGAAGGCTTCCCTAACCTCCGGGCCCCCCAGCACCTGTCCTGTGGTGGCCACGGCCACCTTATGTGCGTACGTGGTCTTCATGTCTCTCTCTGCGGTGCCAGCCCCAACCTGGGCACGGAGGCGGATCGTGCCAGCCGAGGCCTCCGAAGGCTGTGCTCCACTCACCTCCACGCTGCTCCATCGGAGAGCCCTGTTGAAATCCTCGACGGTCAGCTTCCGCCGTTTGGTGTGTTTCATGAATTGAGAGCTATTCTGGGAGGGGAGAAACAAAGTCAGCGGACAGGAAGAAGGGGCTGTGGAGGTCCCCCAGGGAAGAGAGACAGCCAGGAGGCAAAAAGGACACCAGGACGGAGACCAGAAAGCCTGGAATCCAGCGCTGGTCTTGTGCAAACAGCCCTCGATGTAATGTTCCCTCTCTGCGACCCAGCTGCTCACATGCAGAATGTGAATATGAACGGGGCCTGGCCTGCCCGGCAGGGCTGTTCACAAGATGGGCACGTGAGGCAATGCTCAGCCAGCACTCGGTTTGCCCAGAAGCCCCGCTGGCTCAAAGGGGAACTCGAGAGGGCAGGGACTGCCTCCGCTGCGTTCCCTCAAAGCACAGAGTAGGGGCGGGCCACATACCTGTTTAATACATCCCTGCGGGAGGGGGTAGCCACCGGGAGGGACAAGGAGAGTTGGGAGGGTGCCGGGAGCGAAGGGGAGCGGACCTGGGTGGCCTCTCTGAGCCGGTAGCACACATCCTCCGCGAGCAGGGCCGCCACCTCATCGCTCAGCTCCAGGCCCGTGCTCTCTGCCATGAGCCGGACCGACTCCCGAGGGATCTCCACGAACCGCCGCTCCTCTCGCTCGGACATGGCCCCGACGGAGCTGGGAGCCAGGAGAGAAGGTCTGAGAGGCCCCCCCAGGCCCCCTCCGAGCCCAGGAGCCTGACTCAAGGCCTTCTGAGCCAGGCCGCTGCTCTTGCTCCAGAATCCCCGAACAACGAGCCGCAGAGGCTCTGAGTGTCTGAGGCGAAGCGCAAGAAACAGACGAGCTGGGTCAGACAGGAGTGCTGCCTGAGAAAGGACCTGGCCTTGGGGAGTTCACAGAACTGCCCTACCACTTCCTGAGTGAATGTGGCCGAGGTCCTCGTCAGCCTGAGCCCTGGTGTCCCAACCTGTGAAACACAGGCAATCGCCCCTGCCCTCTGTAACTCGCAGGGTTGCTGTGAGGACAAAATGAGCTGGGGCAGGAGAAAGCCAGGGACTAGAACGCCACCCAAATGGACGATGGAAGATGGAACCATGGTCAGTTACAAGTAAAAACTTCGTGTCTTCTTCCTCCTGATTCTTGCTACAACCACTACCTATTAAATCTTGATGAAAACAGTACTTCTCCCTTGCTCAAAAACCTTCAGTCCTACCCACTGGTTCTAAAAGAAACTCTAAACCCCCCAGCTTGACATTCTGTGTTTGGTCCCAAATCCCCAGAGCTGTTCAAGCCGATCCCTCCTCCCAGTAAGACCAGCCTAGTGTCTTCCAGCCTGCCTTGTGCACCACCACCAGCGCTCAGGCTGGTCGGCCTCCCCCTCTACCCCAAGCCCCCACCCCCTCCTCTTTGCTAAGGCAAATCCAGGCTGCCCTGTACGGTCTTCCTGCCCGTATGCCACTGGGGACTGTCAGGCTTTTAGTAGCTGGGCTTTCTGCCCATGTGTCCCGTCTTTCCCAGTTTGGCTGCGAGGCCTAAAAGCAGGAACCTGCTCTTCCGTTCACAGGATATAGCAGAACAAGAATCCAACAAAAACAGAGGCTGATGAAGGACTCCAACAACTTACACCACAATTAGAAGGCAGGCCCACAAGGGGCAAACTGAGGCATCAGCACCACGGGCAGCAAAGCCCCAGTTCCAGGGTGACCCACCCAGGGTCTGCCCCACTACTCCTCTCTGGCGGGGCTCACTGGGTCACCAGTGATCTCAGGGTCCCTAGATCCAACGGGCATCCTAACCTGGCCTCCCGCATTCCTCCCAGTGGCTCCACATGGCTCTGGAATAAAGAACAAACCTGGTTCCCAGGTCGTGCGTGTCCACTGACTTCCGCAACACCTCCTTCCCTCTTGTGTTCTGCATTCCCACCATGGCCTCTTTCCATTTCCCCCAAAACACCTGCTATCAGGACGTTCATACACTGTTTGCTCTACTTGAAACACTCTCCTCTTCCTCTACCCCCAATCTCTTTGTCTAATGGACTCCTAGCGGCTCCTTCAGATCTCAGTTCAAATGTCACTTGCTCAGGGAAGTCTTCTCAGACCTCCACAGTGTACCGGTACTTTGCCTTCAAAGCAATTATCACAGCTTGTAATTATATATCTGTGTAACTTTGTGATTAACACCTACCTCCCCACTAGATTGTAAGCTCCACACAGCTAGGATCATGCCTGTTTGCTCACCTTTGCATCCCCAGCGTCGGGCACAGTGTCAGCACATAATACGCCCTCAATGAACACTTGCTGCAAAAACGAATAAAGAATAGCTATTTTTTTCTAAGCACATGCAACGCCTGAGGCACAGAGCTAAGTGCTTTATATGGCTTATACTTCATTCTATCCTCATTAACAATAAGATAGATATTATGTAAGTACTGCGTCTATTTCACAGCCAAGGAAATCAAAGCTCAGAGAGGTTAAACGTTCAGTGACTTGTCCAAGATCACCCAGCGAGCACTAAGTAGGGAGCAAGGGCTCAACTCTGGTTCCTGATCATCAGGAGTGGCGGGCTGTGTGGGGAACAAGGCCTGGATTCCCAGCCCGGATTCTTGGCGTTGGAGACCCGCCAATGGATAATTCTGAAGTTTCTGTTTCCCCGTCTGTAAAATGGGAGCATGAAGTCCTGCCCACGCGGAAAGCGCGGAGGGAGTTTCCTTACTGTGTGCCCACATGAAGACCCACAAAGTCCAGGCTCTGACCAAGGTCTCCCCCTCCTCAACCTCCTCCCTGCACCCTCAGCCACTAGCCACACTGGTAAAGAGCGTGGGAACTGGCCGCCACCGGCCTCGGGGGTGCGCATCCTCCCACCACGCCTCGCTTCATCCCAGATCCAGAAGTGGCGGGGTGGGGTGGAGGAGGTCAGGGGTTACCGAACTTGGGTCACGTGGTCAGCGAAGGGGGCGGGCCCCCAGCGGAGTCGGCCCTAAGACCAGTGAGTGCGCGGCCCACAGCGGGATGGAGAGCCCTCGGGCCTGCTCGGGCCTGCTCACCTGAGGGCTCCGGCGCAGCGAGAGCGGCTACCGAAACGGCGGTGGAGGCGGCGGCGGCGGCTGCAGCTCCCACTTACCCTGCTCACCCTAATTCCCTCTCTCTGAGCCCAGGCCCCACCCTCCAAGAGCACAGCCAATCGGCGAGCGCTTTGCGAAGTTCCCGCCCTCCCGGGGGCTTCCGGCCAAGCGATTGGCCTCTGTGAAGGAGCTGAAAAGCCTCTGGGCGCAATGTGGGTCACGTGACGCCGAGGAGTCGGGCTTCTTAAAGCAACAGCTCTTGAGAGTTTTGCGAGTAGGTACCTATGGTTTGGCGTCTGTTTGAAAAGCGTATTGTCAAAGAAAGCGTCCCTATTCCCTTGGTCTTGTCTGCTCCTGAGTTTCAGGGCATTTGCGTTTACGCGACTGCAGCGAAGCTTTATTTTTTATTTTTATTTTTTTTTTAACTATTTATTCAGTAGAGACAGAGAGAGAGATAGAGAGAGAGGCAGAGGGAGAAGCAGGCTCCCCGCTGAGCAGGGAGCCCGATGCGGGACTCGATTCCAGGACCCTGGGATCATTACCTGAGCGGAAGGCAGACGCTTAACCATCTGAGCCACCCAGGCGCCCCTGCAGCGAAACTTTCAACTTTGATGTCTAATCAAAGTTTTCTTTGCCCGCTTGGTGGGGCTCAGCTTACCTCTCCAGCATCACCTGCACTTCTCTTTTCCGCCGGATGGATGGAGCTCCTAGTGGGTATTCTCTTCGGACAGAAGGGTCTTCCCACTGGCCCAAACTCACGTGCAAGCTGCAGACTCCAGGGCCCTGCTCATTCTGACACCCTACCTCCTATCTTTCTCATTCCTGTTCAGTAAGCGAAATATAACCCCTCACCTGCCTCGCAGACTTCCTTGACCATTTTACGTGCACACACTTTCCCGAACTTGGGCAGTTCTCAATTCAGAACTAAGTGGATTTAGTGAGTTGAGGACAGTATTTGGAGTCACCAACCTGGGTTCAAATTCTGCCACCGGTTTGGAGCAAGTTACCCAACCACATTTTCACCCAACTACAAAATGAGGTAATAATACCCACCTCACGGGATTCTGTAGATTAAATGAGATAATGTCCGTGAAAGCCCTTGGCAGAGTTGTGGTTGAACCTTCTTTCACACAACAAGAGGCAGACAGTGAATTCATTCCTTTATGTTCATCCAAGATGAGGTAGTTTGCAATGGGCTATTCATTATAGAAAGGAGTATTCCGCGGGGGAGCGTGAATGTACACATACTCGCCCTTCTTCCCTCTCAGGGCTAGATGCTGCTGCCTCTAGAAAAGAAGATCCTCCCAGGCCAGAGCTGGGAAAGCCAGATGGATGTGGCTGGGTTGTCATGGCAACACCACCTAAGGAGACTATGACCCTGCTGAGTCTCTTCCAGTTATATTCAGAATGACATTCGGAGTAGTTTTTAGTACTGTGCTTGAACACTGGAGTGTCGGCCCACCTCTGCATAAAGGGAAGGGGTGGGGGCTCCTCCAAGGTCCTGAGTCTGAGGTCAGCTTAGCAAGATCTGGGCTGCTGTCAGATCTCCTTGCTGAGGTGTTATTAGTCTGGACAGCCATTGGCAACCTTGGAAGCAGGAGACAACAGGGGAAGGCCCTGGGGCCTGTGCAATACAGTGAAACTGAATTCAAGCTATCTGGGGCCCATCTGCTCCCAACCTCGGGTGGAGGCAGGGGCCAAGGAAAACAGTAGTGAGACCCACATGGCCACAGATAAAAGTGGGTCCCACTCACTCCCCAGCCACCTAGTGTCAGGCAAAAAGAGCTAATGATGGCTTTGGAGCCAGATGGACAGTTTAAAAACAAAACAAAAGCTCTACCACTCATGAGCTGTGTGACTTTAGGCATTCTAGTTCAGGTGTCTAACCTGTTTTATCAACTGTCAAGTGGGATAACAGAACCTACTGATTGTTGTGAACAATCCAGTACCGTGTGTAGAAGATTTAGCATTAGCAGGCAGACACTCCTGTTACCTGTGACCTTTGTAAGAGGCCGTAACTTTCAGTTACAAACCATCTCCAGGTTATCCGTACTTGATCCCTTCCCCCCACAGCGCCTGTCCTCTTAGTGGGTGCCACACCGCACATCCTCACCACCACCCACGTCCTCATGTTCCACGAGCTGCTTCCGTCCATCAGTTGTTTCCTTTCTAGGCCTGGTGTTACTTCCAGGTTATCCCACACACAATCTACAGATGAGTGGTTCCACCTGAGAACTTGGGAGGAATTTTGCTTGCAGTGACACACATGGTGTTTACAGCTTAGGCGGAAGTCCCTACAACCCAGGTGATCGACTCAGAGTACGACCAAGTGGTAGCACAACTATAATGTGGTTTTCATGGGAAAAATTCATTGCAAATCCAGCCCAGAAACTGTTCCCGATTCAACAAACTTGGAAAACCTGGCCCCGTGCCAAGAGCCAGAGATTAAAAAAACAAAAGGGATGCGTGTGAATCTACAATTATCTCAATAAAATAACAAACTTTACATAATGAAAAATGAGGGGCGCCTGGCTGGCTCAGTCCGTAGAGCAGGTGACTCTTGATCTCAGGGTCATTGAGTTCAAGCCCCACGGTGGGCGTAGAGATTACTTAAAAGAGAAGGTTAGGGGCGCCTGGGTGGCACAATCAGTTAAGCATCCCACTCTTGGTGTCAGCTCAGGTTGTGATCTCAGGGTCATGAGATGGGGCCCTGCGTCAGGTTCTGCGCTCAGTGAGCTGTCTGCCGAGATTCTCTCTCCCTCTCCCCCACCCACTCATGCTCTCTAAAATAAATAAATTAGTCTTAAAAAAAAAAAAAAAAGAGAGAGAGAGGGCACCTGGCTGGCTCAGCAGGTTAAGCGTCTGCCTTCGGCTCAGGTCATGATCCCGGGGACCTGGGTTCGAGCCCCACATCAGGCTCCCTACTCAGCGGGAAACCTGCTTCTCCCTCTTCCTCTGCCTGCTTCTCCCCATTTGTGCTCCCTGTCAAATAAATAAATAAAAATATTTTATTTATTTGACATAGAGAGAGCGAGAGAGAAACAGAGACGGAGAGACAGCAGGAACACAAGCAGGGGGAGCGGCAGGCAGGGGAGAAGCAGGCTCCCTGCTAAGCAAGGAGCCCGATGTGGGGCTCGATCCCAGAACCCTGGGATCATGACCTGAGCCAAAGGCAGACGCTTAACCGACTGAGTCGCCCAGATGCCCCAAATAAATAAAAATCTTAAAAAAAAGAAAAAGGTTAAAAAAAGAAACGGGAGACAGTAACAAAACCACATTTTGTGACACACTGTTAAGGTATGAATGGAAAAACCTCGATCTATTTGTCCAGGAGTGGTGAAGGCAAGGAGAAGGAAACCACATTCAAGTGCCATTTTCTTACCATGTTCCAGCCACTATTCTGGATGCTTCATATCAGGGTCTCTGGACTTTGGCATGATTGACATTTGGGACCAGATAATTCTTTTATTATTATACAGTTTGAACTTTATAGGTCTATGTTTCCAGTTTTGGAAAGTTTATCTTTTGGCAGCAGAAGCCTTTTTATTCAAATGAGAATGTATCCAGAACTGCATCGTATCGAAGCCAGGCAGGAGCGAGGCCATGTGGGAAGCTGTCTCAGGGGCTGGGTCTGCAGTCCTGCCTGCTAGGGTGCTCAGCTGGTGGCTGGGCTAGAGGAGCCTGGGGGCGGGGAACTGGGGGGGGTGGAGAGAGAGAGAGAGAGGAGGGAAGGAGCGAGTGGAGGGAGGCCGCTCTGGGTCCTTGTCCTGGGGGGAGTTCTGACACAGACTGGGGCCCAGGGCCCTAGGCCCCTCTTGGCCACACGGGATGTTGGTGGTGGTGCTTCCTTGGGGTGCAAGACAAAGGCTTAGGATCTGTTCAGACATTTATCGAAAACGCACCTGGGCCTGGCCTGGGCTGGCAGCTGAGCTCCCAGGTGGTGGAGAAGATGGAAACACTGAGGGAGTTCAGTCCTCTGGGGAAGCACAGGGTGCTGGGGGCGCCCAGGTGGGCAGTTGGGGCTTCAGGAAGGTTTCCTGAAGGCAACAAATGCTTGGGCAGAGCTAGGAACAGTTAGTAAGGGTGAACCTGGCCAAAAAAAAAAGGCTGGAAGGGCGTTCCAGGCAGAGGGAACAGCATGGATAAGGCACAGAGGCTTGCCACAAACAGTCCATGTGTAGGTGGAGCCCTAAAGCAGCATCGACTCACAGGAGGGGAAATGGAAAGGTAGGCATGAGACAGGAGGGAGTTGGGCCTGAGTGCTGCACTGGGGTAGCAAGTCTTCATCGCCCTCTGGGTCCCTGAAGCCCCATCCCTTCCCCCACAGGTCCTGGCAGCCGGCATTGAGGCAAACTTACCAGATAATTCTTTGCTGGGGGGTGGGGGGGTGCGCTGTCCTATACATTGTAGGATGTTTAGCAGCATCCCTGGCCTCTACTCACTAGAAAGCAATACCATCCACAGTTGTCACAACCCAAAAACGTCATTGCCAAATGTCCCCTGGGGGCAAAAATCACCCCAGCTGATAATCACTGCTTTATATGCATTATATCACAATAATCACAATTAACAGTTGAGGGCCTATCATGGGCCAGACTCTATGCAAGCCACTTGCACGTGTGAGCTCATACTAGCAGCAACCATCCAAAGAGGGTTGTATGGTGACACCTGGGTGGCTCAGTCAGTTAAGTGTCTGCCTTGGGCTCAGGTCATGATCCCAGGGTCCTGGGATCAAGTCCCGAATCAGGCTCCCTGCTCAGAGGGGAGCCTGCTTCTCCCTCTTCCTGCCGCTCCTCCTGCTTGTGCTTTCTCTCTCTGACAAATAAATAAAAATAAAATCTTCAAAGAGGGTTGTATGCCCATTTCATAATGAGAAAACATAAGGTCACCCAACTAGGACTGAAACCCAGTTCTGCTTCAACCCAAATACCACGCTTTCTACAACACAGCTCTGCTGAAAAAGGAGGAAGAGGAGGAGGAGGGGGAGGAGAAGGAGGAGGAGAATTATTGACTGAGACTTGCTAGATTAGCAGGCAACAAGCAGACAGGCTGGGAGAGGGCATTCCGAGGCAGACAAACTATATTACAAAAGCAGAGTGTGAGCATACTGTGGGGGAGGGAAGCATGTTTGTTTAGTCTTATGTTCATTTCATGGATTTTGGCCGTGTCACCCTAAGGACATTTTGAGGCTACTCACATTTTCAGTTCAGCTTAGGGACTGATTAGCACATAAAGGCTTCTGTTGTTTGTGGAGCCATCCTAGGAAGGGCTACGTTGAGATGCCACAGTCTGGGTCATTACTATCCTCTTGTTTCCCTCTCCCTACCCAACCATCTTGTCCCCCCTCATGCCCAGCTATACCCTTGGTTATGTTTAAGGGTGAGGGAAGGGCGAATACTCTGAAAATAGATTGGGACTTGGAATGGCTCTAAAGGCAGAATCATTTGCTGGAAGCCAAAGACCTAACATTGGTGCCTTCCCTTCAACGAGGTCAACTTTAGCCCTCTGCAGAAGGGTTTAGTCAGATCACCTGGGTCGCTGAGGCCACTTGAGGCATCAGGCCACCAAAAGACAGGCTAGCAAGCAAATGGCCTCCAGCCTTTTCTAAGAAAGAGTTGTTCTTACCAAAGAAAGGAGGTAACACTTCCATGAGAAAAAGGACCTTTTATGGTTAGAATGCACAGTCAAAAATCTGGGGGGGGTGGCTGCTAAGCAGCACAAAGAATCAGATGTTCTTCTGGGGACAAGGAACCTTCTTTGCCTCCCTACAGCAGCCAGACTGGGCCTCTGGACAACATGAGGAGCGTGACCATCACATCTCCTAGATAAGGACCAAACAGAGCAGGGGGCCCTGGCACTCAGCTCACAAGCCCTGCAGGAAACAGGAAAAGCACATCAGTTAGGCTCAGAGCTTGGGGCAGCCATCCCCAGGCATTCCCCATCCCATGAAGCACATGTCCTGGATCTTCCAAGCAGACAGTCATGAGAGTTTTCTTCATCTGCGACTTGGCCATTAAGTCCCACATCCGCCCCCTGCCTCCACACACCCCTTCTCCAGTAACAACCCTGGATGCATGATCAGGCACTCACCCAAGTAATCGTCCATCAGAGAGCCAATAGCAAACTGCAGGAGGGAAGGTAGAAAGGAAATAAAGCCTGAGCAAGCACAGAACTAGCCTCTAACCCCTAGCCCCAGGCCTTCTGCCCACCCATCCCCTCCTCCTGGCAGAAGAGCACAAAATCCCCAGGAATCCTGGGTGGTTAAGACATCAACAGCTCCCAGCTCTGCCTGGTACAGGCAGGAAGGCAGGCAAGAGACTCACAATGTCATTCTTGTCCACACGAGTCCCCACAATCTTCAAGCGGATCTCATCGTCCTGCTGAATCACAATGTCCTGGGGAAGAGGGAACAGGATACTCAGATAGCCCCCAAGCCAAAAATCCCTTGGCAGGCTCATTCTTCCCCCCTCTCACGGTCTTCCCCACTCACCTCGTCCATTGTCTTGTAGCACGGTGGGTTGGAGTTGGGGTCAAACTCCATCTCTGATGGGATGGACTGAAAGGAAAGCAAGACTGGGTCAGCGCTTTACATGGGTGCTTCCAGAGATGGTCATGACTGGCGCCTGTCCTCCTTCACACCCCCGGCACCCCCAGACTTACATGTCGAGAGATGAAGCAGGACATAGGTCCAATTTCTGTGAAGAGCCCAACCTAGGGGGACAATGAATAACTTTGCTTTGTCTTTTATCCCCCAACTCTTCTAAGCTTCCCAACTTCATCTGATTCCCAAAAATATTCTTCATGTTTTGAAACCACTCGGAGTCGGGTCATTTGCTTTCATGTCTCTCTTCTGCCAAGATTTCATTTTTTTTTTTTTTTAAAGATTTTATTTATTTGACAGAGAGACACAGTGAGAGAGGGAACACAAGCAGGGGGAGTGGGAGAGGGAGAAGCAGGCTTCCCGCGGAGCAGGGAGCCCGATGCGGGGCTCGATCCCAGGACCCTGGGACCATAACCTGAGCAGAAGGCAGACGCTTAACAACTGAGCCACCCAGGTGCCCCTAAAGATTTTATTTATTTATTTGACAGAGACACAGCAAGAGAGAGAGCACAAGCAGGGGGAGTGGGAGAGGGAGAAGCAGGCTTCCCGCGGAGCAGGGAGTCCGATGCGGGACTCGATCCCAGGACCCTGGGATCATGACCTGAGCTGAAGGCAGACGCTTAACGACTGAGCCACCCAGGCGCCCCAAGATTTCATTTTAAGTGAAGCAAATTCAGTGCAATCAAGGGCCAAGGCTTGGGACCTGTCCATCCACAATTTGACCACCTGTTGATCACATGACCTTGGCCAGTACTCTTAACTTCTCCAAGCGTAAGCTTCTATAAAAAGGGATGAAAAGCACCCACCTCAGTCGTCATGAGGTTTTGCACCACACCGGGCCCACAGTAAGTACTCAATGAATGGAGGCTGCTATTGCTGGCTACTCACACTGACTCCCATGACCCGGAGGGAGGCAGCACAGTGACTGTACCATTTGACAGGTGAGGAAACTCAAGTAGAAAGCGACTCAGCCAAGGACACAGAGTTAGCAAGAGCAGGCGGGACCCAGCCCCCATCTTCTGAGCAGCCACCCAACTGCCTCCGCTATGTATGGTCTCACCTTGTTGACTTGAGTGACGACAGCATCCACGACCTCCCCTTTAAAGGGCCGGAAAACAATGGCCTTGTACTTAACCGGATAAAGGACAAAGCCTCGGCCTGGCTGGATCACACCAGCACCAATATTGTCAATGGTGGTGACAGCAATTACAAAGCCATACCTGTAAGGAGGATGGGGAAAAGAAAGGCACTGTGTGGGGCGCCTGGGTGGCTCAGTCGGTTAAGTATCTGCCTTCAGCTCAGGTCATGATCCCAGGGTCCTGGGATCGAGTCTCGCATCGGGCTCCCTGCTCTGTGGGGAGCCTGCTTCTCCCTCTCCTCCCCACTTGTGCTCTCTATCTCACTCTCTCTCTCTCTCAAATAAATAAAATCCAAAAAAAATTAAAAAAAAAAGAAAGAAAGAAAAGCAATGTGTGGGCAAGAGCCTCTAAAACCATATGCAACAAGACAGGGAGCATGGGGATTAGGGGAGAGCACCACCCCTGCCCCCAGAACTTAATGCCTGAGAGAAGACAGGACACCAATCAGTATCTATAATGCCAAACGCTGCCCTCATAATTTCACAATAAATGTCCAAGGAGGCTGCAGTCCTTGAACCAAGAGACCTCAATCTTGGGCATGCCTCAGAATCACCTAAGAGGAACTTACTAAAACACAGATTCCCAGGTCTGTCCCCAGTCTTGATTCTATCGGGATGAGATGAGGCTCAGGAACTTGCATGTGCCTTTTTTTTTTTTAAGATTTTTTTTTTAAATTAATTTATTTGACAGAGAGAGACACAGCGAGAGGTAACACAAGCAGGGGGAGTGGGAGAGGGAGAAGTAGGCTTCCCGCCGAGTGTAGAACCCGACGCGGGGCTCGAACCCAGGACCCTGGGATCATGACCTGAACCGAAGGCAGACGCTTAACGACTGAGCCACCTAGGCGCCCCTAAGACTTTATTTTTTATTTATTTGAGAGCACGAGCAGGGGTAGGAGGAGAGGGAGAAACAGACTCCCCGTTGAGCATGGAGCCCCACATGCAGCTAAATTCCAGGACCCTGAGATCAGGACCTGAGCCGAGGTCAGACACCTGACCTACTGAGCCACCCAGGCGCCCCTGTCTGGGCTTATTCGGATGTGGGAGGCCCATGTACTCCATAGCCCCGGGCTCATCCCAGCTCATTCACATCACCATGTGAGAGGCCGTTGTGTGCAGAGCCCAGAGATGTGCCATGCCAGTCATGTGGGATGGAAAAAACCAGAAGGATAACAGGGAGAACAGACACAGGAACAGTGATTAGGCTGTGAGCCCCACGAGAGCTGGCCTCATTCTATCTCGTTCCCTGCATTGTTCCCAGGGCCCAACACAGAACCTGGCACACAGCAGGAACTTTAGAAATGTTTGCGGAGTAAATGAATGACCAATCTCTGCTGAAGTAAAGCAGTCTTGCGATCCAGCTTTGCTGAGGGCGCCGCGGGAACCCAAAGCAGGAAGCAAGTGACTGCGTGGGGTGCCTGAGAAGGTGGGAGGGTTCCCCAGGGTAGGTGGCAGGTCCTTGCGGGATGAGTAGGAGTTGGGGAGAGGCTGCAAGCATCGGGCGCCTCGAAGCGCGCGGCACTCACTTGCCGGTGCAGGTCCCCTCCACCTCGGTGAAGAGCTTCTGCTTTACCGTGTTGAGCAGGTTGGGGCCGAAGTAGCGCGGGTGCAGCAGGATCTCGTGCTCCAGGGAGATCTGCGGGGAGAGTGGGGTGGAGACCAAGCAAGACGCGGTAGGGACACGGGGTCAAGAGTAACTCAACGTCCCGGCGCCCCGCTTCGCTCCTCCTCTCAACCCGGCCCTCGCCGCCACCCCGTGCTCCGCTCACGTGATAGAACATCTTCCCAGCAGGGACGCGACAGCACCGGAATCCACACAAGCCTCGGCAGCCGGGCCTCCGCCCAAACCGGAAACACGCACAGCCTCCCCAACCCTGCTTCCGGGCCTGCCCCAGCGAAGTGGGCGGGACTCTGCGCCCTCCGTAGACCCAATTGGGCATCGCTGTCGTGGGCGGGAAATCCGTGAGCCACGCCCACTTATGCCACGCCCACCAGTGGGTCCAACCTCCAGACTCTTAACAGTGCCAGGCCTAGAATGGACGCTCAATAAATAAGTACTTTTTAAAAAATTTTGTTTATCAGAGAGGGAGAGCACAAGCATGGGGAGCGGCAGGCAGAGAAAGAAGTAGGCTCCCTGCTGAGCAAGGAGCCCTATGTGGGACTCAATCCCAGGACCCTGGGATCATGACCTGAGCGGAAGGCAGAGGCTTAACCGACTGAGCCACCCAGGCATCCCAAAATAAGTACTTTTAAATGGAATTGATTAGCTAATGAAAGACAACAGGAATAAAGCGCTTTAGCAGAGTGCATTCGTATAGCAAATATTTGAGGACTGCTTTCACATAGCTAAGCATAGGAAGTAGCTGTCTTTTTCCAGCAACCCCACCAGGCAAGCTTTACCAATGAGGTCCCAGGCTCAGAGGGTTGAGGTCACTTGAGGATCACTCAAGGGCGGGATTCAAATTCACGATGTCTGACCCCAAGACTCTTGCATATTTGGGCATTCCAGATTTTCATGCAGGATTTGTTCAACAAACATGGAATACCCACTCCTTGCCCCCAGGTAGTTAGGAGATGAAGCCTCCAAAATCAGAGCCCAGAAGGCAGCACTCCCTCCCTGTGTGAGAAACCAGGTAGGTCACTGCACTCCTCCTTCCTGGTCCCCCTTTCCACTCCCCCCCAACACACACACCAGGGGCTTAGAGAACTGATGAGCCTTTGTTCCTTCAACTCCGCCCACTTTTTTGTAGACAGTCCCTTTATTAAACTCACCTCAATTAACCAGAGTGAGCATACAGTCTGTTCCCTGCTGAGACCCTGACTGATAAAAGGGTGGTACAGAAAGAGGCAGAAACCATGAGACACAGACCCGTGAGAAAGGCTTAGCAAGGGCAGTGGGTTCTAGAGCCAGGACAATACTGTGGCCTTGAGTAAACTCCCAGTTGCCTAAGTTTTTTTATGTTGTAAATAAAAGAGCCTGACCCGCCCTCCTTCAAGAACAGAGACAGCTGCTTCCTCAGAGCAGTCACATACCAGTTGCCATTGACACTGCCCATTTCCTAGAATGTCTGAGCCCACCAATCTCCCACTCAGACTCCATGGGGATCCCCTTTGGAGAATCAGGCAAGGAAGCAGATGAATGGGCCTCAGCAGTTCTTAACTTCTCTTCTTTTCCAGCCAGCCTCCCCTCAAAGGCAACTTTTGTTTTGTTTTGCTTTTTATTTAAATCTAATTAATTAGGGCGCCTGGGTGGCTCAGTTGGTTAAGCGACTGCCTTCAGCTCAGGTCATGATCCCAGGGTCCTGGGATCGAGTCCCACATCGGGCTCCCTGCTCTGCGTGGAGCCTGCTTCTCCCTCTCCCACTCCCCCTGCTTGTGTTCCCTCTCGCTGTGTCTCTCTCTGTCAAATAAATAAATAAATAATCTTTAAAAAAAATCTAATTAATTAACATATAGTGTATTATTGGTTTCAAGAGGTAGAGGTCAGTGACTCATCAGTGTTATATAACACCCAGTACTCATTACATCACGTGCCCTCCTTAATGCCAGTCACCCAGTAGCCCCATCCCCCCACCCACCTCCCCTTCAGCAACCCTCAGTTTCCTAGTTAAGAGTCTCTCTTGGTTTGTCTCCCTGTCTGATTTTGTCTTGTTTTATTTTTTCCTCTCTTCCCCTATGATCTTCTGTTTTGTTTCTTAAATTCCACATATGAGTGATATAATTATCTTTTTCTGATTGACTTATTTCGCTTAGCATAATACCCTCTAATTCCATTTACATCGTGTTGCAATGGCAAGATTTCATTTTCTGATGGCTGAGTAGTATTCCATTGTGTATATATACACCACATCTTCTTTATCCATTCATCTGTCAATGGACATCTGGGCTCTCTCCATAGTTTGGCTATTATGGACCCCTCAAAGGCAAACTTAAGGACAGTGGGGTGCTGGAACCAACTACAAGAGCCTTTTTTTTTTTTTTTTTGGTGGGCAGCAAAACAAGGTTTATTGAGCTATAGCAAAGTGATAGTACAAAGTTTCCAAGGAGGGAGGGGACCCAAAGGGGTTGCCACCGGAATTTCTAAGTCTAGGGGGTTTTATGGGCTTTGTTGGCGGGCTGTTTTCATATGATGAACCCTCCCTGAGCCTGTCATCCAATCGGGTTTTTGTCACCTATCATATGGGAAAGGGTGGAGGGCTCCTTCCAGGGTGGTGTGAAAGGGTGTTTTAAGGGTGGTTTCCTCTTAGGGCGTGGGGCGGGGGGGTTGTCCCACCTGCCTTTCTTCCAGTTATCCTTCATCATTCCCCCCTCTGAAGAGGTAACCCTAACTGCTCTTAGGGAAAAAGGGTGAGGACCGACCATAGCTACTTCCTGCTGGTCAGGGACGTGGATGGGGTGGCAGTCAGGGTTCCTCTCATCCAGATCTATCAAGGGGTCCCCTGGCAGTCAGGGTTCCTCTCATCCAGATCTACCAAGGGGTCCCATGGTTTGACCTTCTGGAAAATATGAAGAGGGTTAGGGCATTTAGGAGGCAAGGCCCAGTGCACAATGAAAGACTGAGTACAGCCAGGAGTCCGGCGAGGGATAGAGGATGTCTTCGTGAACTCCCCACATACTGTGAGGAGAAGGCAGGCAAAAGGAAAAAGACTTATCTGTGGGGCGCCTGGGTGGCTCAGTTGGTTAAGCAACTGCCTTCGGCTCAGGTCATGATCCTGGAGTCCCGGGATCGAGTCCCGCATCGGGCTCCCTGCTCGGCGGGGGGTCTGCTTCTCCCTCTGACCCTCCCCCCTCTCATGCTCTCTCTCTCTCATTCTCTCTGTCTCAAATAAATAAATAAAATCTTAAAAAAAAAAAAAAAAAAGACTTATCTGTGTCTTGTCACTTCAAGACTAGCTTGAGTCCTCTCTGGGTTCACAGAGGGATTTTGGTTCCTTTTGTTAGGCCCCATTGGGGACCAGGGTTTGACCAGGGTTTGACTCTGGAATGGTGGATCCAGGCTTCACTTTGACTGCTGGTGGAGTTGCTAAAATCCTGGTATATGGGCCTTCCCAGACCAGGTCTAACAAGCACTTGGTCCCCAGGGTGAAATGGGAGAGATTGGTTAATTTGGGGCTGGGAGTTAGGAAGTTCCTTGTAAGAGGGATGAAATGATTAAAGTCCAAAACCTCGGATACTCCCTTATCACTTCTGAGCCTTTTTTTTTTTTGAGAGAGAGAGAGAGAGTGCACATATTTGGTAAGTAGTAGGGGTGGGGGGGACACAGAGGGAGAGGGAGAGAGAGTCCTAAGCAGGTTCTACTCCCAGACCAGAGCCCAAGGTGAGGCTCAATCCCACAACCCTGAGATCACAACTGGAGCTGAAATCAAGAGTCAGACGCTTATGGGGCGCCTGGGTGGCTCAGATGGTTAAGCATCTGCCTTTAGTTCGGTCATGGTCTCCAGATCCTGGGATCGAGCCCCATGTCGGGGTCCCAGCTCAGCGAGGAGTCTTCTCCCTCTTCCTCATGCCTCTCGCCCTGCTTGTGATCTCTCTGCCTTTCTCTCTCTCTCAAATGAGTAAATAAAATCTTAAAAAAAAAAAAAATCAGACGCTTAACTGACTGAGCCATCCAGGTGCCCCTTAATTTAATTTTATTTTAGGGTTTTTTTTTTTTAAGATTTTTATTTATTTATTCATGAGAGACAGAGAGAGAGAGGCAGAGGGAGAAGCAGGCTCCCAAGGAGCAGAGAGCCCAATGGGGGACTCGATCCCAGGACCCTGGGATCATGACCTGAGCCGAAGGCAGACGCTTAACCATCTGAGCCACCCAGGCGCCCATTTTAGGGTTTTTTTAAAGACTTTTATTTATTTATTTGACAGAGAGAGGGAGAGAGAGAGAGAACACAAGCAGGGGGAGCAGCCGGGAGAGTGGGAGAGGGAGAAGCAGGCTTCCTGCTGAGTGGTGAGCCCGATGCGGGGCTCGATCCCAGGACCCCGGGATCATGACCTGAGCCGAAGGCAGTCGCTTAATGACTGAGCCACCCAGGTGTCCCTAATTTTAAGTAATTTCTACACCCGAGTGGGGCTCGAAATTACAACCCCAAGATTGAGTTGCATGCTCTACCGACTGAGCCAGCCAAGTGCCCCTAGCCAGTTGTTAGTATTTCAGAAATTTTACAAGCCAGCTGTTAAATACAGCCTCTATCAAACATTTAATGCTGTCTATTATTATAACTTACAATTAAATTAATTATACTGAAAAAAAAAGGCAGGGGTGCCTGGGTGGCGCAGTTGGTTAAACGTCCAACTCTTTTTTTTTTTTTTTAAAGATTTTATTTATTTATTTGACAGAGAGACACAGCGAGAGAGGGAACACAAGCAGGGGGAATGGGAGAGGGAGAAGCAGGCTTCCCGCGGAGCAGAGAGCCCGATGTGGGGCTCGATCCCAGGACGCTGGGATCATGACCTGAGCCGAAGGCAGACGCTTAACAACTGAGCCACCCAGGCGCCCCTAAACTTCCAACTCTTGCTTTCATTTGGCTCAGGTCGTGATCTCAGGGTTGTGAGATCGAGCCCCCTGTCGGGCTCCCGCTCAGTATGGAGTCGGCTTGAGATTCTCCCTCCCTCTCCCTCTGTCCCTCCCGTTCATGCTCTCTCTCTCTCATAAATAAACAAATATTTAAAAAAATATATAAACTTAAAAAACAAAGGCAGAGGTGAGGTAGTTTTTTGCTTTTTGCTTTTTTTGGAATGTTGGTGAGGTTGGTGGGGTCCGGTGCTGATGGCCAAGAAAGAATTCTTGAGTCGTCTTTGGTGCAAAAAAGGTGGTTTTATTAAAGCACCGGGACAGGACCCCTGGGCAGAAAGAGCTGCTGTGGATGGGGCCCCACTGCTCCCTGCTGCCCGGGGATTGTGAGGAACAACAGATTATACACCTTGGGGTTGTGGGGGACATAAAGATAAGGGAAATTCTAAAAAGAATTTCATATGCTAAAGAAGACTCAGGATCCTGGAGGAATGTTATAATCTGCCTTTTCAAGTATTTGTCAATGGGCTGCCGGTTATAAGGATGTTTAATTTTATCTACATTTCCTTCGGTCTTTCCCACATCAGAGGTATAGACGAAACAAGTTTGGCGATACATTTGTAATTGTTGAAGCCGGGTGATGGGTAATAATGGTTTCTTATATGTTTCCTTCTACTTTTGTGTGTTTGACATTGTTCATAATAAAAAGTTAGAAAAAAAACCCACAAAGGTAATTGTGATATTGTGATTTATAATAAATATATATTTGGTCTTCTCTGTTCTTGGCACAGAGCTCCTAAAACCCTCAGAATTTCCTAAGTGATAACAGTGTTAAAGGTGTCTTGATATTCATAACAAACCCCTTTCAAACCTGAGTTTATGTTAATGAGGTGACATTTGAAAATCACCTAATAATAGGGACTGGTTGCTGGGGGAACCAACCTCAAGACTGAAGGGTTGGATCTTTCGGTCTCAACCTCCTGACCTCCAGGGTAGGGAGAGGGCTGGAGGTTGAATCCTTGACCTTTGGCCAACGATTTCATCAATTGTGTGTGTGTAATGAAGCCTCCATAAAAACCGAAAAGGAAGGGGGTTCAGAGAGCCTCTAGGTTGGTGAATACCTTGGAGATACTGGGAGAGTAGCACTGTAAGAGAGAGCATAGAAGTTCCATACCCTTTTCCCATACTTTGCCCTATGCATCTCTTCACCTAGCTATTCCTGAGTTATATATCCTTTTATAATAAACCAGTAATCTAGTAAGTGAAATGTCTTTGTGTTCCATGAACCACTCTAGCAAATTAACTAAACCCAAGAAGGAGTCTTTGGAACTTCCAATCTATAGCCAGTAGGTGAGAAGCACAGCTGACAACCTGGACTTACAATTGGCATCTAAAAGGGGAGCATTCTTATAGGACTGAGCCCTTAACCTGTGGAACCCAACATCTCCAGGGAGATGGTTTCAGAATTGAATTGTAGAACACTCAGCTGGTGTCTGAGAATTACTTGATGTGTGTGTGTGTGGGGGGGGGGGGAACAGACATTGTAATTAGAGTCAGAATTATTATTTTTAAAGATTTTATTTATTTATTTGAGAGAGAGAGACACAGCTAGAGAGGGAACACAAGCAGGGGGAGTGGGAGAGGGAGAAGCAGGCTTCTTGCGGAGCAGGGAGCCTGACGCGGGGCCCCAAAGGTAGACGCCCAACCGACTGAGCCACCCAGGCACCCCTAGAGTCAGAATTATTAATAAATACTTATTACTCATCACTTCCTGGGGTGCCTGGCTGGTTCAGGTGGTAGAGCATATGATTCTTGATCTTGGGGTTGTGAGTTCAAGCCCCATGTTGGGTAGAGAGATTTCTTAAAAGAGTAAAATAAAATCCTAGAAGATACCCTCATCTCTTCCTAGTCATTTTACCACAGTTTACTATTATCGATGCTCTTGAGTTCATTTACACCTATTGTGCCTGTGTGGTATGGTAAAATATTATAATTGCATATGCAGGGATAAGAATTCCAGTTGTTCTAATATCCTCACCAGCACTTTGTATTGTCAGCAGGGTTTGTTTATTTAGCTATTCTAGTATATGTGTAGTAGTATCTCATTGTGGTTTTAATTTTCACTTCCCTAATGACTAATGATGTTGAACATCTTTTTTTTTTTTTTTTAAAGATTTTATTTATTTATTTATTTGAGAGAGAGAGAGAGAGAAACAGCATGAGAGGGGATAGGGTCAGAGGGAGAAGCAGGCTCTCCGCCGAGCCGGGAGCCCGATGTGGGACTCGATCCCAAGACCCTGGGATCATGACCCAAGCCGAAGGCAGTCACTTAACCAACTGAGCCACCCAGGCGCCCATTGAACATCTTTTTATGTGCTTATTTGCCAAGAGTGATGTATTCAAAACTCAAGTCTAATTATGTCTCTCCTTTTTGGAACCCAGTGGCTTCCCAGGGTAAAAGAGGGCTTTGGCTGCCTCCATTTTGACCTCAAACTTTCTAGTTGGGTTCTTCATTACAGCTTGTCTCTTGGCTCATGCAGAAGACCCTGAGGGCAAAGCATCCCTTGATGGAAACCAAACTATCCCCTCAAGCAATAAGGACCGTCCTGAGCCAGCAAAACCCCACTGATGATTGCCTGCAAGACAGTTATCCATTTGACCTTCTCGCCTACCTGCGCGTACCCACCTACCTTTGCCCTGCATTTTCCTTATATGAACATGGGAGTATCAGCACTTTGGAGACAGCCTTTGAGACGCTAATCCACTGTCTTCCCCAGTGTTGGCTTCCCTGAAATAAACTCCTTTCTTGTTTCACGACCATTTGTTTCTCTGCCTTTGGATTTTGTCAGCAAAGACTGGCTGAACCTGATCTGTCTCTGAGCTCCCCAGGCATCGGTTGGCCATGACAAATTTTCCCCAAGCCCTGATCCCCTTGCTTCCAAAGTTTCAGGATCAGAGAGAGACCAGCTAAGATAGAAGAGAAAACAGCAATGGCTACCAATCAGCTGTACTAAGATTTGGCATACAGAGAAAGTCCATTGGAGGATTCAGTTAATTTTTGCTATCTCTTTTTAGAGAGGAGCCCTTGTGATGTCTGTCATCTGTTTCCTAAAGACAAACAGAAGCAGCTGATCCTGCTGGAGGGCAATCTCTGAGCAAAATCATCCATCTCAGCTGCCCCTCTTCCGGGTTCTGGGCTCCTCCCTCTGTGCCTCCAGTTCTTCCAACAGTAGGATAACCAAGTCTAAATCCTCTGGCCATTGGTACAACAACAACCTTGAAAACCACCTGCCGACACTCTAGGAAGATAAATCTACAGAATGGTTAGGGGTATGGTTTTGAAGATAGACTTAAATTCAATCTCAGCTCTGCCTTTTATTAGCTGTGTGACCTTGGCCAAGTTACTTAATGAAGCTGAAGGTGTCATTTCTGTCTAAGAAAGAAGAAAGGCTATTACGGAATTAGAGATTATATCTTTAGCACACTGTTAGCACTTGACAAATGCTAAAAAAATGGTAGATGTTTATCTGACTTCTATTAATACACAGACACAGAAGCAAAGCTTTTCAAGCTTTTTTTGGGGGGAAAGTTGCTACTATGAGTATGAAATTTCTTTTGGTATTTATTAATTTATTTATTTACTAAGATTTTATTTTTAAGTAACTTCTACACCCAATGTGGGAAATTTAAAGCTAAAACAAGAAATTTCAGGGGTGTCTGGCTGGCTCAGTCAGTAGAGCATGTGACTCTTGATCTCAAGGTCATGAGTTTAAGCCTTACCACGTTGGGCATAGAGTTACTTAAAAAAAAAAAATTGGGGGGCACCTGGGTGGCTCAGTCGTTAAGCATCTGCCTTCAGCTCAGGTCATGATCCCAGGATGCTGGGATCAAGCCCCATATCGGGCTCCCTGCTCAGCCGGAAGCCTGCTTCTCCCTCACCCACTCCCCCTGCTTGTATTCCCTCCCTCACTGTGTCTCTCTCTGTCAAATAAATAAATAAAATCTTTAAAAAAAAAATTTTTTTTAATCTAGGTCCAGTAGGCATGGCAATTCTGAAGTGTGGCATGCATTCAGTCTCTGTGCCCAAACTCTGACTCACCTTCATTCCGATCTCTTCTGAACCTGCAGAAACAGGATTGCTTCACCTTCCTAAACAGCCTATGTTACCACTCCAGCAGCCCTCTACTGTACAGGGGGTAATCTCTCTAGTCCCTTGGTTTTAAATATACCATCTATATGCTGATGATATTCCCAACATGTATCTCCAACCCCAACATTCCTCTTGATCTTCAGGCTCACAAGTCTAACTGGCTAAGAGGAAGCTCTACTTAAAGGTCAGAAGCAGAACTCTCGATTTCCCATTGCCCCCTCTAGGAAAATGGTTCTATCAGCCACACCACTGCTCATGCAAAAATTTGGGCCAGCTTTGACTCTTTTTTTTTCTTGTCCCTAATTTCCTACCCTCGTTTTAGCAAAATTCTGTTGACCCAGCATTTCTCTCCAGCTACATCCACCACTACCTTTGTCAAGGCACCATCATCTCCTATGGGACCATACCCACACCCTCCTCCCTGCTCCCACTTTGATCCCCTGTGGTCCCTTCTCCACTGAGTAGGCAGGATAAGCCTCTAAGAAGTAGAATCATATCAGAACATTCCTCTGCTTAAAACCCATCAATGGCTTCCCATCACACTAAGAATAAAATACAAAGACCTCACCATAGCCAATGAAATTCCATGAACTCATACCTGTGTGAGGCATTTTCTTCACACAAGCAAGACAACATCTCATAATAGCTTGAAAAAAGAAGCAGATGTGAGAATCCATCTGTCTTCTATTAAGCCAGACATTAAAGGAATTTGGGAAAATATAAAACAATGCCACTAATTATCACTATATTTTTTTTGTTTTGAAAATATAGTTATTTTTCAAAAAATGAAATGTTGCTTACATTAATTTTAATTTCTATGCAATACTGTGTGGCTTGGAAGATATCTTGAAAAGATGGGATCTCGGGGTGCCTGGGTGGCTCAGTCGTTAAGCATCTGCCTTCGGCTCAGGTCATGATCTCAGGGTCCTGGGATCGAGCCCCACATCAGGCTCCCTGCTCGGCGGGAAGCCTACTTCTCCTTCTCCCACTCCCCCTGCTTGTGTTCCCTCTCTCACTGTGCCTCTCTCTGTCAAATAAATAAATAAAATCTTTAAAAAAAAAAAAAAAAGAAAGAAAAGAAAAGATGGGATCTCAAGCTGAGTCCAGTATTGCCCACACGGCTCAAGTACAAGGATGAAAGTTTGATGAATGTCCCTAATTCTGGTTAGGTCTCATTGGAGGGCTTGGCTGCAGAACAAAGTGAAGATACTTAGTACTGTGGGTGATGGGGCAAGTAGGGGTGAAGGGCACTGAGTTACCCCTGTGATAATCCTGTCAACACATTGCCCGGGTCAGGGAAGAGGCAGGTATCACTGACTCCCAACTCATACCCCTTCCTCTGCTGGTTGCCTAGGTACCTTCAAAAGATTTATTCAGGCGGCAGCTGGGTGGCTCAGTCGTTGGGCATCTGCCTTCGGCTCAGGTCATGATCCCAGGGTCCTGGGATCGAGCCCCAGTCGGGCTCTCTTCTCGGCAGGAAGCCTGCTTCTCCCTCTTCCACTCCCCCTACTTGTGTTCCGGCTCTCCCTATCTCTCTGTCAAATAAATAAATAAAATCTTAAAAAACAAAACAAAAAACTACTATCTTTCTAAAAAAGAAAGAGTATCTTTAAAAAGAAAAAAGATTTATTCAGAAGTAATCACACTAAAAAAAAGAAACAAAAAACCCAACAAACAAACAAACAAAACACCCAAAACAAAAAAACACGCTACCATGCTCTTGGGGCTCAGTCGGTGGAGCGTATGACTCTTGATCTCTGGGTCATCGAGTTCAGGCCCCATGTTGGGCATCGAGCCTACTTAAAAAAAAAAAGAAAAAGAAGAAGTAACCATGCTCTTTATTCTCCTGTTCTCCTGTGCTGGTAAATTTTAGGGCCTTGTGCCCTCTCCCTCCCCTTCCTTCCATCAGCACCTCCAAGGCCGCTCCAGACACAGAAAAGGGCACTCTAATCTCTTCATTGTAAAACTGACTACAGGGATCAGGCTAAGGACGGTATGATCGGGTATAAGGACACCACCATTTCTGAGCCAGGAGTCTGGAGCGATCAGACCGGGGTAGTGAAGCAAAAGGGCATCTTGACATTTTTGAGGGAGGAAGGGACCTTCAGGAGACACCTGCAGTTCAGAGAGGCATAGCTATTGCCCACCGTTATGTTGGAGCCGGGCCGCCTGGGCATCACACCAGTTTGTGGGTTCTCCCTTTCCCAGTCGCCCTGAGCACAACACCCTGCAGGGTGTCGGGCCTCGCGCCCCGCCCAGAGGACTTCGTGCTCATCTCCTTGGAGCCGGTGCCCGCCCTCCTACGGCCGCAGGTAGATGGAGAAGCTCAGCCAATCAAGAGGTCTCTGGGGCAAAGAAGGCGGGACGAGGAGGAAAAGTTTAGGACAGGAGCGCCAACCAATCCTGCGCCTAGCTGCCGGAGCAACCGCCACCAGCACCCACTTGCAGACGCCGCTCAGAGCGTGGGGGATGGTTCATGGACAGTGAGCCAATCCGTGCCGAGGGGAGGCCAATTTGAGCCAATGAAAACTGAGAAGGTGGGAAGGGGCGGAGTTCGCCGGTGGTTGTTCGCTGGTGGGTGAGGGATCTGCTTTCTCTGCTAGTTCCCACCCTAGGACTTCCTAGCCCCTGGAATGCGAGAGAGAGAGGCTCAGGGGAGTTCCTGGAGTGGGGCGTAGAGGTACCTTCCGGAAAGGCCTGGAAGCAAAAGAGACTCCTAGCTGGAGGAGCTGCTGGAAAACACCGGGTGGGATTTGAGGAAGCGGAGGCTGGTTAGGGGGCGGGGCTTCCGGGGCGTGTCCTTTGCGAAGCGGGGGCGGGGCCTGCTGCGAAGGCTGTGCCGAGGGGGCGGGGCTAAGAGGAAACCACTGGGTGTGACCTAGGAGAAAGAAGGGTAGTAATTTTAGCGGGCGTTTTGGGGTCAGGACGGTGTTGCCAGAGGCTTTGGGGTGGCAGGTGATAGCTCAGGCTGAGGTGAAGGTTGCTGGGGAGGTTACTTGCCCTAACCTACTGTCCTCTCTTACCAGGGAGCCTCTGGTGGGGACCTTCGTAGGGTCCTTTTCCCTTCGTGGGGTGCTATGGAGTTCCCAGAACACAGCCAGCAGCTGCTGCAGAGCCTCCGAGAGCAGCGGTCCCAGGGTTTCCTTTGTGACTGCACCGTGATGGTGGGTAGCACCCAGTTCTTGGCCCATCGGGCTGTGCTGGCCTCCTGCAGCCCATTCTTCCAGCTTTTCTACAAAGAGCGAGAACTGGACAAGAGGGATCTGGTGTGCATCCACAATGAGATTGTCACGGCCCCAGCCTTTGGGCTGCTTCTGGACTTCATGTATGCTGGCCAGCTGGTCCTGAGGGGGGATACCCCTGTGGAGGATGTGCTGGCTGCTGCCAGCTACTTGCACATGAATGACATTGTTAAAGTGTGTAAGCGGCGGCTGCAGGCCCGGGCCCTGGCAGAGGCAGACAGTACCAAGAAGGAGGAGGAAACCAGCTCACAGCCCTCTAGTTTGGAGTTTTTGTCCACTTCCCGTGGCCCCCAGCCTTCGTTGGCATCTGCCGAGACATCAGGCAATTGGGGCAAAGGGGAATGGAAGGGCCCTGCAGCTCCCTCTCCAACTGTCTGTCCTCCAGATGAGCCACCAATGCCTGGGGGTGCTGACACTACACAGCCCGGCATGGAGGTCGAGGCACCACATCTACGGGCACCTCCTCCTCTAGTGACTGATGTCTCCCTTGCCAGCCCCAGTAGCTCCACAGAGACCATTCCTGCAAACTACTTCTCTCCGGGCCTTTCAGCAGTTTCGGTGGAGCCGCTGGCTCCCCTTGATGTGGGTACTGAGAGTCTGAGGATGGTGGAACCAAGGGCTGCTGGGGGACCACTGCAAGGCTTCTATCCTCCAGCTCCAGCAGCAGCCCCAGTCCCAGCCCCAGTTCCATCACAGGCTCCAGCACCAGTGGAAGCTGAGCTGGTCCAGGTGAAAGTAGAAGCTATTGTGATTTCTGATGAGGAGCCTGACGTGTCCGAGGAACAGCCTCAGGGGCCTGAGGGACTATTCCCGCCCGGAGGGGCAATGTATGGTGGACAGCCCCCTCAGCCAGAGGCTTTTGAGGAGCCAAGAGCAGCAGGACTGGAGGAGGTGGGGCCAAGTGAGCACTTCCTGCCCCCAGATCCTCACCTACCCTACCATTTGCTGCCAGGTCCAGGGCAGTATCCTCGAGGACTGGTGACATCGCCCCTGCCTGCGCCCCCAGCCCTGCATGAGCCACTTTACCTGCCTTCCGAATATGAAGCAACCCCGGGAAGCTTTGGGGTTTTTACTGAGGATGTGCCCACTTGCAAGACATGTGGGAAGACCTTCTCATGTTCTTACACACTAAGGCGACACGCCACGGTGCACACGCGCGAGCGCCCCTATGAGTGTCGCTATTGTCTGCGCAGCTACACGCAGTCGGGGGACCTGTATCGACATATCCGCAAGGCTCACAATGAGGACCTGGCCAAACGCAGCAAACCGGACCCAGAGGCCGGCCCCCTCCTAGGAGTGCAGCCCCTCCACGGCTCCCCTACAGCAGACAAACAGAACAACACTGGTGGAGGGCCACCCAAAGATTTTGCACTGGGCCCCAAAAACTGACATCTACAGGAGCATCATAAGCTGATGCTAGGCCTGCTCTTGCCATCGTTAGGGGGCAGCAGAGACTGGAAGCTTCTCCTTTTCCCTGCTGGGGGAGCAGAATGAACCTCCTGCCCAGGCTGAAGATTGCCACCGGTTTTTCTTTACCCAGCCAGACAGCAGGACTTTCTGGGGCAGTGCACCTCAGTCAGCTCCTCTCCAAGGGCACTGGGAATTTTTCTGAGCTGTAATCACTTCCCGCCCTGCCTTCTGGACCATAAAGCTAGTGGTGAAAGTATCTCTTTGAACTGGTGTTGGCTGGTTTATTCCACAAATGTGCATGCCTCCTGATTCTTTCATACCTCTCCTGCAGATCTTTTAGGAAGCTGACATCTATACCTGGGGTAGCGTTTGGGGTCAGGTTGCTTTTGAGGCAGAGGGCAACATGGATTTGGCTTAGGAGAAGTGGACTGATTAGGGAATGGTCCTCAGTGATGGTTTATCATTATAGCTGAGCTCCTGTGTCCTGGGCTGTACTGAGGACTTCATAAAAATCCTCAATTCTCAACAACTTTATGAGGTATTAGCACCCCCCTCCCCTTTTTCCACAGGCAAGGAAATGTGAGACTCAAAAATCAAGTTAACCTATTCAAGGTCACAGGGCGAGTTAAGGGGCAAGCCAGAATTTGAATCATGGCTTCAAACACCATGCCCACTGTGCTGGGTTAGAACATTGTTGAGGAGAGTTGACTAAGAACCAGAAGTTTTCTCTTTCGTCCTCGTGAGGGTTTGGCTTTGCTCCCTTCCCCTTCGCCTCTACTTCCAGTGTAGAAAGTCTTTGGCTGACTCTTTCAATAACAGACACTGTATCGATGACTTGAAATTTTTGCTTGTGTGTCCTAATAGGAATTGAGGTCTCCAAAGAAGAGGAACCCAAACGCAGAAAACATGAAACTCCGGGGTGGTGGGTTGGTGGGGAGGGGAAGGGCCTGTGGTATGGAAAAGATGGGTGCTTGGGAAAAACTAAAGCGAGGAACTCCAGATGAGAGAATCTTATAGTTCCTCTAGTCCAACTCCCTCACCTGAAAGGCATGAGGACAGCCTGTAGAAGTCAGATTACTCAGTTGTAGTCACCCAGATGGTTACTGGCAGTAGATACAGCAGAGAAATGGGAGTCTCGGGTGTGGAGGCGGCTTCTGGGAGCTCTGGGAATGTAACAGAAGGGGCCTGCCCTTCTGTCCTCTGTGTGAACAGTGGTGCCATAGGGTAAGAGGGCTCCCGAAAAACCCTTCTTGATTCTGCACATAAGGAACCGAGTGCAAAAAAGGCAGGAAGGAAAATTTAGGAAAAGATGAAAATGAGTCCATTTTCTGAATTTTCTTTCTCTCTTTTTGGATTTGTCTGTCCTATTCAGAACTGAGAGCTCTTGCCAGCAAGCTACTCTTTCTGAGTTAGAGGAAGGAGGACCGAACATCAGAGGTTTGGCCAAAGGAAGCTCCTTATCTGGAGCATTGAGGGAAGCAAACCATTGATGCTTAACATTTTCACAGCTGAATGAATTATATGCCTTTCACTTTCCTTGTGTTGGAATAACCTTTTAGTTTGTCTTTCAAATGGCTAATTTTATTTGTGCAAATATATATTCCTACCTTAACTCCTTGGCGTCAGTAACAAGGCAAGATTTACATACACAAGATAAGTTATTCTAGCTGAGTGGTGCACCTTTTCCAAAGACTTTCCTAGAGTAAATATCAAAGCAAAATGCCTAAAAACAATCAGTTGCCTTTAAAAGGGTAAATTTTGGGCACCTGCGTGGCTCAGTCAGTTAAGCATCTGCCTTCGGCTCAGGTCATGATGCCAGGGTCCTGGGATCGAGCCCTCCATCAGGCTCCCCGCTCAGTGGGAAGTCGGCTTCTCCCTCTGCCCCTCTCCTTGTGTTCTTGTGCGCACGCTCTCTTTCTCTCTCAAATAAAATTTTTAAATAAAAGGGTAAATTTTACGGTATGTGAATTATATAAAAATTATATATATGGAAAGGAGACAAGGAGAAAAAATAAAATCAGTTGCCTCAGAACATCAATTCCTAAAAACAAGACATAACATCGGTGTCTACAGGCATATAGAATGTATACAATTTCTCTAGACAGTCTGGAAAACACAGTAACCACTGTTAAAGTTTCGGCCATGCATAATACCTAACTAAAGAGGATCTGTTGCTTGGTGAGATTCTCCTCCAGAGCAAGCATTTGCTTTCAGTTCCTTGGAGGTGGCAATTAGAAATCTGCAAGATGTTTAAAGCAGCACAGCAGCCAACACAAAAGGCCACGGTTGTCTCCCTGTATCTGCTGGACGCCAGGAACAGTCTCTACCAGTCTGTAGAGGTGCGATCAGTAGAGAATTTTCTCGTTTCCGCTACTCTCGATGGTCTCATCCATGGATTCAAGGAACCACAGGTGAGCTCATCTAACCTCTAGTCCAACACTGGATCCTCCTTTTGCCAGTGTGAAGCCCCTGCTTGAAAAAGAACTTGGGGCACCTGGCTGACTCGGTGGAGCTTGAAACTCGACCTCAGGGTCATGAGTTCAAGCCCCATATTGGGTATAGCGATTACTTAAATAATCATTATAAAAAAATAACTCATTATCCCCAAAGGAACCTAGTCTATCATCGGACAGTCTTAATTGTTGGATAATGCTGCCTTTTACTGAGCCAAAATCAGCCTCCTTTTATGAGGCTCAGGGTCAGGCTCCAGCCTACTAAGATCCCCAGCTCCCAGGACCCTGGCATCATGACCAGCCTACTTTTCACCCTGAAAAGTTATTTGTTTTTGAGCTATAAACTGATTTAGTTTTCAGACAACCACCTTTTACTCTCCAGCTTTAGAGATATAATTCTTTTGAGATTTTTAATTTTAAGTAATCTCTACACTCAGCGTGGGGTTCAAACTTACAACCCCAAGATCAAGAGCTGCAAGCTGTACCAACTGAGCCAGCCAGGTGCTCCTAGAGATATAATTCTAATTTAGGATTCCAATTCTTTTCTTTTTTCTGGATTTCAGTTCTTCTCTTAACTGGCCATTCTGTAAGTGTATGACTTCATTTGCTGCCTATTTTGCCTCTTCAATCACCAGACATTTGGCCAAGCTTGACTTCATCAAAGTCACCATTTCAGTCCTTTGCATTCATTTCCATTTTATTTATTTTTGTTTTGCTTTAGAGAAGAGTGTATGCACGTGTGCGCAAGGCTCAGGATGGGATGTGGGCGGGGGGGGGGGGGCAGAGAGAGAGGGAGAATCTCAAGCAGGTTCCACATCCAGTGCAAAGTCCAATGTGAGGCTCCATCTCAGGACCCCGAGATCATGACCTGAGCCGAAATCAAGAGTTGGATGCTAAACCGACCAAACCACCCAGGCATCCCAACTATTTATTTATTTATTTATTTATTTTTAAGATTTTATTTATTTATTTATTTGAGACAGAGAGAATGAGAGAGAGAGAGAGCACATGAGATGGGGGAGGGTCAGAGACAGAAGCAGGCTCCCTGCCGAGCAGGGAGCCCAATGCGGGACTCGATCGAGGGACTCCAGGATCATGACCCGAGCCGAAGGCAGTCGCTCAACCAACTGAGCTACCCAGGCGCCCCCAACTATTTATTTTTTAAAGTAATCTCTACGCCCAACATGGAGCTCAAACTCACAACAGAGATCAAGAGTTGTGTGCTCGAATGACTGAGCCACCCAGGTGCCCCTGAATTTCAATTTTAATGTCGCCAAAGCCAATGTTTCCAAAGATGATTTACGTGGACATATACTATTTTTATTGTAAGATATATTTACTTTTATGGATTTTTGTTTTGTTTTGGCAAATAATATGAAGTGTTCCAAAGTCCCCTCCCCAATTATCAGTAAGCAATTTCGGTATGCACCTCTAAAAGAACTCTCTTTTTTTTAAGATTATTTATTTATTTATTCGACACAAAGAGCACAAACAGGGGGTGCAGCAGGCAGGCAGAGGCAGAGGGAGAAGCAGACTTTTCTCTGAGCAGAGTCCAGTGTGGAACTCAATCCGAGGACCACAGGATCATGACCTGAGCCCAAGGCAGATGCTTAAGCAACTGAGCCACCCAGGTGCCCCTAAAGATTTTATTTATTGGGCGCCTGGGTGGCTCAGTCGTTAAGCGTCTGCCTTCGGCTCAGGTCATGATCCCAGGGTCCTGGGATCGAGTCCCACATCGGGTTCCCTCCTCGGGGGGAGGCCTGCTTCTCCCTCTCCCACTCCCGCTGCTTGTGTTCCTGCTCTCGCTATCTCTGTCTCTGTCAAATAAATAAATAAAATCTTAAAAAAAAAAAAAAAAGATTTTATTTATTTGACAGAGAGACACAGCAAGAGAGAGGACCCTGGGATCATGACCTGAGCCGAAAGGCAGACGCCCAACGACTGAGCCACCCAGGTGCCCCGAAAATGTATATTTAAATAAAATATTGAAAATAATAGTATAGATAGTATGTGGTTTTAGCAAAATTGTAAAGGTAGTGGGTATGAGTTCGGAAGACACTGACTAGTCTTTTTTTTTTTTTTTAATTTTTTTTTAATTTATTTATTTGACAGAGAGAGAGATAGGAGAGCAGGAACACAAGCAGGGGGAGCGGGAGAGGGAGAAGCAGGCTTCCCGCAGAGCAGGGAGCCCGACGCGGGACTCGATCCCAGGACCCTGGGATCATAACCTGAGCCGAAGGCAGACGCCTAACGACTGAGCCACCCAGGCGCCCGACACTGACTAGTCTAAACTGTCCCTTATGTGCCCAAGTATGGACCTTCACATCCACAATACTTTCTCTTCAATCAAACCCTGAAATTCTGCATGGAATCCATTAAGGACTGGTAAAGTGAGCTGCTCCCCTCCCCCGTCCACGAACTTCTGAGTACAGAGATTTAGGTGCCCTCTGGCTGATTCCTTCAGGATGTGGGCTGGCTGGACCTCCTCTAGACCCATATCTGACTGCCTATCTTTGAAAAATTTCTTGTTCATTAACATCTCCATTAGAAGTTGGCCTTCAAAATAAAGACTGAAATGTAAGCCTGACTACTTTGTCTCTTAGCAGTGCTAATAAAGGGATTAGTGCAATAAATTTCTAAAATACGTTTTTAAATACCAGTTTTATTTTTTCCCTCATTGATGCAGAAGATAGCTTAGTGTGACATCAAGTCTTTGGAAGGAAAAAAAAAAAAAAAGAAAAAAGAAGATCAGAAAGCAAAACTTGCCCAAAGCAAACATGCAACCATGACATAATTTTGCCAACAACCTAGGCTTAGAAACTTATGCATCTTGGGAAAGGAGCAAAATATTCTATTTCTGTTAGTTCTGTCCTTTGACTTACAAGATTATTTGGTAGGAAACCTTGTTGTTGTAAGTCCTGTTATTTAAGTATATGGGGAGACACAAAGAGGAGGCTGGCTCTTTGGGGGACGGGCATTACTGATGAAGGCAGAGGAATTCATGCATACTTGGCAAGACTAAGGGTTTTGGGGTTGTTGTTGTTCTTTCTGAAATCTCTCCTTACATTGGCCAGTGACACATGCTTACTACCTCCACTCATAAAGGTCGAGACAGTGCTACATGATCTCATCTACTCTGTAGAACTCAAACATTGTGGACATTATTCACAAGTACACAGAATGACAAAGGAGCTCATGGTTGATGGAGCCTCCTATTGAGACATGACTGCATCAGATCTGCAGCCTGCACTGACGAAGCTTCTAGAAAGTTCCATGGGTGCTTCAGCACTAGGGAAGGAGAACCCTTCCTATTTCCCTCCTCTGTAAGGAACTGAGCTCTTGCAAAATATAAGGTGACAAGTGAAGAATATATTTATGTTTTTATCCTGCTCTTTCATGGTACTGTTTCAAGATGACGTGGCAATCTGTTTTTCCTATTTTTTTTTTTTAGAGAAATAAGCATACTATAGATATGCACCTATTAAAAATTAAAATGTTTACTTGGGTTTTTTGTTTTGTTTTTTGGTATGAGGGTTGAAGAATTATTAAATACTTAAATGCTTGACTCAAGGTTTTAAGAAAAAAGAGTTTAATGAAAAAATAAGTATATCATATGAATGCTTTGAGTATGAACAATAGCAAGGACTAGAAATTATCACCAGAAAAAATAGAAACCAGATACTTTTGTGGGAGGGACAAAGAATCTGAATGTACATGGAATATTAAGAATAAGGAATTGATTTAATCAAAGTGGTTAATTTCTTTTTTTTTTTTTAAAGATTTTATCCATTTATTTGACAGAGGGAGAGATAACGAGAGCAGGAACGCAAGCAAGGGGAGTGGGAGAGGGAGACACAGGCTTCCCGCGGAGCAGGGAGCCCGATGCGGGGCTCGATCTCAGGACCCTGGGATCATGACCTGAGCCGAAGGCAGACACCTAATAATGACTGAGCCACCCAGGCACCCCCAAAATGGTTAATTTCAAATCTTTCCTTTTTAAGTCATGTGGGTCCAATTTATAATTGTCTGTTTTCACACAATAATATATCTCCCAGTTTGTGGCCTCTGTGACTTTGGCTTTGGGCATCTGAGGAAACAGAAAAAACTCTTTTGTCATTCTTTCATCCTTTACTAGCCTTCTCCTCTGTATATGGATACATATAACATCTATCATTAAAATCTATCCCATAGAGAGGATTAATTGCATCTATAGCTGATTGTATTTCTCAAGGCAAATATCCCCAAAAATATCATGTATGGAAAGCTATACAAATACATAGATGGACAGACCAAAAAAAAAAAAACAAAAACAGAACACCAAAAGACACAGACTGCATAAGTGCCAAAGAGTTTGTGCAGGGCTAGAAACAAAACAGAAATCCACCTGGGTCAGAGGTATGGGGTTAATTTCTCTTGCTGAGGCTCAGGTTTCCCCTCCGGTCTTTAACTTTCAAGTTCAAGTGGAGGAGCATCTTTCTTCTTTGTTAACCAAACATGCCCAGGTACAGCTGTCTCTCTTTCTGATGGTAGCTACTGAGTTCTGACTGTGTTAGCTGGAGGTACCGCCGGACATTGGCATCTTAGAATAGGGCAAAGAAGGCAATTAGAGACAGTTAGAACATGATCACACCTTGAGGCAGGAAAGGATTGTTCACACAGTTCCTCCTTTTTTTTTTTTTTTTTTTATAATTTTTTCTACTTTTATAGAGTCAGATATTTCCTTTTTAGCCATGGCCAAAATTTATAAACAAGCCCCTTAAAATGTTCAAAGCAAACATATTGATTATAAATACTTAGGGAAAATACCAAGTTACTGTTACTGGCTTCTGCAAGCGAGCATTTTTACCCCCACTTTAGGGATGAGGTTATTTTACAAAAATAGGTCAGAGATAACCCCAAATGACATTCTGAATAAATGATATAAACCAGCACTATTATTTCAAATCAAGATTCCAGTCTTTCAAAGGACTTACTATAGAAAGTAGGTTTGAGGAGGACCAGATTTCTGAATCTGGAAAGAATCATTTGGGTTTACTTAGTATTATGCTGGAACAAAATTTTTTTTTTTTTGGAGGGGGGTGTGTGTGTGTGTAAGTATCAGAATAAATATATTCTCTGGGAGAATAAGTTTGTTCCGATCTACAAAGTATGCAGAGTATTTTTTACTCTCTAGAGCCCAGGAATCTTCCTCTGAAGAAACACACATAGGGGCGCCTGGGTGGCTCAGTTGTTAAGCGTCTGCCATCTCAGGGTCCTGGGATCGAGCCCCGCATCGGGCTCCCTGCTCCGCGGGAAGCCTGCTTCTCCCTCTCCCACTCCCCCTGCTTGTGTTCCCTCTCTCGCTGTGTCTCTCTCTCTCTCAAATAAATAAAATCTTAAAAAAAAAAAAGGAATTTTTTCCACCCTTCTTCGATGAGGCTTCTTCTCTACCTTTAGTTGTGGTTTGTTCTGCCAGTCTTCAGGTTGATTTCTGGGGTATTCAGGATGATTTGATAGGTATCTAGTTGGATTTGTGGGACAAGGGGAGCCTAGGGTCTCCCTACTCCACTGCCATCTCCCCCTCCACATACTTCTGTTTTTAAAAATCTTTCTAAGATCTGAATATATCATAACTATTCTTTGCAATAGTAAATCTCATTCATTAATACCACTGTGAATTTTTTAAAAATCTCTGTACAGGAAGAAAAATCTCTGTACAATCAGGGCTGGCTGGTTGTTAATTTGATAATGAAAAAGAGTTTCAAGAAATAAAAGAGTTTCAAGAAAACCTGTCACAACTATAGAGACTCTAAAGATACTATCCATGGCTGGCAGTTCATCTATGTACTTGAAGGTAAGAAACATGAACAAATGCCTCATGTTTTAGGTCTTTATTAATTCACACTGGCTTTCTCATTCATTTATTCTATTATTATTATATCTTATATTTAGATTTTATTTTTAGGTAATCTCTACACCCAACGTAGGGCTCGAACTTACAACCCCAAGATCAAGAGTCACACACTCTACCAACTGAGCCAGCCAGGCGCCCCACCCGCCCCATTCATTAGAGAGTTTTTGCTGCATTGTTATGTTTGGGGACCCTCTGCTTCTAGCATCTCATAGCTGCTCTAAGCCAGAATGCAAAATGGCGACAATTTTCAGTGCTGAACCACGAACACAGGAACGAGTCTATAATCCACTTCACAATATCCTTGCCTTGGAAACAAAGAACCAAGTCTCAAATTCTCTCTCAGTAGGCCTGCCCTTTTTCTAGGTCATACCTAGGCCTAGCTGAGCTAAAGGATAAAATGATAGCTCAAGCAAAGGCCAGACCCAGTGGGGGAGCTGCCAGAAATAAGGATCATCAAGTATATTCACTGGAATCTAGATACTATTTCAGTTACAGTCTCGGACCTGAAACTTGAAAAACAATGCTTTAAAATCTCTCTCGCTGGGGGGGATGGAGGGGAGATTATATATATGCCTGTTGAAACATAACTACTTCTGGAGGGTATACAATACTGCTTTCCTGTGGAGGCAAGAATACAAGGATAGAAGAAGGCCAGTTTATCAAATACCTCTTTATACTTTTTGAATTTTGAGCTCTGTGAATATATTATTGTCAATTCAAAAACATTCAATAAATTGAAAAAGTAAAATAAAATACTCCCTCTTCCCCACCCCCCATCCCACACCCCTGACAGAAAGCACCTCTGCAGGACAGTTTTGTTTGTTCTTACCACTTCCACCCCCTTCTCTCTCACCTTTTGGCTGCCTACTGACAGCAGCCAGGAGATGGTGCTGAGCCTGGTCGTAGTCCTGCAGATGGAAAAAGGCCACTCCAGCCCGATACAAGGCCTTGGCATTATCAGGTTGTCGTTCCAGGACTTTCTGACTGTATTCTTTCACTCGTTCGTAGTTCACTGGCTCCATCTGAAGGAGACAGGCTAATAGGCCAAATGAAAGGAAAGACAGAAGAGGGAGGAGGGGCTTATTACACTTAGTTCCACGGGCCAGTCGGAGGCAGCACCAGAGGACAATACCAACAGTATTCGCTCATCTAATGCATCTAAGTGTCTACCATGCGTCAGACATTCTTCTAGGCACCGGGGCTGCAACAGTGAACAGAAGCTTTAGTACCTTGTAAGTGACCCTAATAGCTACCGAATGCTTACTATGTGCCTAGTGCTGGGTTAAGTCCAGCTATAAAACTGATAGGAACACACATTAAAATGAATTTAAAATTCTTCACTGTTTCTCTTCTACACCAGGCTCTCCATCTTGAATCCCCATTTAACCACAATTATTGTACTGCAGTTTTAAAATAAAATATTTTATTTATTTGAAAGACAGAGAGAGGGGCGCCTGGGTGGCTCAGTTGGTTAAGCGTCTGCCTTGGGCTCAGGTCAAGATCCCGGGGTCCTGGGATCGAGCCCCACATTAGGCTCCTTGCTCTGCCAGGGGCCTGCTTCTCCCTCTCCCTCTGCCACTCCCCCTGCTTGTGCCCTCCTGCTCTCTATCAAAGAAAGACAGAGGGCGCCTGGGTGGCTCAGTTGGTTAAGCGACTGCCTTCGGCTCAGGTCATGATCTTGGAGTCCCGGGATCAAGTCCCGCATCGGGCTCCCTGTTTGGCAGGGAGTCTGCTTCTCCCTCTGACCCTCCTCCCTCTCATGCTCTCTGTCTCTCATTCTCTCTGTCTCAAATAAATAAATAAAATCTTTAAAAAAAAAAAAAAAAAGAAAGAGAGAGAGAGAGCGCACACGTACACGAGCAGGAGGATGGGCAGAGGGAGAGGGAGTCAAACATACTCTCCGCTGAGCAGGGCACCCAAGGGAGGGCTCAATCCCAGGACCCTGAGATCATGACCTGAGCCAAAGCCAGAGGCTTAACCAGCTGAGCCACCCAGGTGCCCCTGTACTGCAGCTTTATAAACAACAACGGTTGCCATCAATTATGTGAGAAAATAGCAAGCACTGTGGTTGACAAAACATTATCTCGTTTAGGGATGCCCAAGTGGCTCAGTGGGTTAAGCACCTGCCTTCAGCTCAGGTCATGATCCCAGGGTCCTGGGATTGAGCCCCTCGTTGGGCTCCCTGCTCAGCAGAGAGTCTGCTTCTCCCTCTGCCTGCCTTTCTCTATCCCTCTCACCCTAACAAATAAATAAAATCTTTAAAAAACAAAACAAAACATAATCTCGTTTAATCTTCTCATCCAGTCTATGAAATTGGTGTTACCCTCTCCATGTATTGGACAAAGAAATCAAGGCTCAGAGAGAAAAAGTAACTTGTCCAAGATCCCACAGCTTCTAGGTGGAATATGAAATTTGAACCAAGTGGGCGCCTGGGTGGCTCAGTTGGTTAAGCGACTGCCTTCGGCTCAGGTCATGATCCTGGAGTCTCGGGATCGAGTCCCGCATCGGGCTCCCTGCTCGGCAGGGAATCTGCTTCTCCCTCTGACCCTCCTCCCTCTCATGCTGTCTCTCATTCTCTCTGTCTCAAATAAATAAATAAAATTTTTTTTAAAAAAATAAGAAATTTGAACCAAGGACTCTCTAATTCCCAAACCATCATTCTTGATAATATATTACTTCACTACTAACTTGGATTATATAAGGGGACTTTGCAATACAAATCTGTTTAGGAGGCAATGTTCAGCCTTTCTATAATTAAGAAGGGAAATGTGCTCCCTATTTCATGACCGTAGGAATTAAACACAGTATTATTTAATCATGGTGCTGAGAAGGAGAATCAGGGCTTCTGAGGACATTAAAGGGCCCAGGCTTACATCTGCATCCCTTCTACAACATCCCCACCAAGTGGTCATATGGCTTATATTTAACTAATCCATCACTGTAGCTTCATTCATTATTTGACAACTGGTTATGCAGCACCGACCATATGTTAGGCAGAGCCAGGAGCAGCAGGGAAGAGGAACCAGATAGACATCCTTCTTTTCTTTTCTTTTTTTTAAGATTTTATTTATTCATGAGAGAGAGAGAGAGAGGCAGAGGGAGAAGCAGGCTCCCCGCTGAGCAGGGAGCCCGATGCGGAACTCGATCCCAGGATCCTGGGATCATGACCTGAGCCGAAGGCAGACGCTTAACCATCTGAGCCACCCAGGCGCCCCAGACAGACATCTTGATGAGTAAACACCACTTGCATCCTAGCCCCCAAGTAGGAGGAGTACACAATAAACAAATGAGTTTTTAGAAGTGTTTTGAGGAAAACAGAACTATGCTAGGAATACAGTGAATGAGGTCGGAGTGATGCTTGATTATACAAGGCCTCTCGAAGAAAGTAACTTTTGAACCAAGCTCTGAATGACCAGGGTCACTCAAGGGACGGGGCACTCCAGCCGAGAGAGAAGAAATCCTACAAAGCTAGAAAGTAGAAATAAATGTGCTTTGCAAATTCCGTGTATGGAGGAGCCAGACCATGTCAGGCCTACAGGTGAGCATCAGAGATGGGGTTTTTTCCTAAGTGTGATGAGATACCACTGGAGGATTTTCGGCAGTGACACGATCTCATTTCCTTATCTGCAAAATGGGAATAATCACAAGTAGCTGGCAGAATTTTTATGAAGATAAGACATATTGTAAATAAACGGGCCCATATGTTACAGGCATTCAATGAGTGAAAATGGTTAATTGAGTAAGTCTTTATGGAGCATCTCCCAAGCACCTCCAAGCAGAGGCTCTATGGATGGCTAAGCCATACTCTTTGCCATCAGGTCCACCTACAAAGTGAAGATATTGGCTGGTCACCCTCTTGTGGCACTCACTGTCCCCATTCTCTGCTTTATTCCTTTCCCCAGCACTTAACGTCATCTCATATATTATGTATGTTACCTTTGTTAATTGTCCATCTCCTTATTTGAATTTATGTTCCATGAGAGCAGCTCTTTTTATCTGTCTCATTATCCTCCCATGTCCTTAGTACCAAATAAATGTTGAATTGAATGACTTGAAACATTAGCTACTATAATTACTATTGTCGGTACTTGAGTCTAAGAGTAGTGCTGGACACACATGATAACAAAGCTAGATTTTCACCAAATCATAGGTGAAAACTATTGTAGTAAAAAAATCACTTTTAAATAACCATCACGAAATATAAAAACCAATCCTAATAATTTCCATGGCCTCAGCTGGGACCATTTAGAATGCTTTAACATATTTCAAAATAACTTCATTAGCTCTATGATTATTTGTCCGCCATAGAACAGACCTAAGAAGTCCACTTTCTTTTTGTAGGTTAATCTTAGTAACTCTGGCATTTGTCTCTTCATCCAAGGCCATATGGAGATGGATGACACTAGTTATCCAAGAGTTGATTTTTTTTTTTTTTTTTAAGATTCAGAGAGAGAGAGCGAGCACATAAGTAGGCAAAGGGAGAGGGAGAAGCAGGCTCCCCGCTGAGCAGAGAGAGCCCAACGCAGGGCTCGATCCCAGGATCCTGGGATCACAACTTGAGCCTAAGGCAGATGCCCAATCGACTGAGCCACCCAGATGACCCGCTGATTTTTTTTAAAGATATTATCTATTTATTTATTTGAGAGAATGAGTGACGGGAGGGACAGAGGGAGAAGCAGACTTCCAGCTGAGCAGGGAGTCGGGAATCCAGCTCAATCCCAGGCCCCTGGGATCAAGACCTGAGCTGAAGGCAGATGCTTAACAGACTGAGCCACCCAGGCGCCCCTAAGAGCTGACTTAAAGGAAGAAGGAAAACGAGGAAAAGTTGTCCAAAACATCTCATAATGACTGACACCACCAGCTAAAGCAAGTGCCTTCTTTCCTATATTAAAGAAACAATGCCATAAACGTAAGTTCAGTGTTTTCTCCAGAGCGTGCAAAATTCCCTAAATCTATCAGCATCACCTGGGAGTTTGTTAGAAACACAAATTGGTAGTTCTCCCCCTTCCACAACTCAGACCCACTAAATTGGAATCTCTTGAGGGTGGCGCTCAGTTAACAAACTCTCCAAGTGAAGTTTGAGAAGCACGGCCCTGTAGAAACTCATTTAGAGCCCTAGAGACTGGAAATACATTTCAATTCATGGCAGAATAATTACATGACAGAAGAGCACGCCCGTGTTTTTCCCAATGTTCACAGCTTTCCACGTGCCTGCCTTGAGATCCTACCCGCCCTTCAGCCCTGTTCTTACCAGCTAGATTGTTGTAGCAGTCTGTCTGGGTGGTGTGCAGTATGTTCTCCTGTTCAGGTGTAAGGGCCGGGCCCTGAGGTCCTAGATTAGGTATCGGGGAGGGCAGGCTTGGATCCAGACCCCGCAGCTGAAGCAGAGCTCGATGGTACCTACTTACAGCATCTCGGTACTTCCCTTCTCGGTAACGCTGGTTCCCTTTCTCCTTGTACAGCTGAGCCTCCTGCAGGCGCTTCTCCATAACTCGCCGCTCAGAGCTCTTGCGGAATTGGAGAGTGAAAGAGCAATTGAAGGTCTGGAGATAAGAGCAAAATAACTGATTTAGGTAGCCGATTTAAGAATGCACGAAATTACCCTTCTCCAGGACGCCCCCCAGAGAATAAGTTTTGCTTGTTTCTTCTACAGCCCCTTCCTCTCTTCTCTGCAGTATTTTTCAATCTCTAGAAATACAGGACTAATCAGGGAGAGGATGTGGGAATAGTAAAGCCAGAGATTAAGTGATTTCTTAAAGAGACTGCGGGGTGAACAGACCCTCCCTAAAAATCAAAGGCCGTACTAAGGAACTGTGGCAGGCGTGGGAATGCCGGCGGAATTTGCTTCCTCCTTTCTTTTGGACACACCTCCCTGACCCGGAAGTGGAAGGGAATAGGCGGGGACAACTGCTAAAAGAGGTCTACAGGGCTTGCCTCCACCCTTGCTCTTTATTTGCACGTATTCAACAAACATTTATGTCTGTGTCAGAAGCTGGGAACCAAGCTGAATGCGTTCCGTGCACCCAAAGCACAGGCATAAACTGACGCGGCAGCAGAGCAGCTCAGCTGCAAGTCCATCAAGCCCCACGGCCAACCGCTCGCCCTCTGCAAAAGCCCAAGCACGGAAGTCTCCTCCTCGGCTTCGGTTTATGGGCGGAAGCACCTAGAGCACCGACGCCAGAGTCCCGACAGTTTGGAGTCTAAAGGGTCGCGCGCATTGCGCCACGCCACCCAATCAAAGGCGGCCTCGAAAAAGTAATCCCGGGCCCTCTGCGGATCAACCCGGAAAAAAAAACTCCCGGCAGTTTCGCCAATTGGAAGAATCCGGACGATCAAGCATGACCAATCAGAATTGCAGATGTTGATTCAAGTTGGCCAATAAGAAAGCTAAAAGGCGAGGTCCCGCCGTCTGTTGCTGGGTAGAGAAGTTGAAGGATTGCAAGAAGAGGGCCAGGGAGTCCCTGTGTATTCCTTGGTTTGGGGAAGCCCTTTGTGTACTAAACAGAAGAACTGTTGCTAGTAGGCTTTCAAGTTGCAACAGCTTCCCTCCTGGCTTTTTTTTTCCTCTCAAGAAGCTGCTGCACATATAGGTAGTAGGGAAGAAAGACTAGCAAGCAAGCCCTAAAACGACAGCGCGATCGAAAGCCAGACGGGAGTAAGGGTGGTGACGGGGTGGGAGGGGCGTGTGGGAAGGGAGCTCCCGGCGGCTGCGCAGAGCCCGCGGTTGGAAGTACGGGAAGGCGGGCGCGCACACCCCTCCGTGCTACGAGGCACTTGAACCGTAGCCAGTCTTCCCCGTCTCCGGCTCCGGTGCGGCTGCGCGGTGAAACTACTGGCGGCGATTGGCCCAGGGGTGAGAGGGGGCGGGAGGTAAGGGGAGGGAAGTCCGTCGTCCTTGGCGCGCGCCCGCCCGCGACAGGGGAACCGAGGGGTCTGTGAGGGAAGCAATTCCCCGCTGCGTTGTTTTGGGCTCCGTGAGCCGAAAGGGGGAGGGGAGCAGAAGGGAGAAACAAACACTACGTAGCGGAGGCTGCGCGCGGCCTTCGCTGCCTGCGTGCGTACGTGCGTGCGCTCGCTCGCTCGCGCGGGCTCAGTGCTGGCGCGTGAGGCGGAGGCGGGCGGCGGCGGCGCCTGCGCGGTCGGGCTCGGTCGACGGTTCGCAGGGGAGGAGGCGGCGGGAGGCGGAGGAGGCGGCGGCGATGGAGGTGAAGCGGCTGAAAGTGACCGAGCTGCGGTCGGAGCTGCAGCGGCGGGGCCTGGACTCGCGCGGCCTAAAGGTGGATCTGGCGCAGCGGCTGCAGGAGGCGCTGGACGCCGAGATGCTCGAGGACGAGGCCGGCGGTGGCGGGGCCGGGCCCGGCGGGGCCTGCAAGGCGGAGCCTCGGCCTGTGGCCGCGTCGGGCGGTGGCCCGGGCGGGGACGAGGAGGACGACGAAGAAGAGGAGGAGGAGGACGAGGAGGCGCTGCTTGAGGACGAGGACGAAGAGCCACCCCCTGCCCAGGCCTCGGGCCAGGCCGCGCAGCCGCCGCCGGAGCCCCCGGAGGCGGCAGCCATGGAGGCCGCGGCCGAGCCTGATGCTTCCGAGAAGCCGGCGGAGGAGGCCACGGCCGGGTCAGGTGGGGTAAATGGTGGCGAAGAGCAGGGCACCGGCAAGGGGGAGGAGGAAGAGCCGGAGGAGCGGAGCGGGGACGAGACGCCGGGATCCGAGGCGCCGGGTGACAAGGCCGCAGAGGAACAGGGTGAGGAGCTGGCAGCGGAGCCGGGCTCCAAACTGCCCCCGACCCAGCACCCAGCCGTGCACCGCGGGGTCCGAATCCTTGTTCTCACTTGCCCGAAAGCGCAAGATTCCCGTCGCCTTTTGGTGGGACTCCCCAGGGGAGGTGGTTTTCATTCTCTACCCACCTTTCTGGGGGGTTTGGCTGCCTCTGGTGGCCCCGCTCTCTGCAGGAGGGAGGTTCCTGCCTAACTCGGTTCCTTGGTGGTAGTGGATGGAAGTGAGCGATTTTGCATGCGAACTGCTCGTGAGCTACCTGTGGAGCAGCCTCCCGCGGTACTGGTTATCTTTTCCTAAAGCGGGAATGCGCTGAGAAATTGGCGATTGCACGGACGGCCAGACCGGACTATTGGGGAGGTTTTGGCCTTTGGGTTACCTGACTATTGACATTTCCGCCTTAAAAATATTAAGCAATAAGCTAAGTTCGCCAAAGTTCGCTCCATCCAATGGCTTGAGCTTGAGCCACACAGTGAATCTGGAAATCTAACCTTGCTCCTGCTTTAGCAGCCTGTGGTGTGAGGGTGTGGAGTTTAATAGTTAACTAGTGAAGAGAAGGTCTTGATCTAGTGCATTTAGAACCAGCCAACCTCTTGGTAGAGGTTTTATCTTGCCTGAATTCTTACGATTAAATTTTAATCTTCTCACTGGGTCCGTGGATGGGCAAATTTGTGGATTTGCTGTACACTTGGTCAGCCTTTTACATTTTAGATCCCTGACTTCCTGAATTGAAATGATTGAGGTATTAGTGGCTCCATTTGAGTAACCTCGGAAGAGAATGTGTAGAATCGCCCCAGGCAGTTAGTGACCTTTTTTCTTTTGAAGTGGTTGGATCCATACCTGTCTGTCAGAGTAGGCAGGAAAACTAGAGCTGCTTCCAGGTCTTACTATGAAGTGGGTTGCCTTAGTTTTTATAACAGATTTTTTTTAAGCTGCTATTAGTAATCATGGTATGATTGGAACCCATTCTAAGACAGTCACATGCAACTTACAGATTGTTCTGTGTCCTCGAACAAAAATCCCATTACATAACCTTTGACTTAACGTGTATCCCAAATAGCAGATAAAAAAGGTTGAGAGATAAAGAAATTATTATTAAAAATCTTCGTGTTGAAAACTACCAAAGCCTAAGGAAAAATTCCAGTTTTTTCCCCCTCTTTCAGAGAATGTTGCTAAATATATGACAACACCTTTCTGGCCCAAATTATGTGCAGTAAAGATACAGTATTATTTATGGGTCTCTTGTGACTTAATGGTTTGCTCTTGGCGACTTTCAGTAAAAACCCATGATAAAAATACAGCTGTGTACATGCACCTGAGTCTCTTTGCTATATAAGTAAAAGCTGTGAATGGCTGTGCATTCTAAGCTAGAAAGGCAAACTCTTTAAAACACACACACACATACTGAGGCGTCTATATCATGAAGCTATGGAAGAGTGTTGGAAAATGTATATTAAGCGTCCAGCTTACATCCAAATCTGACAGGAATCAAAATTAAATTAACCTATGAAGTGTTTTAAAGACTTAGGGGATTTTCAAAGATGTCATATTGGTGGGAAAATCTGCAAGTTTGACCTGATTTAAGCAGGTAAATTTAGAATGCAAAAATTGTCCAGTTTTTATCTACTGCTTGACTGTAATTAGCCCATAATGTCCGTCCTTTCTTTTTTCTAAAATAAAATACCAGCCAATGACAGAAAGATGATCTTTAGAAATAAAACATTCTGTGGATGCAGTGGGAATAATCTGGCTGTTCTGATTAGACACTCAGCTTCCCCTTTAGTTGCTATTGGTTTTGAGCTTATTCTACATTCCAAAATGAAAACTGCTGATTTTCTTTCCCTCCTTTTTGTAGGAGATGACCAAGATAGTGAAAAGTCAAAACCAGCAGGCTCAGATGGTGAGCGGCGGGGGGTAAAGAGACAGCGGGATGAGAAGGATGAACATGGCCGAGCTTACTATGAATTCCGAGAGGAGGCTTACCACAGCCGGTGAGGGAAACAGTCCCTTTCATTGAAAGGAGTGTCTGCTCTGATTTTGGTATACCTGATGTTGATTGGAGAGTTTGGAAAGAGGGATGGATTAAAAATGGAATAGGTTTTTATAGGCATAAGTTTTAGATCGAATCTGCTCTGAAAGCTCCTATTGCTGTTTTCTCATTTGTTGAAAGAAGCTGTCTGCTCGAGTTTTATATTCACTGCTCACTGATGGTTTAAAACATTTTACAGACACAGACACCCCTCAAAGAAGAGGGCTTTGGATACACTATTGCTTTTTTCTCATACCTACAGCTCAAAGTCTCCACCACCTCCTGAAGAAGAGGCAAAAGACGAGGAGGAGGATCAGACTCTTGTGAACCTGGACACGTGTATGTATAAGGCAGATAGGTTGGGGTTTTCAGCCAATCACACATGATTTGGGATATTAAAATTTCATGGCCTGCAATTTTTAAGAGATTTAGCAACTGGAGACTTTGTATCCATTCTTGACAACTAGGTATATTTGTGTTCTGTTGGCTTTCAGGTGTTGAGCTTTGGAATAAACAGATTGCTTCTTTCTAACAGATACCTCGGATCTCCATTTTCAAGTGAGCAAAGACCGCTATGGAGGGCAGCCACTTTTCGCAGAGAAGTTCCCCACCCTTTGGTCTGGGGCAAGGAGTACTTACGGCGTGACAAAGGGGAAAGTCTGTTTTGAGGCCAAGGTAGTATATGCAGCTTATTAAGACCATTCATTTATTAAATTATTCGTTATCAAACTACTATGTTTTGGGTTTCTGCCCACCAGTATTTTATTAATGCAGTAAAAGGCACCATGTTTTAATGATAACCTTAGCTCCAGTAACCAAGAAATTGACCCCTGTGGCTTTGGTTTAAGTTCACTGACAGCTGTTACTCTTTTTTTTTTTTTAAGATTTTATTTATTTATTTGACAGCGAGAGCAGGAATACAAGCAGGGTGAGTGGGAGAGGGAGAAGCAGGCTTCCCGCGGAGCAGAGAGCCCGATGTGGGGCTCGATCCCAGGACGCTGGGATCATGACCTGAGCCGAAGGCAGACGCTTAATGGCTGAGCCACCCAGGCGCCCCTGACATTCTGATGTTGAGTTGTGATAGTTGTTTTCAGTTTATATACAAGTCTTGTCTTTTTAACTCAGACTTTGCTCCTGAGTTGGTCAGAGTATCTGAGAGTTCCTTTTCTGACTTGGCCAGGTAACCCAGAATCTCCCAATGAAAGAAGGCTGCACAGAGGTTTCTCTCCTTCGAGTTGGATGGTCTGTTGATTTTTCCCACCCACAGCTTGGTAATGTTATTTTTAACTTAATCGTTTGTGTTTGCTGCCATATTGCTTACTCCATGGGAACTTTGGGTGTAGGTAACTAATTTGTTCACCATTCTAGGTGAGGATGAATTCTCTTATGGTTTCGATGGACGAGGACTCAAGGCAGAGAATGGGCAGTTTGAAGAATTTGGCCAGACTTTCGGGGAGAATGATGTCATTGGCTGCTTTGCTGTAAGTGCTCCTAAAAGTTGTGGATTCAGAGCAAGGAGTGGATAGAGGGCACTGGGAATTCAATTTGCTTCCCCTTTTTTTTTTTTTCCCCCCAAGTAGGCTCCATGCTAGGCGGGAGCCTCTTTCCTTTGCTGTGTTGTCAAATTTCTGAAAGCAGGTAAAGTCTGGAATAGATCAGTGAGTTCAGTGTGGGGCTTGAACTCATGACTGAGATCAAGACCTGAGCTGAAATCAAGAGTCGGACGCTCAACCCACTCAACCACCCAGGCACCCCTCAATTTGCTTCCTGTCAGCTCCTGTCTTTTGTGCATTTGATGCATTGTTTGCTTAATTGTGTTCAGCAGTCTGAGTTTAAAAAAATATAAAATTGTAAGATTTAATGTCTCAAACCATGTAAGGTCATAAATGATCTTGTTTGTTGTTATTGTAGAATTTTGAGACTGAAGAAGTAGAACTTTCCTTTTCCAAGAATGGAGAAGACCTAGGTGTGGCATTCCGGATCAACAAGGAATCCCTGGCAGAACGGGCCCTCCTACCCCATGTCCTCTGCAAAAATTGTGTTGTAGAATTAAACTTTGGTCAGAAGGAGGAGCCCTTCTTCCCACCACCAGAAGAGTTTGTGTTCATTCATGCTGTGCCTGTTGAGGACCGTGTGCGCACTGCAGTCCCTCCCAAGACCAGAGAGGAGTGTGAGGTATGCCAGACAATATGCAAAAACTCATTAGTATTCTGCTTTGGAGTGGTTGGTCTTCAGGCTTTTCTTAAAGCTTCTTCTCAGAGCTTTACCGAACTGGGGCAGGTGATGATGTTCTTAAAAAGGGCTTTGTAAACATGACCCTTGCTTAGTTTTCAGTGGTATTCCTGGTTCTGTTTACTTACAGGTGATTCTGATGGTAGGACTGCCTGGATCTGGAAAGACCCAGTGGGCACTGAAATACGCAAAAGAAAATCCTGAGAAAAGATACAATGTCCTGGGAGCTGAGACTGTGCTCAATCAAATGAGGGTGAGTTGCTAGGGAAGGTTAGCTGTGGTATTTGCTCTGGGGGTTCCAAGAAATGCCTATAACCTTTTCCTGGTGGAGTTGGGTCTTTTAAGTGTCTAAGAACAAGGGTCCCACAAATAGAGAAATGAATTCTCAGTATACGTTTAAAGTAGGTTTTTTTTCCTCTGCTGTGTTGTCAAATTGCTGAAAGCAGGTGAAATCTGGATTATATCCAGATCAAGAGTGGAAATAACTCTTAGAAAATGGACAACATATGTTCACAGCATTGAGGAACAGGAATGAACTACTGTGATAGCTTTGGTGGCATTTAAAGAGGTGGCCTTTACCAGTGACTCTTGGGTTTTAACTTGCTGCATAACTTCTTGTGTTTCTCTTCACTTCCTCCCAAACTCACCAGATGAAGGGGCTTGAGGAGCCAGAGATGGATCCCAAAAGCAGAGACCTTTTAGTTCAGCAAGCCTCCCAGTGCCTTAGTAAGCTGGTCCAGATTGCTTCCCGAACAAAGAGGAACTTCATTCTTGATCAGGTATTGTTCAAACATTGAAACAAACAAACAAACAAAACAACCTGGGGCACCAGGCTGGCTTAGTCAGTGGAACATGCAACTCTTGATCTTGGGGGGTTGTGTGTTCGAGCCCCACATTGAGTGTAGAGATTACTTAACGAAAGAAGGAAAGAAAGAAATCTAGCTTTACAGAAGGTCCAAAGATGAAAAATTATCTGATAAAATTGCTTACAGTCCCAAGGGGGTGCACATGTAGAGGGAGACTGAATTAACGATCAGAACCAGGTTACCTAATTATGACCAAGTGGTATATTGTGGTCGTAATGTTTTTTGAACTCAGAGATGCGTTTTATCAGTGTTTTTACCAGAGTGTGTATGGACCCAGACTATAAAACACGTAATCGAGGTAATGGGAAGAGCTTGTTTGGATTTCTGGCTCCACCACTTACTAGGTTTATGACTTCAGACAAGTCTTGGTCTCTGAGTCTCAATTTTTCTGATGTGCAAAACAGGATGATATCTGTTAGGTAGAATTTTAAGAATTAGAGGAAATTGTGTCTGTAAGACCCCTAATCTCTTGCTTTACTCATAAAAGATGCTCAGTAAGTGTTTTGGTTGCATATGAGTGGCAATTTTTATTCCTAAAACATCTGTTATCCTTCCTGTCCCTAGTGTAATGTGTACAACTCTGGCCAACGGCGGAAGCTGTTGCTGTTCAAGACTTTCTCTCGGAAAGTGGTGGTGGTGGTTCCTAATGAGGAAGATTGGAAGAAGAGGCTGGAGTTGAGGAAGGAAGTGGAGGGAGATGATGTGCCTGAGTCTATAATGCTGGAGATGAAAGGTGGGCTAACATGATACAAGTTAGGGACCCTGTCCTTGGTCCGTGCACACCTTTCCAGGGCCTCTTAGCACCTCCTAGCATCTGGAGTGCTACTCCACATCTAAAGAGTAAATCTGGGGATGCCGGGCTGGCTCAGTCAGTAGAGCATGTGACTCTTGATCTCAGTGTCATGAGTTCAAGCCCCACGTTGGGCATAGAGCTTACTTAAAAAAAAAAAAAAAAGTGTAAATCTGAAGACTAAATTAATGGGTATGAGCACTTGTGGATGAATGAATGAGGAGGGTGACCGGAGAGGCAGTAATTCCTTGACTCATTCCAGAGAAGATACAAAAAGGGAGGTAGTGATAGACCCCAGGGTGATTAAAACTCAAGGCAGAAGCTTTGCTGAGTCAGTTATTCATTTAGTAAAAGCTTCAAGGGTGTTTATTGTTTGTCCAGTACTATTTTAGGTATAGGGAATAGTCAGTGAAATGAGGCTTCGCCTTCATTGAATTTATATTCTGGAGGAGGGAGATTATTATGGTTCAAATGAACCTTTGGTGTTTGGAGTGAATAATCTCATCAGTATACCTTGCTTTCTAGTATCACATTAGGACTGTGCTTTTGTTTTGGTTTTTGGTATGTGCCCGAAAATTTTAATGCAATACAAAGCCTTATAGCATCATCTCCATCTTGACTGATCGCACTTCCAGTTGTTCCTTCAGAGTGTGATTTTTTTTTCCCCCTTGCTTCCTTTACCTTCTGGCATCCCACCTGTCTTATCAACTACTGGCTCTTTGAGTTATGAAAATGCCCAGGCCTGGGAGCCAATGACACATCTAAGAGCTGGAGTCTCCGAGGTAACTCAGAATGAACTCTGCCAGTCCATAACTGATATTCAGGCACTTGGAGGGGTTTAATTCTGTTTTGTGAAACTGAGGGCTAACTGGATTCATCTTAGAATCGAGAGAGCCCCATTGAGCTGACTTCCACTGAGACCCAGCCTCTGACCTTGATGTCTAGAGAGTCGGCTCATGTGCTGGCCCATCGTGCACAGGTAGTAAATGAGCTCCCTTGTACTCTTGTTTCCTGTTCTTCTCATCTAGATGAGTAAGTCCTTTTGGTTTGGGTCAGTTTCTCATGGAGTCTCTTTTAAAAGTGTATTTCTCAGCGTCTTATCTAATCAGCACCACAACTTTCTCAGTTATTTTTAGCCTCTGGCTACCTGCATCTGCCCTGATAAGAAACTTTAACCCAATTCACTGTTAATTTATTCTGGAACACTAGAGAACTTGTAAATGTACTTTGCAGATAGCCATTGGCCTGGGGTTGTTACAGTTTAGGGAAACACTTTTGGTAGGGAAAGTGCATTGTTCATTTAAATGTGAGTGAGTATGCACTCAGGACCTTAGCGTGCATTGGTAGATGAGGCTTAGAAAATCCCATTCTTCCTATAGTGGGCTTTTCACGGGGAGCTCTTGCACGTGTATGCACTTTCCAGGTCTCAAAGGCTTCTCTCTTCCTCTTACAGCCAACTTCTCTCTGCCTGAAAAATGCGACTATATGGATGAGGTGACATACGGGGAGCTGGAGAAGGAGGAAGCTCAGCCCATTGTCACTAAGTACAAGGAGGAGGCAAGGAAGCTGCTGCCCCCTTCCGAGAAGCGGACAAACCGCCGAAACAATCGAAACAAGCGCAACCGGCAGAACCGAAGCCGAGGCCAAGGCTACGGTGAGTCCTGGGGACCTGCCAGCCCCCAGCCTCGGTGTGCTGTTGGTGCTGCGCACAGCGGGATCCCCAGCAGAGTCTGAGGACACCCAGTCAAGTCATAGGCAATAAGGAAGTACCTTCTTTATGGAGCTCGTTCTTCCTATGTCCTTCACCCCCACCTTCTTACGTTTTCCCATAAGCCTTCCTTAAGCGAAAGGTAGTTATTTTGCAACAGAAACGTTTGTTTCCTTGAAAAGCGGTGCTTGACCTTCTCTGTCTCGTTTTCATTTTTACATATGAGTGCCCCTCTTTGTTTCCTACTCACTGTTCTAGTGTAGCCTAAGGATGTGTGCAGTGAAATTGGGTTCTTAACTTAAGGTTTCTTGCTGCTTTGCCTGTTGGATCAACCCAGCTGTGTAGACCAGAAAGTGAATGCGTTGTTATTCAGTAATTTTGGGGCGTTATAAAGTCAGTTAGGCTGGGGCGCCTGGGTGGCTCAGTTGGTTAAGCAACTGCCTTCGGCTCAGGTCATGATCCTGGAGTCTCGGGATCGAGTCCCACATCGGGCTCCCTGCTCGGCGAGGAGCCTGCTTCTCCCTCTGACCCTCCCCCCTCTCATGTACTCTCTCTCATTCTCGCTCTCTCAAATAAATAAATGAATCTTTAAAAAAAAAAAAAAAAAAAGTCAGGCTACTAGTAGAGTTAATTCTCCTCCTGAATGTCTTGTTTGTCAGTGAACCCCGCAGTGTGCATTCACTGCCCTTTAAAAATGTTGGTGTGTGTGTGTGTGTGTGTATAAGTCAACAAAATTTTCGAGTGCCTGCTGTGCACTAGGCACTGAGAATACCAACTTCCTCCCCTAGACGAGCTTAGTATTTAGACTTTGATTTCATTGGTATAAAATAATGCGTCTAGGATGTAGGATATCTGGGGTCCCTTCCAAGACTGAAGGTCTATGATTGTACGAATGGCAGTTTTTACTCCTCTTTCTACCTCTGCCATGTATCCTTTTGCCATCTTAGATGTTTTGCAGGAACTGGGGAGCTTCAAAAGCAAGGTGGCTTGGTTTTCTTGTGTCTCTATTCCTATGCCCTCCCCCTTCAGACTCTTTAAAAAGCTCCTGGCTGGTGCTTTAATTACCATTGTGTGAGCCTGACAGAGGCAGCCTTCCTATTCTCCCAGAATTGCCTTTGGCTCCAACTTTTTGATTTCCACCCAGCTGTGGAGCCAGGACCCCACGCCAGCTGTCTGAGCGCGCTCTCCATTTCTCTTCCAGTGGGCGGGCAGCGCCGAGGCTACGACAACCGGGCCTACGGGCAGCAGTACTGGGGGCAGTCTGGAAACAGAGGGGTGAGTGCAGCTCTCCTGCTCCTCCCTCTGGGTCGTGATGGCCATTCCTGTTGGCTTGGGGGAGCAGAGTGGTTCGGGCTGTTTTCTCAGGGCTTAGGGTTTTGCCCATTTAATGTGTTCCTCTGGAAGAATTTATCCTGGGAAGATTAAGCCTGTTGATACTATGAAGCTATGACCTGTGTCTCATTTAAAATGGGATAGGAGTGGATCATGATCCTGACAACCCATAAATCTTCGCTTCTCCTTTCCTAGGGTTACCGTAATTTCTACGATCGATACAGGGGAGACTATGATCGATTCTACGGGCGAGATTATGAGTACAACAGATACAGAGACTACTACAGACAGTACAATCGGGATGTGAGTATCTTCTGGGGACAGAGGGGGTGGCAGGACTAGAGGAACGAGTGTCATGCCTGTCCGTCCTCGGCCAGCTGTGGCTCTGCGTGATGGGGTTTCCCCTCTCTTCTAGTGGCAGAGTTACTACTACCACCACCCCCAGGACAGAGACCGATACTACAGGAACTACTACGGTTACCAAGGGTATCGGTGAAGCCCCTGTTGTTCTCGCCTGTCAGCCACGAAGCTGAATCTCTAGGGGTGCCAGGCACCCCCCAAAACACAACCAAGGAAAACAGGGGCTGTTCGGGTGGGGCTGAGCTGCCGGGGAGGGGCGGTGGGGGGGGAGGGTGCGCAAGCAGGGGCAGGGGAGGGGGGAGGCGGAAACAACAAAACTGTACATTTTTTTTAAAAGTTTGTTGAAAAGAATATTGTCTTATTCTATAAAACATTTCAAACCTAGTTAGATATTTGTAATCAAAAAACATTTGCGCAGAAAGCAGCACTTAGGGCTGCCTGTCCTATATCCTGCAGTTGGACAGGAAAAGAACTGAAAATGTCACCCTTCTGACATTCTGAGGCAGCTGGCCTGGCAGCCAAGGAAGGGAGAGTGATGAGGTGGCGCGGAGAGGGTGGGCACGCATGTGAGGGCACTCTCTCCAGAGCAGGCAGGAGGCGGGGACAGAGGGACAGCTTGTGACTGGGGCAGTGAAAATAAACGATTGGCTCTTATCAATCACTTGCACCAACTAACCGTTTGTATTTTCTTTACCGACCTTTCCCTCTTGGGATATCTGGTCTGGTGGGCTGGGAGGCCAAAGTGTCCCTATCTCCACTTTCCCGTGCCTTGTGCTGTTTGGCTGAGGCGTGGAGACTACCAATTGGGTGGTTCTGTCAGATGGGATTCCCAGGGCAAGGGGACACGGGGACTGTTCGTGATTGCAGAGCAGAATAGCTTCCCCCCCACCCCATGTGCCCCGTAATAAATTTCCTACAGAACCTCGAGGGAGAAGGGCATTGCCGCCCTCAGCCTGAAGATTGTGATTTTACCAGTCTCTACTCTCTGTCTTCCAAGCTCGAGACAGGCAGGAAGTCTCTGAAATCATCTCTGTTAGAGTATCTGTCCTCTTCTAGTGCGAGAGAAGGAACGGTTCTCAGGGTTTCAGCTCACACAGAAACGAAGCAGGATTCTTTTTGCTGCAGCAGGATATGTATATAGGTGAATCCTGTGGTGTGGGCTCCGGGGCCCAGGTGCTGAGAATAGCAACTATTTTATACAATGTGGAGGGCGCAAGCCCTGCTGGTTTTTTTGATACACAGGTAGAGCGTGGATAGGAGGGGGGTGGGGGGTGGGAGGCAGCTCAGTGGGGCTGCCGAAACGGGAAGAGCGAGAATGGGAGCGTGTGTACTGTGCGCATGAAAAGGGGGCACCCCCTCCAACTTCTTGAAACCGGATTCCTCCAGGGGTGCTGTCCCTGCGTGTCCCCAGAGAGGCCTCTAGCCAAGAGACTTCAGTTGGGATAGTTTTTGTTTGTGACTTTACCAACACCCTTCCAGTTCTTGACAAACCGCTTCAGGTGGCTGGGCTCAGGAATCTGGGGGGGATATGGGAATGCTCTTTCAGTACTCCGCGCTTCACTTGTAAGTCATCCTCCTGCTCAGCGTTGTGTCAGCCAAGAGCTTACTCCGCAAAACACCACGTACAGCCCGGCTCGGGCTGCCCGCCGAGGCTTCACTTCCGTTTCCTCACCTGGGCAGTTCTCGGGTTAAAATTTTGTGCTGAGATTTGACCTTCCTCTCCCTTGGCCATCATTCCCTCCATGCAGCCCTCCCCTGGGCGTGCAGGCCCGCATCCTAGTCCTCCAGTCACCCCTGTCCCGTACACCCTTCTGCCCCCGAGACTGGCAAGGGGTGCTGGTAGGAAGTCGGCTTGCTCCTAGTGATGTCCTTTCTGTTGGGACCTGCTTCCTTGTGGTGCCCTCATGGATTTGCGTGTGGCAGTGGGTGGAGTGATTGCATGAACTTTGCTGTAATCCACTAACTACTTATTAAGGGAGTTTGAGAAAGCTTTGCTCGCAGTGTCAGGCACGGAGGTAAAAACTGGAGCCCAAAGAAATTCCCGTAGGGCAAGATTATGTAACAATAGAGAATTGAATTTGAGGCAGAAGTTGCCATCTCTATCAAATGTTCCGTCCTCCAGCGAATAGCATCTCTCTATAGTCTCTGGCGTGGTTTGTGGATGCTGGGCCCTCGGGGCAGGGGGCCAAAACTCAAGCCGTTTGGAGGTCTTCGGGGGTGGGGGAGGGCTAGGGGAGGGACTTGCTGTTAATTTTTGACACCAGAAAGTCATCTTTAAAAAAAAAAAAAAAAAAAGCTGTTTTTCTGATGGATGGAGAGTGAAACTGCCACATCCTTGTTGGTTTAACCCAAGAGATCACTTACAACAACAGTAGATGTCTGGGTTTTGTTTATGTCTTTTTATTGTGAAAAAACGATGTTAAGGGGGGGAAATGTGGGTTACCAGGAGGGATCCCTAGCCTTGTTTTCCTTAGAGGATTTGTTTAGTGTTTTATCAGACGTCTGTTGTAGTTGTTGTAGATGGAAACGCACACCACATGGAGCCTGTAAATGTTTTTGCACAACCTGTAAAGCATTCTTGGAAGTGGCCAGTAAAAAAGGGTTTTACCGTTCAAAAAAAAAAAAAATGTAACTGTGTCATTGTTTACATCTGTAACTTTTTCCTCCCCTGTTCTCATTACATCCTGGCGAAAATGTAGGCACAGTAGCTTCCAGTTTTAGAATAAATAACCATTTGGATTGAATTCACCCTATCTCCTGTGGCTGCACTGACTGGGGCGGAGTGTGTCATCTGGGGGGGATTGACTGATTGTTGATGCTGCTTCCTCAAGTTGTACTGGGCCCAACCAACGGTGGCTTTCCTCTTGCATGGCTCTTCTTCCCTTCCTATTCTACAGATCACTTGGGAGCTGGCCATGCCTTCATTTGAGGGTTGTTAGCTCCCTTAGTGCCTGCTTTCGCTGAGTGCTTGAGCTACTGGAGTAGAAGAAAATAAATTGTAAGCCATGACCTCTCTGTACTTAGCCTATACTAAAACCAGTTGGATGCTTAAAGCTAAATGTAAGGTTCCACTTGGGGGCCAAATAAATTTTTTTATTTTTATTTTTTTAAAGATTTTATTTATTTATTCATGAGAGAGAGGCAGAGGGAGAAGCAGGCTCCCAAGGAGCAGGGAGCCCGATGCGGGACTCGATCCCAGGACTCTGGGATCATGACCTGAGCGGAAGGCAGACGCTTAGCCATCTGAGCCACGCAGGCGCCCCAAGTAAATTTATTAATGAGTCATTACCACTTAGGAAAAGCCTTACTCCGTGGAAGATGGTTGATGGGGGTTACTTCATAGTAAATTTGGAGAATGAGAAGGTAACTTTAACAAAAGCACTATTGTGTTGCTAGCGCTGAACTGATCCTAACTGTAATTTCTAATAAATGGTCAGGGACTTACTAAGGCTGAGATGCCACAGGCTCACAACCAGTGTTTTGAAAGAGTAGTGATATAAAAGATACAGATCCTGCTCTAACTCTTCCCTGTATGTGGGACACAGATTCAGACCCCAGGAGCTTACAGCTTTGTATAGGTAAAGGCTATCCTTGATTTCAGTGTTTGCCCATTTTCTGGGATATTTAAAGTCAGTTTTATTTTTTAATTTTTTAAGATTTTATTTATTTGAGAGAGAGCATGAGATGGGGGAGAGTCAGAGGGAGAAGCAGACTCCCCGCCGAGTAGTTAGCCCGATGCAGGACTCGATCGCGGGACTCCAGGATCATGACCTGAGCTGAAGGCAGTCGCTTAACCAACTGAGCCACCCAGGCATCCTAAAGTCAGTTTTAGAGCTAATTAATCATTTTTAATGGTTATTTATAGTTAATGCCTGGTCTCTGGTAAACTTTTTTTTTTAAGATTTTTTATTTATCTTTGTGTGAGAGAGCCCGTGAGCGTGCGCACAAGTGGGGGAGGTGGAGAAACAGAAACACTGCTGAGCAGGGAGCCAATGCAGAACTGGATCCCAGGACCCTGAGATCATGACCTGAGCCAAAGGCAGGTTCTTAACTGACTGAGCCACCCATCTGGTAACCTCTTAAGCCCCCTTTGTGCCCAAATAGGGCTGCAACCATTCACCCTCAATTTGATGAGTATGAAAATTGTGCAGAAAAACTGAGCAGAGGCTTAAAACACAAAACAACTAATACCAAGATTACATTTATTGAGCACTTCTTTTCTGGCTTTTTACCAAGTCTGAGCTGATATGGAAATTTTCATTTACTGTCCTGGAATTTGCCCAACACTGTGATGCAGTAGAAAAAGAGTTTCTTAGTGTCTGCTCCGTATTGCTTGCTATTTAGTACAATCATTCATTAAATATCTGAGTGCCAGCTATGTGCAAGACACTTTCAGGATGCAGGGATTAAAACAGACTTGATCTTTGGGGTCCCCCGGGTGGCTCAGTCCGTTGATTTCAGCTCAGGTCATGATCTCCTGATGAGACCGAGTCCTCCCTGCCCACATCCCCTCCCCCCCCACCTCTGCACTCAGCGGGGAATCTGCTTGGGATTTTCTCCCTCTGCCCCTCCCCCCCCCAAGAATAAATAAATCAGTCTTTGAAAGGATAAAAAAGAACAGACGATCCGTTAAGGAGTTTTGATGAAACACCAAGAAGGAACTAATGGGGACTCCTGAACAGAATGGGGGTAGGCCCCCACTTCAAGAGGGCAACCAGGTTACTTTCCCTATTTCTTCATCTCTAGGATGAGGTAGTTAGATGACCTTCCGGACCTGTTAGGGCTCAGAAATTCATCAACAGCTGGAAAGCTGCTGTTCCTGAAAATGCCCCAAGTTCGTTGGGTGCCCCTAGACCTGTGGAGACATCCATAGGAGACTAAGTTCAATTCCTGGTAGAATGCCCTTTATTCCTTTTGGTTTCCCTCTCTGCATTCCTCTCCCCTTGCTTTCTCCTGTGCAAAGGTGTGGGGAAGCTGGGGGTGATGGCTATCCCTAATACCTCCTATTACTGCTGGGTGGCTCCTCCCACCGCCCACCCCCCACCCCCAGAGTGTATCTTTTTTTTTTTCTTTAATATTTTATTTATTTATTTGACAGAGCACAAGCAGGGGGATCGGGAGAGGGAGGAGCTCCCTCAGCAGGGAGCCCGACGTGGGTCTCCATCCCAGGACCCTGGGATCAATGACCTGAGCTGAAGACACACAATCAACACCCACGTGCCCCACCCAAAGTGTATCCCAACACAAAACAGGAGCTGGCTTAGGCTTCCCCTGGGAGGGATATATCCCTGATTTGGGGGGATGTTGATAATGCATGAAGAGCAGACACCCTGGGACTGTTGTTACCTTCCCTGCCTTGGCCCCGGTCCCACCTCCATATGTTCACCCTTGGAAGGAAAAGGCTTCTAGAAAAGCATCCCAGGCTTGTAAACCTCCGCCAAGTTTGAGTCTGGGAGGCGCTCGTGAGGCATTAAGCCGTGGTTTTGGCTTCTGGCCAGATGGCAAGCTGGGACCACTACGAAGATTGGTAGGCACGCTAGGGGCGGGGACGTTGCTTCTGGCGGATGTGACAGAGTGGGCCTGAGGGAGAAATGGGAACACAGCAAGCCCCACCAGGAAACCCAAACTGAAACAATTTCGGGCTTATCCAGCTCCTAGGGAGACCAGGAGGCGACCGAGGAACGGCGCCGGGCACTGGTTGCACACTTCTGTTTACACCCCGAAGGGAGCCTCTACTCGGCAAGCTGTAGAACCTAGATTCCCTTCGCAAGATCCATGCGACCAGCGCCTGCTACGCTGTGCTTGCAAGGGTTCTCTTGTCCCATGATCTTTGCTTATAGCCACCCGTGTGCCTTCACCTGGATCGGGGGGGGACGTCGACTTTCAGACTCCGGGGTGGGTGGGAATGGGCATCGCGTTGGCAAGGGCAGGGGCAGCCATTTTGAGACCCGATGAGCACACAAGAGACCGTATTGAGAACTCTGGCTGCCTGGGGCCGCCATTTTAAATATGGGGCTAGCTCGGAAGCCCCGTACGGTGAAACCCAGGGGCGTGGGGCTGCCATATTGGCGCTAGTCCCATGGCGGTGGCCATCTTGGAAAAGGGCCCGCCGTGGGCGCGGCCATCTTAGAAGTAAAACCGGCCCCTTCGCAGGAACTGGAGCCGAGCTCCTCCCCTCCGTTCCCGAGTTCCTCGGCTGCGATTACCCTCGGAATCCCTCCCTGGATCTAACCTGTTCGGTCTGTTTTCACTTTCACTTGTGTTCAGTGCTTTCGCGCGCGCGTGTGCGTGCGTGTGTGTGTGAGTGCTCCCCGTAGCCTCTGAGCGTCTGTTTTAACTTAATTCTTCCACTTGAGACGCCCTCTCGCGCCCGCCATCCCCCCAGTCCCGGCGATCTCCGATCCCAGACAATGTCTAGCCTGATTTGACTGGCCCTATTCTTGGGGTATGGCAGGCCTTTCACCTCGCGCACACACTCCCAGATCTACAGACTGATGATCCTCTCCCCAAGAACTCTTAACACAGGAGCTGTCCTCTGAGACTCTGGATGACTTTATTCTTCAAACGGCTTTACCCTTCTCATAGCTCCAGGTGAGACTGAGAGCAAGCACCCGGCCCATCCCTCTCTCCATTGTCTGAGCGGGTCACAGAGAGAAGCCGGCAGGACGCGGGCAGAGTCTGAACGGCCCTTCTGGGGATGGAGCTAAGGGGGCCCTGGGTCAGGGGGTACATGGGGTCCGCCGCAGTGGGCGAGGAAATGGGGTCGACAGATGGTGAAGGAGAGCTTTGTGCTTCAGATAACCTCATAGGGTTGGACAAGGGCTAGGGATGGGATGCAGGGACCCTCAGGGGCTCACGACAGTTACTGACCTAAGGAAGGGCCTAGGAGAGGGAAAGGTTCAGAGCTTGTGCCGAGGGACAGGGCAACTCAGAGGAGGGCACAGAAGAACTTCTTCTCCCGGAAGGGGTTCTCCGAAGTGGGCACAGGGGTGATGAGGGGATCCTCACAGGCGTGGGCATCACAGTAAGTCATCAAGTCTGCTGCTGCCTTGGACACCTGGGGCACAGCCAGGAGGGGAATTGTTAGCCAGATCCCCTGAGAGGGACTGCAGCCTCCCTCCCCAAATGGGTTATCTTTTGCCATCTTTAGGGCTTCTTTAAGACAGTATTCTCTTCCCTCATCCCCCACAGAGACCAGGGGACAGCTGTCCTTACAGAGCCAGAGACTCCTCCCATGATCGCAGGGAGTCCAGGAAAGAAAACAGCTCTTAACCTGAGATTTGGGGACCTACAGCACAACTGGGCCAACTAATGGGACCCAGGGTCCGCCCACCTTTATCCGGCACAAGCTGGCTTCAATCTTAAGCTGTTCCACCATCTTGCGGGCTTGCCCAATACTCATAGTGCTGTTCACAGGGGTCTCCCCTTTCATCCTGGAGAAAAGAGAGGGATAGCTCAGAGCATGATGTGGGGGGTGAGGGGCTGCATAATCTCATCTGAAGACACCCCTCCCCCCCGTGCTCCTTTTTCATCAGTCTTTACAAGACTGGGGTCATGTGCCCCAATATATTGTTCCTCTTATCCTCATCCTCCAGTGGCCTTTCCCATCCCCGTCTTCCTGGGCTAAGGAAATGGAGGGGGTGGGATGAAATGCCCCCCACACTCCCACATGGCCTGGGCCACAGATCATTAGGCATAAAAACGATTTAAGGCTTTTCAGCCCTTCCAGCCATGTGTGTTCCCAGCTTTGAAAGCCTCAGCCAGAAAAAGCCCCGCCCTGATGAGGACACATAACACCCCCTGCCCCCTTGAGCCCCAGGGGGAAAAAAGCAGGATCCTCCCTACTCACCTGAGGCCACAGGCAGCGGCAGCCCTGGGGAGTACTCAGTGGGGTGCACAAAACCTGCCTGAGATGGGTGCCCCACCTTGCAGGGAGTTGCAGCTGAAAGTATCTGCTGCAGCCTCAGAAGCAGCTAATACAAAGAAGTCCACTGGGGAGGTCAGGTCAGAGGTCTGTCGAGGGCTGGACCCAGTTCCTGCAGCTCAAGCACTGCCCAGACGCTGGTACCTGAAGGATGAAGGATGCTAGAAGGAGCTGCTCAGATCCTGGAGCATACCAACTGCCGGCCAGTGGGGGAGCCTGGCTGCTGTCTGCAGCCCCTACGCACACCCCCACCGTGAGCTGTCTCACTGGATGCCCTTCCCCCATTGCAGGCATTCTGAACCTGGACTCGGACGGAGCCGGAAGGAGCTGAGGCCCAGGCAGACTCCCCCCCCCCCACCCTTAAATGGGGTGGTCTGGACCTGTGACATCGCCCGCAGTGGAGTCTGTACTGGTTGCGGGGGACCCTGCTCATTTGAAAATCTGACATCAGCTGGGCAGTCGCCCCCCTCCTCCCTCCTCCCTCCGCTCTGACATAGCATGTAGTGCCTGAATCATCTTTTCTTTCCCGGGGACTCTCCATTCCCTATATCCAGGAAAATGTGATGAGCTACAGGTATCAGCTTCTAGATCACCAACCACTTCATGTTCTAGCCACAAGTGACTCGAGTGGAAGATCCGGGGGCAACAAGGTACGTCAGGAAGATGCCTACAGAACAAGGAGAAGCTGGGGGAAAAGAGGTGTGCAGATACCAGATCAAAGAATCGGACAAAGAAGAGGTAGGGGGCACTGTGGGGAAAGTCTTTGGATGTTTCTTGAAATAGATGAACTCCCAGGGTGGATTTTGGAGTGTGGGTACTGGTTTAAGAGATTACATCCCAGGCCTGCAGGGTTGTGCTTGGTGCTGTGTGGAATGCGAAGATGTACACAATATTAACCTTACCCTCTGAGAGATCTTATTTGGGGTGAATAGTCATATATAAAATAGAAGGTACCGTCTGCCAAGATCTAGTGTACATAACGCGCTGCGGGGATTCCGAGGGAGAGTCCAGTTAGGGCCAGAGGAGGTCGATCATATTCTAAATGCTGGGGACAAAACAGGGAGCTGAAATGCTATCACTCTTGTGATAGGGGCCAGCCGGCCGGCCAGCGATGCTCTCTGCCTTGGACGCCTACGAGTCCAAGGAGCTGTAGGAGATAGAAATCAGCGCCAGCTGGATGCCCGCCCCTCTTCCCCTTTGCGGGGGTTTCAGTGGCCGGTGGTGAAGGTGTGCGTGGAGGGCCCGGATTGTGGCCTCGAGGGGCAGGCTGAGGGGGATGCTGCTGACTCATAGCGTGCCCTGGGGCCTATCTTGAGGCTTGGAGGGAGGCGCCGGTCCTCTTGGGTCTGGGAAGGGGACCGTAGGGAGGGACCGTACGCAGCGCGCGGAGGTGGGAAACCCGCCGCCCGGCAGGCCCCGCCCCTTGCGCCGGACCCCGCCCTGGAGTGAGGTCCCGCCCCCCAGGTCACAGAGGCGGCCGGCGGAAGGGGGCGGGGCTTCCGCGGGAGGCGGAAGTCCCTTCTCGCCGTTGCCCCAGCAGCCCGCGAGCTGGTGAGTCTGCAGAACCCCGGTGGCTGGCGAGCGGGGTTCCCTGCTGGCGCGGTTAGGTGGGGGCTCCGGACGCCGCGCCCACCGCCAGCCGGAGCGGGTGCTGGCGGGGGGCGAGCGCAGCTCTGGGAGAAGAGGAGAAACTCGGGAGGCCGTTGTGGCCGCGCTTAGGCCGCCGGCTTTGAGTGCGGCTGTACGACCCTAGGCCAGTCGAGCGTTCTCTCGGTGCAGCCACCTGGCGGTGTGGACGCGGTGTCGTCATGTGTGTAAAAGCCTTTTAAGGTGCTCATCTTCTGTATTATTATATGTTGTTAAGAATGAGTTTCAAGGTGGCCTGTCCCAGAATCAGGTGTCCAAAAGACAAGTTCAGCTGAGTTGTTGGGGCGGTGGGGCCGAAGAAAGCACAGTGAAGGAAAAGGGAGCGGGTAACTGGTTGAGAAACGCAATCATCTGGAGAAAAGCCATATGAAACAAAGACTTGCTGTGTTTGGCTATCTCTGGTTCCTCAAAGCCAGTCCAGTAAGCTTGTCCTTTTTGTCCCCACCTTCCCTGGGAAAAGAGCCATTCTTTCCCCCTCTCTGTCTTTTTCCAGGAACCACCAGCTGCTTCATCCCATGGCCAAGGGTGGCGTCCAGGTGGCAGAGCAGCTAGGAACTCGAGGCCTGAACCTGGGGCCAGACACTCTGTACTCCCTGCCATGGTCAATGACCCACCAGTACCTGCCTTACTGTGGGCCCAGGAGGTGGGCCACATCTTGGCAGGTCGTGCCCGCAAGCTGCTGCTCCAGTTTGGGGTGCTCTTCTGTACCATCCTCCTCCTGCTCTGGGTGTCTGTCTTCCTCTATGGCTCCTTCTACTATTCCTACATGCCCACAGTCAGCCACCTCAGCCCCGTGCATTTCTACTACAGGTGAGAAGGGTCTTCTACCAAAGTAGAGGAATTCTTTGAGAGAATTGCTGTCAGGGCCCTTAGAGCTTATGCAGTTCAACCCCCTCATTTACAGAGGAGAAAATTTGAGCCTTGTGTGTTTATATGACTTCTTACCTTTCACAGCCCAAGGCTGAGGAAGTTCTGGGTTGGTAGGGCTCTAAGGTCCTAGTTCTACCTCTGGTTACTGAAATTTGTTAAAAAGAAGAAGAAAATTCCCCTTTTAGACTGTCACTGTGAGGATCAGTTCTGTTTGGGTTGGGTCAGATCTCCCTCAGGGCCACTGTAGACCTCTTAACCAACCAGATCCCTTGGGTCATCTCAGAACTAACTTGGCCTTCAGTAGAGAAGGTATTAGGAAAGCAGCAAGTTACCTTGTACGTGACTTTCTCCCACTCCCGATAAACCCACACAATAGAGATTATGGAAACACAAGGTGACAGGGTACATAAAGTCCCAGAGTCCTGCTTCTCACCTGAGGCCTCAGTTCCTTCTGATTTTACAGACCTTGCCAGATTCTCTCCCTTTCTCTTAACAGTGGCAGTAGGACCAATCAAGAGATGCTGATAGGGGGCGCCTGGGTGGCTCAGATGGTTAAGCGTCTGCCTTCGGCTCAGGTCATGATCTCAGGGTCTTAGGATCGAGTCCTGCATCGGCCTCCCTGCTCCTTGGGAGCCTGCTTCTCCCTCTGCCTCTCTCTCTCTGTCTCTAATGAATAAATAAATAAAATCTTAAAAAAAAAAAAAAAGAGAGATGCTGATAGGGGCATTGTTATCAATGATCCAGTCATTTTTTTTTTCCTGTCTTCAGTCCCTGATCATGAACTGTACTTTTTTTTTTTTTAGGATTCTTTTTTTTTTTTTAAGATTTTATTTATTTATTTGACAGAGAGACACAGCGAGAGAGGGAACACAAGCAGGGGGAGTGGGAGAGGGAGAGGGAGAAGCAGGCTTCCCGCCGAGCAGGGAGCCCGATGTGGGACTCGATCCCAGGACCCTGGGATCATGACCTGAGCCGAAAGGCAGACGCCCAACGACTGAGCCACCCAGGCGCCCCATGAACTGTACTTTCTTAAGTCATAGCTACTTAAACTTTTAGGAGGCATGATCTCATGAAAACTTTGGCCCTTATGCTGTAAAAACATGTATGCACGGGGGGCACCTGTCTGGCTCAGTTGGTAGGGCACATGACTGATTCTTGATCTCAGGGTCGTGAATTCAAAACCCATGTTGGACATAGAGCTTACTAAAAAGTGTGTGTGTGTGTGTATATATATATATATACACACACACACACACATAAATGCATGCCCATGTGTAATTTTGCTTACAAGTTGAGATTTGTGAGCCTCTTAAAGACCATCTGTGGGGTCACCTGGGTGGCTCAGTTAAGTGTCTGCCCTCGGCTCAGGTCATGATCCTGGAGTCTCGGGATTGAGCCCCATGTCAGGCTCTTCGCTCAGCAGGACGCCTGCTTCTCCCTCTCCCTCTCTTGCTCACTCTCAAATAAATAAAATATTTAAATTTAAAAAAAAAAAAAAGACCATCTTTGGATTCCTTGGGAGGAATTTTCTCAAACTAGGCCCCAGAATCTGGGGATAGGACCCAGGAATCTGCTTTGTTGTTGTTGTTTTGTTTGTTTTTGAGAGAGAGTATGCGTGCATGCCCGTAAGTAGGTGGGAGGGCAGAGGGAGAGAGAGAATCCCAAGCAGAGTCCGTGCCCAGTGGGGAGCCCAACAAAGGACTTGATCCGAAGACCCTGAGATCATGACCTGAGCCGAAATCAAGAGTTGGAGCTTAACCGACTGAGCCACCCAGGTGCCCCCAGGAATCTGCATTTTTATCAAGCTCCCCGAGTGAGTCTTTAGAAACACTTCAATCTGAAACTATTCAACTAACTGTTCATTGAATCCCGTGTAAGAATTTCTGCTCTAACGAGAGGAAATAATCTGAAGTAGCAAGAAGAGAATGAAAGAATTGTTCAGGTGTCTTGAATCTCCTGGCTGCATTTCTTTTCCATCTCTCTCTGACAGAGAGAAGGGTACCTGTTCTGGAAGAAGGGATGGGGGACAAGAGGGAGCCCTAGGGGGCCAAGGAGGTGTACGGACAGGTAAGGCAGACTCTATAACTTAGTGGAGTATCATCCCCATTCTCATCTAGGACTGACTGTGATTCCTCCACCTCCCTACTCTGCTCCTTCCCTGTTGCCAATGTCTCGCTGGCTAAGGGTGGACGTGATCGGGTGAGTATGGGAGCTGAAGAGACGTTTCATTAGCGCTTTGAAGACTTGAAATCGGAGGGATTGAAAAGACCTGGCGAGCAGGGATTGAGTAATAGAGACTCAGAGGAAGGCTCTCAAGGAAAGGGAGGTTAAAGAAAAAAAGTCTGAACCGTGTCGCAGGCATCTGCCTGTCACAGATGTTAGCAGTGCCCTTCTCATTGTTTCAGGCAGGAGATGTGTTTTAAACCTCAGTGAACCTAAATCTGCTATTTCACTGGACGAGGATGGAATCCACCCAAGAGTTTTGAAAGCCTGTATGTGAAATTATGAAACTCTTGACAAATCTGTGTCATCTGCCACTACAGAGGGTGTGTGCTAGGGGAGGGGCCAGATGCCAATAGGACCTCAGCGAACCCGGAAGCCCTGGGAAATGCAGAATGGGAGTGTGTCTGTTTATAATAGGCAAGCTGGTGGAGGCTCTGAGAAGAGAGGAGGATCCCTGCATGCTTCAGAGGATCTTTGGAGCATCCACATCGTTTTTGCTCACCAGAGTTGTTTGAGTTGTTAGTCAGCAACGTAATTCATAGTCATCAGTGGGCACACGTACTAAGAATGTTTAAATCATCTGGAAAAAAAAAATGCTTTTTTAAGTGGTTCATGGGAGGACACTGCCTGACACAGGATAGACCTAAATGGTCACTGAAGGGAGGAGTGTAAGCTGTAGCATCTGGGGGCCTCTGGGATTGGTGTTTAGACTGGCCTTGTTTGGCAGTACGAATAGCCTGCTATGTGTGTCCTGTGACCACTTCCACTTGACCAGGAGGTAGCCATACACCATCAAGAAGACTTACCAGGTCTGAAGAATTGGGTCCCAAATGGATGTAGTGACGTGGAAGGTTGGATATTGTAAGACAGAGATTTATCCTTTTGTTTTATTTTTTTTATTTGAGGTGTGGGGAGCAGACGGAGAGAGAATCTTAAGCAGGCTCCACGCCCAGCTCGGAGCCCGACAAGGGGCTTCGATCTCCCCACCCTGAGATCATGACCTGAGCCAAAATCAAGAGTCGGACGCTCAACCGACTGAGCCACCCAGGCGCCCCAAGATTTATCATTTTAATCCAGCTACTCAGAAAAGGAGTTTGGAGATTATTACAGAATCTTTTGTGAAGATACTGATTCGATGTGCTTTTGTGGCTAAAAATAGTAATACATAAACTACGTTGAGAGGGAGCTAGAAACAAAGCTACAGTCCAGCTACATACTACAGAATGTCTGCCCCTGAGATGGTCCCTACCATTGTGTGGCTGCCTGTTGCAGAGATCCTAATGGTGATTCAGGGAGCCTAAAAATTGGGTGTGAAGCTGCTGGATGAGGAAGGAAGGGAAAGATGAAGGGTGAGGGGTGATCCAGTATCAGGGTCTCCGATCAGGGTAGTCCCTGATAATTGAAGCAGGTTGATCATTTTGCCCATTTACAGTGAACGTTTGGGAAGGAAGGAATAGAAGAAATAATATGTGTATTTTATGTGTAACACTGCTGGAAGATGGGATCCTGCTTTCCAGGAGCTCACAGGATTGATAGAGAAATCTATATGCTGCATTAAGTAGCAAAGTGTAAGACACAGCTTCTGCATTTCAGAAGAATTTGTGAAGAATTTGAGGGATCAGTGTGAGACTGTGGAGATGGCGAGGCTCAAAGTGGACCTTGTAAGGAGGGGTGGACATTATGTGGGTATGGGGGAACAGAAGGAGAATCTGCCCATCAGATGTGAACAAAGGCATGGAGTCATTCACAAGATTCTGGTGGTCGATTCTGTGGATCCCGTTGGAGGAGATGATGTTTAGACAGAATTACTAGTTTAAAAACCCATATAAAACAGCTTTATTTAGAGAAAACTCACATACCATAACAGTTCGCCCACTAAAAATGTATAGTTCAGTCATTTTTAGTGTATTCACAGAGTTGAGCAGCCAGCACTGCAGTTAATTTTTGAGCATTTTCATCACCCCCAAAAGAAACTCCTACCCGTTAGCTAGCAGTCACTCCACATTTTCCTCCAACCCACTCAGAGAACTACCTATTAAAATGTATCAGGGGCACCTGGGTGACTCAGTCAGTTAAGCATCTGGCTCTTGATTTCAGCCCAGGTCATGATCCTGAGAAGGGCCCTGAGAGATAGAGCCCCACATCAGGCTCTGTGCTGAGCATGGAGCCTGCTTAATAAGATCATCTCTCCCTCTCCCTGTGGCCCTCCCCCGCCCTTAAAAAATGTTTCAACGAATTCAGTGAAGCAGCTGGCGTCATCTGGCCTCTTCCAGGGGCTAGAATCTCATGGAGTCCATTTTTTCAACAGATAATTCATTCTGAAAATAAGAATCTGTACAAAAAAGACTTTAATAAGTGATTTTCCACCTTTTACCCTAGTGATAGTGCTCAGAGCACCCTCAGCCATACCTGGATTTGGGGGGTGGTTCACTATGGGCTTTTTTTTTTTTTTTTTAAACCCATTCCCTTTGTTTAAAAACAAAAGCCTTACTCTTGCCCCTGTGATTCTTGTGTATCACCCTGAGGAGGGTTGTGCTGAATAACTGAATAAAGGATTAGAAGAATATAGGAATGGTCAGGAAAAACCAGGGTATATTTGGTGGCAAATCTTTAACCTTTGGGGGTTAATCCCAGTGAAGAAGCCTTCCCACTAGGAGTCTCAGGGTTCTATCAATAGAAGCAAGGTAAGGGACCCAGAGTGACATAAAGCTGATCTGGAGCCACGGTGACCGGGAGGGGTGACTTTGGAGTTGGCGTACACCGCTGCAACTTGCTTAATTAGTAATGTAAGGGAAGGCAGGCTGGGCCCAGGGGTATGGCCTCATGGGGACAGAGGCCTGAGTCACCGATGGCCCAGTTGGCAACATGACGGTTCACTTTCGGGAAAAAAAAAAAAGCGACACAGCCTTTCTCAGAACAGAGCGGACTCTGATTCAGCCAAGTCACAGGATGCTGCTCATCTCAGAAGTGGGAGGGATCTGGCTACCACAAGAGGGCAGCACCTTCCTGGGATGAGAGACTGAGCGGCCTGCTGCGCTAGCCAGGGGATTGGGGGTGGCAGTGTTTGGAGGGATGGGGGGAGATGGATCAGAGACCGTACAATTTGAAATAGATACATTTTTTGAAAAGAGACGGGGGCTACCTTGGGCAGGTGCTGATGTATGGACAGCCGTACCGTGTCACCTTAGAGCTTGAGCTTCCAGAGTCCCCTGTGAATCAAGATTTGGGCATGTTCTTAGTCACCGTTTCATGCTACACAAGAGGTGGCCGAATCATCTCTACTTCTTCGCGCTCCGTAAGTGTTCCTGGCCTGTCTGGGAGGGTGCCGAGGTGACAGCAGATGTCAGAACGTCTGGGTAGGGCTTCAGGAGAAAACGTCCTAGCTCTGAGGTCACAGACTCATCAGGATAGGGAAGAGGTGTCAGTTTACCAAGCCAGACAGACACCCGATATATCTGATGAGCGTGTCCAGCTTTGGGGGAAAGTCTAAGAGTGGAGCCAAAATGGGGTTCTTTAGGGCCCCAAAGATCTGGAATCCTCAGAAACATACCAACTGGGGGGAAAAAAAAAAAGAAAAATACTAGCTGAGAGACAGCTTCTTTAACCCCTTGGTTACAAAGCATTACTAACGGGGCATGTTAGTAATAGTCCCGTAGCAAGACTAGTTTGGATTAGGTGAAGAAATGTACAGTGCTTATGAGCCCATAGTGGGTCTTCAATAAATACTAAGATTCCATTCTTACATGAATTATCAACAGAGCCACATGATGAAGCAAATCTCTGAATGCCTACATGGAGAAAATTTCAGGTGGTGCACTGAAACTTAGTCTATTCTGGATGGTAGAACTGCTTGGGGGAAAGATCAGAGACCGTGTGGGGCTTAACCTGTGCAGGTTCTTCGAAGAAAGGAATGGAGACATGGTCAGGCAGGACAGGCCTGTTACTCAAGCAGCTGGAATGGTTGGGCCAAGGGTAAGGGGAGCATGGTAGGAGGTGAAAAGGAGGGAGCGGGGGACCGGAGGAAGAAGCCAGCTTCACAGATGGCTCAGGAACCTTGGTTGAGGGGTGGGTAGGGCTGTGGAAATCGGAGGGGGGGGGTACCTGTCCCCAGCCTCTCCCTCCTGGCCCTGGCAGGTGATGTTGCATTACCGCTCAGACCTGCTCCAGATGCTTGACACGCTGGTCTTCTCCAGCCTCCTGCTGTTTGGCTTTGCAGAGCAGAAGCAGCTCCTGGAGGTGGAGCTCTACTCGGAATACAGGGAGAACTCGGTAAGCGGTGAAGGAAGACTAGAGACCGCTCTCCCCATGAGCCCAGGGTTCTGCCTGAGGAGCCTCTGGGCTCGGTCAGCCACGGAGATGCTGGGAGTGGGCTTCACATTGGGCTGGTAAGCGTCGATCGCGGCCTGACCCCCCCCCCCCCACAGTACGTGCCGACCACTGGAGCGGTAATCGAGATCCACAGCAAGCGCATCCAGATGTATGGGGCCTACCTCCGCATCCATGCCCACTTCACCGGCCTCAGGTGAGGCAGCGCCGGGCAACTCCCGCGGGAGCCGTCCTTCAGTGAAACTAGCTTGCGCTTTCCTAGAAATAATCTCTGCGAATTGAGGAGGCTAGTGCTCCCCGGTAACCGCCATGCTCTTACCTGCCCCAGGTACTTGCTGTACAACTTCCCGATGACCTGTGCTTTCGTAGGCGTCGCCAGCAACTTCACCTTCCTCAGCGTCATCGTGCTCTTCAGCTACATGCAGTGGGTGTGGGGGGGCATCTGGCCCCGACACCGCTTCTCTTTGCAGGTCACAAAGGACCTCCTCCCCCTCCCCTTCGTGATCCTTTGACTGAGGAGTGGGCTGGGGCGTGGCCAGGGCTGGGCCCCGAGGGCCTAGATCACACTCTGGGCTCCCTCTTTCTCCCGCACAGGTCAACATCCGGAAAAGAGACAGTTCCCAGAAGGCAGGGCAGCGAAGGATCTCTGTCCGTCATCCAGGTAGACATGACGGGAGGGGGGGCGCCTGTGTTACCCAGTATGAAGCTTTAGGCCCTCACGGCGGGGCCGAGGGGCAGAGGGCAGGCTGGAGGAGGTGAGCTTGGCCCCGCTGCCCGGGTGCAGCCGCGGTAGCCCTGCCCCGTCCTCTACCCACTTTGGGGGCACAGGGCCCCAAGGCCAGGAGGAGTCAACCCAGCTGTCAGACATCACAGAGGACTGCGAGAGCCCTGAAGATCCCCCGGGGGCAGGTACATGCCGCAGCCTGCCCACCCACCCTCCCCAGGAGTCCTCAGTTGTCCCCTTCGGCCTCTTCTCGTCTGACCTCTGCCTTCCCCCTGTGGCTGCAGAGGGTCAGCTCCCTGAGGAGGAGAAAGCAGACCAGCGGCCCTTGAATGGAGAGGAGGAGCTGGAGCCAGAAGCCAGTGATGGTGAGGGGCGCTCGGCGTGCGGCTCTGGGTGGGGTGGGGGCGGCGTGTGCATAAGGGAGGACGTTATATTGGTTGGGGGAGAAGAGACCCTGGTTACTTAATTTCCCATTTGGGATTTTGTTTCTCCCTCCTCTGGCCCAGGTTCGGGCTCCTGGGAAGACGCGGCTTTGCTGACCGAGGCCAACCTGCCTGCCCCTGCCCCTGCCCCGGAGACTCTGGGCAGCTCTGAACCCTCTGTGGGCAATCTCCGACAGCGCCCCACCTGCTCTAGTTCCTGAAGAGAACAGGGCAGAGTCCTGACATTCCAGTCCTTTCTCACCTGACCCCTTCCCCAATAAACTATTTTCATGCCAGTTGCTTGCCTGACTCCTTGAAATGGATTCAGGGCCATTTGAGAACCCTGTGCTCCCCGGGCAGCCTCCCCGCCCCCCTGCATTGGAGGAGGTTGTCTTGTCGGGGGCTGCCTGCCGACGGGGGAAGGCCTCCAGACCTGGACTATCCTAGGTACAGCTGTCTCCATTCACAAGCCTAGAAAGTCCAAGGAGAGAAAACCTACCCGGCCTACTCCATCCACGTGACTCTGGGGAGGGGGATCGTGTAGGGCGGGTCTGGAGAGCCGGGCTGCATCATTCTGGCCCCTGCACCCCTCCCTTTCTCTGTCCATTGGGAGGCAGAAGACAGGAAATGACTGCCATGGATGTGGTATGATTTCTACCGAAACAGCATTTTGTAGCCCAGGCCCCCATGCGGTCACAGTTGTTTTCTTCTCTGCTACCAGCCAGGTGGCCCTCTCTCCTCACCCCTCCACATAGCCTCAGCCCTCTGATCCTCTGCTCCTGGCTGCCGGCCACATTCCACTCCCGGCTCCCAACCCAGGCATCCTGGCCTCCAGATGAAACAGCTGCTGTGCCTCCTGCCCCCCATCCCTGGCCCCGTGACTCAGGCTCTCTGAAGGGACCGGCCCCGCTTCTTGGCATTCACCGGGAAAGGGGGGGGGCAGGGGAGGGGGCCTAGGTGGTGACATCATAGTGGAAGGGTATAAAAGCTTCGAGCCAAAACAGAATTGAAATTGAAGACACTGACTTTGAGCCTGTGCTCCCGGGGTCGCCCCGGCCGCACCCCCACAGACCTCTGGTTGGAGATTTGCACCACTGCGAGACCTCCCCGCTGGTGAGGGGCTGCTGGGGGCCAGGGAAGGGGAGGGGTGGGAAAGAGGGGGCAGCCAGGGACTGGAGTTCCTTCGACAGGTGGGGAGGATTCCAGGGTCCTTAAGTTTCCCCCTTCTTTTTTTTTTTTTTTTTAAGATTTTATTTATTTATTTGACAGAGAGAGACACAGCAAGAGAGGGAACACAAGCAGGGGGAATGGGAGAGGGAGAAGCAGGCTTCCCGCTGAGCAGGGAGCCCGATGCGGGGCTCGATCCCAGGACCCCGGGATCATGACCCGAGCCAAAGGCAGACGCTTAACGACTGAGCCACCCAGGCGCCCCAAGTTTCCCCCTTCTATTCCATCCCTTCTTTCTCTTTTCTGTGCGCTTTGGGGTTTTTGCGTGTGTCGCTGACTGATAATTGTTTTACTGAGATCTTTTCTTTGGGTGGCAGCTGGGAATTATTCCACCTTTCTTCCCCAGGCTGAGTAAATCATTTCCTCTTCTTTTCCCCTCCAGCACTTTGCTTATTCATTAACTGTTTCTGGGATTTCACCATTGCCGGTCACACACCCATCTCTCAGGGCAGCCCACTTTTGTCCCCCCCACCCCCGGCCCTCCGAAACCAAGTCCATAGGCTGTTCAGAAGTTGGTTGACAAATAAGTGTGTCCACCCCCTTTCCTCCTCTTTCCCCTTCTCTTCTTGGCCCCCGGCTCTGTGTCCCTGTCCCCAGAGGTTCTGTGGAGGGAGGGGGCCTCGAAGGCATGGGGTCTGGACAGCCTTTTCCTCTTCACCTCCTTCCCTTCCAGACCCCATGCTGGGCTCTCCCTGCCTTCTGTGGCTCCTGGCTGTCACCTCCTCCTTAGTGCCCCGAACGCGGCCCTTGGCCCCTCAAGACCTTACGGAAGAGGAGGAAGATGAGACCTCACGGCCACCTCTGCCGGCTGTCCTCTGCGACTACGACAGTTGCCGCCACCTGCAGGTGCCATGCAAGGAGCTGCAGAGGGCTGGGCCCGGGGCCTGCCTGTGCCCCGGGCTCTCCAGCCCTGCCCAGCCTCCGGCCCCGCCGCGCCTGGGAGAGGTGCACGTGGAGGCCGAGGCCGGCAGCGCGCTGGTGCGCTGGTGTGCGCCCCCCTCCCCGGTCCACCAGTACTGGCTGCTGCTTTGGGAAGGCGGTGGGGCTCCCCAGAAGGGCCCCCCGCTCAACGCCACGGTCCGCAGAGCAGAACTGAAGGGACTGAAGCCTGGGGGCACTTACGTCGTTTGCGTGGTGGCTGCCAACGGGGCTGGAGAAAGCAGCGTGCCGGGGGCAGGTGGGGAGGGCCTCGAGGGGGTGGGGGGCCCTGCTTTCGGGCCCTGCGGCAGGCTGGCCATGCCCCCCAGGCCCGTTACCCTGGTCCACACGGCCGTAGGGGTGGGCACGGTGCTGGCCCTGCTGACCTGCTCTGCTCTGGTCTGGCACTTCTGCCTGCGCGAGCGCTGGGGCTGCCCCCACCGGCCGGCCTCCCCCCCACCAAGAGCAGGGCTCTGAAGCAGCCTGGGCGCCTCTCAGGCCCAGCGGAGCCCAGGCTCGCAGAGGAGAGCTCGGCCCGGACTCCCCTGGGCAGCCCGGGTGCCAGAGTAGAAGGCCAGGCGCCTGGGGCCCCAGCTGAGTCTCGGGGCTCAGCCCCTCGGGCTAGTGCGGGTCCCAAACTTTCCGTCTTGCTCCAGGCTGAAAGGACCGGAGTGGGGTTGGCAACCGTGTCCTTAAAGGACCAGAGAGTAAATAACGTAGGCTTTGCAGTTCCAGCGGATAAAATCAAAGATAATACGTAGGGGCTTCTATGGCCATGTAACCATGTAAAAACGTAGCTCATGGGCCTTTTCTTTTCAAATCAGGCCCCGGCCATACTAGGCCTGTTGGCTGTAGTTAGCTGATCCCAATCCCTGTCATAGACCCTCAAAAGGGCCCTGTCACATTGGTGGCTTCGGTGGGATTTTTGAGAACAAACTGCTTCGGGCTGGGAGCTTGGGGAAAGACCACTCCCTCTTTGACGTTTCATTTTGATATTGAAGATGAGCACACCTGAGTCGGAACCCACCTGTGTCTGATGTGGGTGAAGATAAATGACCGACACGGGGTGGAGAACCAGGGACTGCCTAAACTGCTGTCTGCAGCATTTCCCAAGTCCAAGGATGTCCCCCACTTTCCCTCAGTCTGTGTCTATCGTATATTCACTGTACCAACATTAAAGGAAATATAAAATGAAGCTATTTTCATTTTTCCTGACCCTTTTAATTTCCCTGTCCACACACCTATTTCTCAGAGTACTGTATACTTTTAAATTTATCTTTAACTGGATATGGGGCGCCCGAGTGGCTCAGTTGATTGTGTCACACTCTTGGTTTTGGCCCAGGTCATGATCTCAGGGTCGTGAAATCGAGCCCCGCCTCAGGCTCCGAGCTGGGTGTGGAGCCTTCTTGAGATTCTTTCTCCCTCTTCCCCTCCCCACCCCCCTGCCCCGGCCAAGTAAATAAATAAAACCTTTAAAAAATAAAAAATAAATCAACTGGATGTAGAAAAGTCTGAGTTGCTACAGAGTATAATCCTCATTTTTGCTGGTCCTACAATTTTTTTTTTTTTTAAGATTTTATTTATTTATTTGACAGAGACACAGCAAGAGAGGGAACACAAGCAGGGCGAGTGGGAGAGGGAGAAGCAGGCCTCCCGCTGAGCAGGGAGCGCTATGTGGGGCTCGATTCCAGGACCCTGGGATCATGACCTGCACCGAAGGCAGACGCTTAACAACTGAGCCACCCAGGCGCCCCTGGTCCTACAACTTTTAATTATAGAACTAACATTTATACAAATTTCAAATACTGCTGAAGAATACAAAAGAAAGTTCCTCTTTTTCTCAAGAGGTAATTATCCCTAGTAGAGCAGATTTTTATTCAATGTCGATATTTTCTTTGTTCACTCAATAGATGATGGACAACATTCCATGTTGGCAAATCATAGCCTCCTTGGTTATGTTAAAGGCTGCGCAACTTTCCATAGAAGGATGCTCCTTGACTGATAGAAGCCATCGCTCTTTACTGGAACATTTGTCTTCAGTGTTTGCTATGGGCATCTTTATGTATCCTCACATTTGTGTATTTCTGTAGGGTGCTTACCTGAAAGTAGATGAAAGATGCAGTATGGGACACCTGGGTGGTTCAGTCAGTTAAGCGTCCACCTTCGGCTCAGGTCATGATCTCAGGGTCCTGGGCTTGAGCCCCACCTCGGGTTTCCTGCTCAGCGGGAAACCTGCCTCTCCCTCTCCCTCTGCTCTTCTCCCCTGCTGTTTTCCCACTGTCTCTCTCAAAACGAATACATAAAAAGTCTTTAAAAAAAAAAGACGCGGTACCATACAATTAATGATTTTTTTAAATCATTGGATCTCAGGATAAATGAGGTGTGTTAGAACTAACACACTAAGAACTAAGTGTGTTAGAACACTTAACCTCTCTAACACACCACACTGTAGTGAATGCTGTGTCCCTGTTTTATTTGCTTCCCGTATTTCCTCAACATTTATTCATTTACAAATGAGGGCCCAATCTCATTATTCAAGACATGCTTTGCATGCATTCTCATTTACTCTTCACGGTCTTTCCAAGAGATAGAATCACTTGGGAGGAGATGAGAAATTTGAAGTTCTAAATGGTTTGAAGCTACAAGTAAGGAGTTGAGTTAGGATGCCCAACTCCAAAGTCGATGTTCTTCACTCCACTATGGAGAGGCAACATAGCATGGTGGTTTGGTGAATGCATACCGCATGGGTGGGTGTGGATCCTAGCTTGGCTACTTACCAGCTTTGTGACCTTAGGTAAATTATCTCCTTTTTCTGTGTTTCCTATGACTAATAATAGTATAATCGTATAGATTGTTGTGATGATTGAATAGGCATTAATCACATAAGTCTCCAGTGGAGCTGGGAGGTGGAAGGGGGTGGTCAAAGCAGGATTCCCTTAGAAAGGAAACCGGGGGTCCAGTCTCAAAAATGACTGGGAGTTAACCAATCCCACAGAAGAGGCCGGACATCCCAGGCAGAGGGACTGGTAGGTGCAAAGGCCTGGAAGAGCAAGAGGGCCTGTTTTGCAATATGCACAAGTTAGCAGCAAGCGGTGGGAGATGACACTGCGCACCACCAACATTTACAAGGTACAGTCTTGCCAGGCACCGAAGGCAAGTGCTTTACTGTTACTCTCACTTTTACGGAGAGGGCTCTAAACAAACAAACAACAACAACAACAACAAATAAAACGGAGGAAGCCAGACTACTGGCACTTAAATTTCATCCTAAGTGACTGGGGCGTTATGGAGAATTTGTAAGCAGGGAGGTGATGACAGGATCAGATAATTGTGCTCTGCAAAAATCCCTTCGGCAGTGGGGCGGAGGATGGCTCAATTCCCCGGAGAGGATGAGCAGGTCAAAGACCACGCACACTTCTACGGCTCCTGATCAACACTGCCAGAGAACATTCCAATCGCTTGCGCTCAGGGACCCCACCGAGAGCTTGCCGCATTCCGCCCACGGGCTTCAGGGCCGCACCACCCCTCTTCCCCACCGCCGCCGGGCGGCCCAGCTTCGGGGGCGCCTCCGGGCCCGCGACTCCGACGCGCCACCGCCCCCCCCCCCCCCCCCCGCGGGCGCCGGGCCCAGGCGGCGGGCCAGGCCCGCGTTTTCTGGCTCTCGGCGGCACCCGTCCACGGCCGCCTCCACGTGACCCAAACAGATCCGGGCACTTCCGCTTCCCCTGGGCTTTCTTCTCGTCCGTGTCGGCTGCGGGTCCGGCGCCGGGTGAGTGAGCGAGCGCCCAGCTGGGGCGTCGGGGGCGGGGCCGCGCGCGGCCCGGGGGCACCGCGCGCTGACCCCCGCCCCTGCGCCCTCCTCCTCGCCCTCCCCCAGGTCCCCGCGGAAGCGGCGGTGGCGGCGCCATGGCGGAGCTGACGGCTCTGGAGAGTCTCATCGAGATGGGCTTCCCCAGGGGACGCGCGTAAGGCAGCCCCCCAAACCCTGGCCCGCGGGGATCGCGGGCCTGTCTGGCCTTTCCCCCAGCCTGGCCTCAGGCTCCACGCCCCAGCCTGACCAGCACCATGGCTCGCGGGCGCTATTCACGGTGTTTCTGCCCCCAGGGAGAAGGCTCTGGCCCTCACAGGGAACCAGGGCATCGAGGCTGCAATGGACTGGTGAGCGCTCAGACCGGGTGGCAGGGGCCTGGGGGGCTGCTGGGAGGGGCAGCGTCAGTGTTGAGCTCCCTCCCGACTTTCCCTGCCAGGTTGATGGAGCACGAAGACGACCCTGATGTAGACGAGCCGCTCGCGACCCCCCTCGGACATGTCCTGGGAAGGGAACCCACCTCCTCGGAGCAAGGTGGCCCCGAAGGTCCTGACTGAGGGACAGTGTGATTATTCACGTGCGCTCGAGGAGGATGAACGGGCAATAATACTGATTGCTTGTTTGTAGGACCCGGCTCTGCGGCCGGAGAAGGCAAACCGACTTTGAGTGAAGAGGAGAGACAGGAACAGACTAAGAGGTATAGTAAGGAACAGTGTCACGTTTCTGAGGGTCACCTTCCACCTGTCCACAGTACACAAGTCTGATTAAAGAGCCTGGATCTTAACACTTTCCCTCTGTCCTGCCTTGGCAGTTTCCTTTCTGTTTCTTTCATCTCTCTTTGGACACGTGTTCCCGCATTTCATTTTGTCTTTCATTTTATTTTATTTTTTTTATTTGACAGAGAGAGACACAGTGAGAGAGGGAACACAAGCAGGGGGAGCGGGAGAGGGAGAAGCAGGCTCCCTGTGGAGCAGGGAGCCCGATGCGGGGCTCGATCCCAGGAGCCTGGGATCATGACCTGAGCCGAAGGCAGACGCTTAACGACTGAGCCACCCAGGCGCCCCTCCTGCATTTCATTTTGAATCCTGGTTATAAACTCACCTTCTCGATCTATGTCCATTTCTTTTGAGCTCTTTCTTTTCTGCAACACAGGATGTTGGAGCTGGTGGCCCAGAAGCAGCGGGAGCGGGAAGAAAGAGAGGAGCGAGAGGCTTTGGAACGGGAACGGCAGCGCAGGAAACAAGGGCAGGAGTTGTCAGCTGCTCGACAGCGGCTTCAGGAAGATGAGATGCGCCGGGCTGCTGAGGAGCGGAGGAGGGAAAAGGCTGAAGAGTTAGCAGCCAGGTCTGGGTGATGGGGATGTTGGATAATAGAGGAGGCGGGAAGCTAGGTTTGCTTTGTCAACGTCTGACCTACTTTCTTCCTGTCTGCATTCCAGACAGAGAGTCCGAGAAAAGATTGAAAGAGACAAAGCAGAGAGAGCCAAGAAGGTAGGTGATTGGGAAGACACTGGAGTAAGGAAGTAGGTGGGCTAGTAAAAAAAAAAAAAAAAAATTCCCTTTTCTAGCTTCAGAGGGAAAGGATTGGCCTACGATGCTCCTCTCAAGAGTGGGTGAGGGCCTGATCGGTGTTTTCCTTTATCTTCCAGTATGGTGGGAGTGTGGGTTCTCGGCCTTCACCAACAGAGCCAGGTCCTGTTCCCTCCTCTCCCAGCCAGGAGCCTCCCACCAAGCGGGAGTATGACCAGTGTCGCATACAGGTACTGATTCTAATTCCTGTCTTGCTTCTGGGACCCCTTCGTTGGCCTGTAAGACACCTGGCTCAGAGCTTTATTCAGTTGGGTTCTCTTTGCGAAACCTCTTCCTTCTTTGGAAATGACTTTTGAAACCCTATCTCCTCTACTCTTGGAAAGATATCAAATTTCTCTTGCCCTGGTCTTAATTTAAATCCATACCTCCCTTTTACCTCAACAGTTACCTTTTTAGTTGTTCATGTTTTCATTTAGTTTATTACACAGCTATTTGCATGATGGGCTATTTAGGTATTTTTGTTACGATCTTATCCTTGTGTTTGTTAAAATGTGAGGAAGCTGGAGCCTCTCTTCACTGCTTAGTAAAGCAGAGAAGAAGTGGTTGTTCATCAGGGTGCTTCAGATAGTAATTACGCTGGTTCAGTCTCTCGAACAGGAAACAGAAGCCAACTTTGCAGCTCTTGTTTTCCTTACTTGGGCACCTCCTCAGGTTTGATGCTCCCAACACCGTATTTCTCGCTCGCCCTCCAGGTCAGGCTGCCAGATGGGACCTCACTGACGCAGACGTTCCGGGCTCGGGAACAGTTGGCAGCTGTGAGGCTGTATGTGGAGCTCCACCGTGGGGAAGAGCCTGGGGGAGACCAGGACCCTGTGCAGTTGCTCAGTGGCTTCCCCCGACGGGCCTTCTCAGAGGCTGACATGGAACGGCCTCTGCAGGAGCTGGGTATGACACCTGGGGGACCAGAAACAGGGCTTGCGGGGGTGAGGGGGATGCCTGAGAAAGGAAGGAATGCCAGGAGAAGAGACTTTGTGGAGATGGAATGAGGCCAGAAATTTGGGGGCGCAAAAGGCAAGGATCTTTGTGGTCAAAGCTGTTTTCTTCCATCTTAGGACTTGTGCCTTCTGCTGTCCTCATTGTGGCCAAGAAATGTCCCAGCTGAGAGGCCTTTATCCCACCATCCCTCTCTGACCTCTTCATCTTTGATAAAGCACTGACATCTCCTTCCTAATAAATAGACCCTCTGAGTTCTGTATGTGCCTGACTCCTTCCTGAATGGCTGGGAGGGACAAAACTGAGGCAGGGGAAGAAGCCAAAGGGAAGGCATTTAGGATAGACCCTATTTTTCATTTTAAGTTTCTTTTTTTTTTTTTTAAGATTTTTTTTCCAGATGTTTTTCTCTTTTTTTTTAAGATTTTATTTTTGTGAGAGAGAGAGAGAGAATGAGCCTGGGGGAGCGAGGGGTGGGAGGCGGAGAGAGAAGCGGGCAGTCCGATGCGGGACTCGATCCTAGGACCCTGGATCACGACCTGAGCCGAAGGCAGACGCTTAACCGACTAAGCCACCCAGGCACCTCTAAAAGGGTAATTTTTTAAACGTAGCCATTCACAAATGGCCAGGGGAGCATTGCAGTGACCTTTACAACTGCATTTCCTCTTACAACTGCATTTCCTTTTCACTAAAAAGTATTGAGTACTTAATACGCACCATACAGTTTTAACTGAGGTAAGAAGGCAATTATCTGGGAATAAGTACAAGTATCCCATTTTAGAGATTGGGACACCAAAGCACATGGCTTGTTGAAACCAACACAGGTAACCAACAGTAGAACCTGGACACACCTGGGGAAGTCCCGACTCTAGGGCTCAGGCTCTCAACCTCCAAGCTCCTGCATCATAGCCCCTCACTGTTGCTGATCACCTCACCCTAATGTTCCCTCAAAGAGCTGCTAACCTTTTCCCTGTCATTCCCAGGCTAGGAAAAAGGCCACAAACCAAAGATCACACATAACAAATGTGTTTGGCTTAGGGCTTCACCATCCAGCAGCTGAAAACAGCACCAATGCTCCCATCTGGGTTTACACGTCAGTGTTACCAAGCTGTATTTACTGTTCTGGCTTTATTTAAATAAAAGCAGGCTTTTTTTTTTTTTTCCTTCAATTGAAATCTGGCTTGGAACCACAGGATGTAAAATAGACAACAGGGGGCACCTGGGTGGCTCAGTTGGTTAAGGGTCCCACTCTTGGTTTCTGCTCAGGTAATGATACCGGCCTTGTGAGACTGAGCCCCCCTCCTCCCACCATCTGCACTGAGCAGAGAGTCTGCTTATGACCCCCTCTCTTCCTCCTCACCAGGGTCTCTCAAATCTTTTTTTTCTTAATTAAAGATTTTATTTATTTATCAGAGAGAGCACAAGCAGGGGGAGCAGCAAGCAGAGGGAGAAGCCGGCTCCTTGCCAAGCAAGGAGCCCAATGCGGAGCTCCATCCCAGGACCCCAGGATCATGACCTGAGCTGAAGGCAGGCACTTAACCCAGCCACCCAGGCGTCCCTCAAATAAATTAAAAAAAAAAAAAAAAAAAGACAACAGGGAGTGAATTGGTTGACTTGGATGTGGGGTGTGACCCAAATGCCAGCTTTATTTCATTACTTCAGTGGCATCTACAAGAGATCCCATGACTGGATTCGGAGATTGTGAACTACTACCTTGAAATCCCTTGGAAGGGGAGACCATCCCCTACATTTATTGAAGGGCTGCTCTGTGCCAAGCAATACACTTTACATTTCCAAGTTAGTCTTTTTACAACAACCTTCAAGATAATTACACCTTTTATGGAACAGGACTGAGGCTCAGAGAGGTTTTGTAATATGCAGGACTTTAATCAAGATCTGTCTGACTCAAAGCACGCTCCTTTCACTCCCAGCAAATTGGCCTCCAACGGTCCAGGATCCCCAGAAAGCATCATGGCACATGCTAAATGCTAGCAGCCCCTCTCCAACCTCACTCAAAGAACAGGAAACCCAAAGCGTCCTCCATGGGCATCTATTGCTACAAGATTTTCCAGGATAGTTTTGATTTCGAGAATGTCGCCTGGTTATCACCAAAAGTACACTCAAAACAGACCACATGCCCTGACTTGTGTTTTGAAAATGTGGTCGCTGCTGGGCAGTGGGAGCCACAGTCTTCCGCGTTCCCTGCACGGATCCCGAGAGCACTCTAGACATAGGCGTCAGACCGCAGGGCTCACTGGACAGAGGAACGTGATTTATTGGCGCCTTCAGTTCTCACATCCGACGCCCGGGCCCGCGACGTAGGACGTGAAAGCGCAGTCAGTGCAGCGTTTGTGGGTGGAGGGGGAACGTGCTCACCCCGCAGCGGCTCCCAGGGCGGCCTGGGCGCGGCATCCCGGGTCCGGACTCCCTACCCGGCCTTCGACGGAGAAGCCGCGTCGGACTCCTGCGCGGGAGTAAGGTCCCAGCGCCCACGAGGGAGGTCCGGGCTCACGCTGACCTCCCGCCGCCGCCGACCTTCCAGTTCTTCCTCCAGGCCACGTTCTCCTGCGTGGCCGCTGCCTCCTGCAGAGTGGCCAGCACTAACTCTTTGGTCCTCGCCGCCTCGTCCCTGCGCCGCGGGTCCTGCTCGGGCATCTCCTGCGAGCAGGAAGGGAGGTTCGTAGTCCTGACCGCCCCCCCCCCCCAAGCCAGGGGCTCTCCGTCCGCCCACCCCACCTCGCACCCCCAGTTACTCCCACCTTCAGCATCGCCTGCTTATGCTGCTCTCCCGGGGTCACGAGGACAAAGAGCGCCGAGCCCACGCCAGCCCCCGCGCCCAGGAGGGCACCCACGATCAGCGCTTTGCGCAAGGCCTCCATGGCCGACCGCGCGCCCGGCGGGGCGCCCTCTAGAACCTCCCGCAGCTTGGGAAGCCGGCCACGACGTCTCGCCGCCCCCCGCGCAGGCTAGAGCGGCGCCTAGAGGAAACCATAGAGAAGGGGCCCGGCTAGAGAGGGCCTGATCGGCCAAGCCCTCCGAATCTGGAGCGCCTGCGTCTGAAACGACCGGGTCTGGCTGGGAAGGTTGAGCGCGTGCCGAAGTGTTGGCCGCGAGGGCCGAGCCCCGGACCCACTGTCAGGAAATTCCAAGTGGGATTGCTAAGGGGAGCGTGCGTGTCAGCCTGGTTGCTGTGGGTTTTGCAGTTGCCCAGTTCCGAAATCTGCTAGGACTGTGCTCAGTAGTTTCCTACAATGATTTGTGCTTTTTCAGTACAGCACATAACTGGACATCCAGATGCTTTACACACATCAATCTACTGACCCCCTCCAAATTCCCTCAATTTATGAACAAAAACTCAAAGCCAAGTGTACTGGGTGAGGAAAAAGGTATATATATATATATATATATATTTTTTTTTTTTTTTTTACTTTTTAAAAGATTTTAAGTAACCGCCACACCCAATGTGGGGCTCGAACTCAGGACCCCGAGATCATGAGTCGCAGCCTCCACCAACGGAGCCAGCCAGGCACCCTATTTTACTTGTTAAATAAACGTGTTGAAAGTAAATTTGTTGGGGACGCCTGGGTGGTTCAGTCGGTTAAGCGACTGCCTTTGGCTCAAGTCATGATCTCAGGCTTCTGGGATGGAGCCCCACTTGGGTCTCCCTGCTCAACTGGGGTCGGCTTCTCCCTCTCCCTCTGCCCCTCCCCACTGCGCGTGCTCTCTCAAGTAAATAAAAAACCATTTTTTTCTAAAGATTTTATTTATTTATTTGACAGAGAGAGACGAAGCGAGAGAGGGAACACAAGCAGGGGGATTGGGAGAGGGAGAAGCAGGCTTCTCGCTGAGCAGGGAGCCCGACGCGGGACCCGATCCCAGGACTCTGGGATCATGACCTGAGCCGAAGGCAGACGCCCAACAACTGAGCCACCCAGGTGCCAATAAATAAAATCTTTTTTAAAAAGGGCGCCTGGGTGGCTCAGTTGGTTAAGCGACTGCCTTCGGCTCAGGTCATGGTCCTGGAGTCCCTGGATCGAGTCCCGCATCGGGCTCCCTGTTCGGCAGGGAGTCTGCTTCTCCCTCTGGCCCTCCCCCCTCTCATGTGCTCTCTCTCATTCTCTCTCTCTCAAATAAATAAATAAAATCTTTAAAATAAAAACAAAAAAAGATTTAAAAAAAATCTTTTAAAAAAAGAAAGTAGGGGCGCCTGGGTGGCTCAGTCGTTAAGCATCTGCCTTCGGCTCAGGTCATGATCACGGCGTCCTAGGATCGAGCCCCGCATCGGGCTCCGTGCTCGGCGGGAAGCCTGCTTCTCCCTCTCCCACTCGCCCTGCTCGTGTTCCCTCTCTCGCTGTGTCTCTGTCAAATAAATAAATAAAATCTTTAAAAAAATAATAAAAAATTAAAAAAGAAAGTAAACTTGTTGTTTTTCTCATCATGGTATACCCTTGCACCCCCCACCCCCTGCCAATGAAAACTCTGAATTTGGAGTAACATACTGAATTCTAGTTTGGAGAAGAAAGCACCTTTTAGTTGGGTATCTCTGGGCAAGTCATTTAAGTTCTTTGTGCCCACCCAGGGGGATCTGGATCAGGAAATAGGGCTAATGACAGTATCTATCTCATAATTATAGAATAATTAAATGAGTTTATATATAAAGCATTTAAAACAGTTCCTGGCAAATAGTTAACACCATATGAATATTCGTTAAATAAGACACAAAGAAACATGTCAAATTAGGAGACCCAGTAAGCAAAGGAATCAGGAAATTCTAAGTTTGTTAGCAAAGCTCTTCACTCACAAGGCTTTCATCCAGATGCCCTTGTTGAATCTTATCCCTCCTGCCTTTCCCAGTGTCACCCAGGGAGTGAGGAGACATAAAGCTCCTATTCCACCTCTTGGGATTTTCCCCTCCCCTGGAAGGCCCATAATCTCCTAGCTTGTCATTCTCTTCTCAGAAGTGATTAAGGGGCCAGGCTCCAAAGATTAAAGGAGCAGTCTGTGGAGGGTACTGAGCAGGGGTACTCCACTTTGAGTCTAACCACTCTGTACTCTAAGAATTAGCACCCATGGCCCTTGTGCCAGGGAGCAGTGAGGATGGCCCTTGGCCTAGAGATAGCCCAGGCTCCTCCCAGCACCCGGAAAGTCCTCAGCTGACCAACCCTCTGTGGATGGACGGAGGAGAAATTGTCAGGGTTGAAGGCCACCAGGATGTTCAGGTTAGTACTTCTCCACCCTGTGTCCAGCTGCTGGCTCATCCTCCAACTTGGTCCAAGCACCCTGCTATCCCGATTCAGGTTGTCTCTCAAAAGACCCACCTGCCCTCCATTGTGGTGGAAGCCTCGGAGGTGAGTGAAGACGGCGGGGAGCTTGGTTGGCCGCATGAGGAACTGCTGCTGTTCACCGATGAGGAAGAGGAGGCCGAGGTGTTCTTCCAGGACCAAAGTGAAGAGCCAGGTGAGGGAGGCAGCTGCTTCAGCGGGGCCGTTGTGACCTGGGTGTTCTGGGCAGGACTGAGATAGGAACCTCAGCTGTGTCCCCCACGCCAAGCGATACAAGCATACAGTAGGTGCTTAGTAAATGTAGTGGGGAAAAAAGTAGAGGTGGAGAGAAAAGTCAAGGTGTCTGGCAAAGTTGAACTTCAGAGGGAAGTTCAGAGGTCAGATGGGTCTGAGGGTGATGCCTTTTAATTATTCTTTTTTTTTTTTTTTTTTTTTTGAGAGAGAGAGAATGAGAGAGAGAGAACACATGAGAGGAGATAGGGTCAGAGGACGAAGCAGACTCCCTGCTGAGGAGGGAGCCCGATGCGGGACTCGATCCAGGGACTCCAGGATCATGACCTGAGCCGAAGGCAGTCCCTTAACCAACTGAGCCACCCAGGCACCCGCCTTTTAATTATTCTTAATGTTTTAAAATATTCACATTGTTTGGGGAGCCTGGGTGGCTCAGTTGGTTAAGCGTCTGCCTTCAGCTCATGATCCCAGGATCCTGGGATCGAGTTCTGCATCGGGCTCCTTACTCAGTGGGGAGCCTGCTTCTCCCCCTGCCTGCCGCTCCCCCTGCTTGTGCTTGCTTTCTCCCTCTGTGTGTGTGTCAAAATCTTTAAAAAAAAAAATTCACATTGTTGTGGGGGAAAAAAGGTAATAAAATCATCCCAAATCAACTACCCAGAGATAAGTTACATTTTGGATGCCTTTTCTTCCAGACTTTTCCCCATGTCTGATACTGTTCTAGAAGCTTATATATTAGCATTTACAGTGTGCTAAATGCTTTTATCTCATGATTTTCAGAACCCAGTGAGGGAGATCCTTTCATCCTCATGAGGAAACAGGCTGTGAAATTAGCCTTTTTTTTTTTTTTAAGATTTTATTTATTTTCAGAGAGTGAGAGAAAGAGCACAAGCAGGGGGAGCGGAAGGCAGAGGGAAAAGCAGGCTCTCTGCTGAGCAAGGAGTCCGATGTGCGGCTTGATCCCAGGACCCTGGGATCATGACCTGAGCCCAAGGCCGACGCTTAACGGACTGAGCCACCCAGGCGTCTCAAAGTAGCCTTTTTTTAAAAAAAGATTTTTTATTTTATTTAGTTGACAGAGAGAGAGCACAAGCAGGGGGCATGGCAGAGGGAGAGGGAGAAGCAGACTCCCAGAAGCATCAGGGAGCCCGATGTGGGGCTCAATCCCAGGATCCTGGGATCATGACCTGAGCCAGATGCTTAAGAGACTGGGCCACCCAGGCACCCCTGAAATTAGCCTCTTAATTATAATTGCTGTATTACTTTTTTCAATAAGAAAAAAATACACAAATTTGTTTCATCTTTTAAAAAGTCAGTAATAGATCAGGAATACTTTTCATTCTTTTTTTTTAAAAGATTTTATTTATTTATTTATTAGAGAGTGAGCGAGAGAGAAACAGCATGAGAGAGGAGAGGGTCAGAGGGAGAAGCAGGCTCCCCGCTGAGCCGGGAGCCCGATGCGGGACTCGATCCCAGGACCCTGGGATCATGACCTGAGCCGAAGGCAGTCGCTTAACCAACTGAGCCACCCAGGCGCCCGGAATACTTTTCATTCTTAATGGGCTCTTCCACTCCTCTCTCCCCCAGGCTGGACTTGGAGCCCACTGGACCCCAGATCTCCCTCAAGAACCTTTAACCCAGAATTCAGCTGGGGGCAGGACCAGGGAGAACAAGAGGTCTCCTGGATTCCTGAGGACACAGAGTATCAGGAAGCCTCCAACCCCTGTTCTCTCTGGAACCCAGCAGCCAGCTCCCGTGTTTGTAGAAGCTGCTTTGTGGAATATTCACATCTCCTGCCTCCCAGGAGCTTTGAGGGTAAGTATTGTTCTGTCTCCCTTCACATTTCAGTGGTTTGTTATGAGGCCCTTCTATCGGTTCTTTCAGTCTTCTCCTTTTACAGGTGAGGACAAGAGGCTTAGGGGTGAGGCCACTGGCTCACACAAGTCAGTCAGTACTGGAATTTGGATTAAGAACCCCTCTATTAAAAAACTCCTCCAACAGGGGCACCTGGGTGGCTCAGTCGGTTAAGCACCCAACTCTTGGTTTTGGCTCTGGCCATGATCTCAGGGAGGAGCCCTGATTTGGGCTCCGCACTGGGCATGGAGATTGCTTGGGATTCTCCCTCTGCCTCTGCCCCTCCCCCTGCTCGCTCGCTCTAGAATAAATAAATCTAAAAACAAACAGACAAATCCCTAAACTCCTCAAACAAACAAACAAAAAACCCCACAGAACTCCTGTGTTTTTAGGAGTTCCAGTTCGTTGGGGCTGGGGAATGAGCCACTGCACCTTCTCTACTCAGCACTCCGTCTTGTGCCTGGCATTGCTAAATGCTCCACGTTTCACCTATCATCATATGTAATCCCCTAACTCCGGGTATTATTCCTCCTTGCTGCCAGAGCATGAACTGGGGCACAGAAACATTCAATACTCTGTGCTCCCAGCTAATAAATGTGGAGGCCAGGCCTCAAATCCTTGCCTCCCAGCCATCTTACAAAGTTGAAAAGCTACCCAACAGGAAAATTCGGGTCAGGACTGAAGTCTTTAATGAGAGCCTTGAACCAAGTAAGCGAAGTAGGTGATGCCCCCGAAAGGGCCTAACTCCTGCACGGTCACAGTCCAGCCTGGGGACCCTTGCTCCAGGCAGGGCAGCCGCACATCAGGGTCCTCATCTGAGAACTGAATCAGGGTCCCCTGCGGGCTTAGGACCCTGAGGCACTCTGACAGAAGCTGGTAAGCCCTGGGCAGACCACCTCGGGAAACAGCATCCCAGGTGCCCTTATCCAGCACTAGCTGGAAGGAGCCTGAGGAAGCCACTGGCTCCAGGTTCTGGGCATCAGCCTTTATGAAGTGGAGTCGGGAAGCAGGATGCCCAGGACAGAGGGGTGTTTGGCCTTGACCACCTTCCAGGAGACTCTTCATGTGGGCAACAGCCACAGGAGAGAAGTCCACCCCCAGCACATCCACGGGATGTGGGCACTTGGTGTAGAGGCCTGTACACAGGCTGGAGGTCCCACAGCCTACGTCCAACACCCTCGGTGGGCAGGCAGCCCGTGCCTCCTGCAGCAGCGGAAGTAGCAACCCCTGGGCTTCCTCATACCCAAAGAACCAGTCGAACGTGGGGACGCTGCCCCTACGGGCATCGGCATGGAGCTTATCCCAGAGGCGACGGTCGGCCAGGCAGCTACCAGCCAGGGAGCCTGTGGACACGAGTGGAGTACGTGTGTCACCCAGCGCCCAAGTTCCATCAAAATGCTGCAGAAACGGTGCTATGTACCCTGGGGTTTGAAGAATCACAATTTCAGGGACTAGACTCCCAGGTCACTAAGAACCCTCCCTCCCACTCTGTCCACCTTCCCTACCCGCCAAAGCGCGGCGCGCCCCAGCCGCCAGGGTCGCCACGTGGAGGGTTCGGCGCAGCGCGGCCATCTGGAAATCCCGGCAAGGTCGGCCAGAGAACCTTCTGCGAAATGTCGCCCGCACTCCCGCAGGAGCCTGAGGTCCAAGAGAAAAGCTGCAAATTCCGCTTTGTGGAATAATGCTCACAGCCTCCCTAACCACCACCTCGGAAAAAAGGACGCGGACACACACCTAGTAGGGTAGGAACGGCCTTTATTGTTTGCAACGGGCAGTGAAAGAGGAGGGGACACGACAGCTCCGGCTCCAGGGACGGTTCCAAGGACCTGAAATCAAAGGAGAAGGCTAAATTAGCACACCAGAGAGGAGCCTGCAGAACCCTGGTTCCGTCACGCTTCTCGGAGCCCGTGTCCCGGCGTTTGAGGATAGAACCGGCGGACTAGAAGCCGCGGGCACCGAAGACATGACGCCGAGGGGGCCGGAGCCCTTTCCCTCTGCCTCCGTACATTACGGGGACCGGGACCGCACACCCGACCGCCGCCAAGAAAAGGAGGGTGCGCAGGCCTCGCCCAGAACCCCCACCCTCGCACCCAGCTCCGCAACCGAACCACGTACCTCCCCGAACGCCGTCCCGCGAAAGACACGGGACCCCGCCGAGCGCCTTTATATAGCCCTCAGGACCCGCCCCCGAGCCGCGATTGGCTCGCGAAGGCTGAGGGGCGGGGCCGGCACTGACGCTGCGCAGAGCCAAGACGCGGTGGTGGAGCCAACATGGGCGCTCCCGGCGGAAAGATCAACCGGCCGCGAACGGTGACTGTGTGGGCGCCCCGACTTTGTTTCCCCATGCGTCCTGGAGCCCTCTAATCTCGCCAGAGATGGGAATCTATGGGCTGGAGTCGCCGGGTGCGGGGTCCCGGGTCGCGGCTTCCGTCTGATTAGCATCTTCCTCCCCCTTAGGAGCTGAAGAAGAAGCTGTTCAAGCGACGGCGGGTGTTGAGCCGGGAGAGGCGACTGAAGCGCCGGGTGATCGGGGCTGTGATAGACGAAGGGCTGATCACGCGGCACCACCTGAAGAAGCGGGCGTGAGTGCCAGACCCTCTTCGCTTTGCTCCTCCCCACCGAGTCCCCCTTCTCCTTCCTGCCGAGCTTCACCGCAAGTATCCCCTCTGCTTTCCGTGCGCAGTGACTTTTATATAAGCAGCGTTTGTGTCTACACTTCGCTATCCTGTCACAGGACCGGTAGCTCACAACCTCTCTGGGTCTTGGACCCCACTGAGAATGTAAGAACTGTCGACTCACCCACCTCCCCAAGTACCATTGTACGTCCACACAGATTTTTATAAATAAATTTAAAGCACACACAGGACGCCTGGGTGGCTCAGTCGGTTAAGCGTTTGCCTTCACCTCAGGTCATGATCCCAGGGTCCTGGAATCGAGGCCTGTATCCGGCTCCTGGGATCAAGTCCTGCTCCATGTGAGAGAGCATGGGGGCGGGGGGGGGGGGGGAGAGTCAGAGGGACTCCCCCAGAGACCTTTTCAATAGCCAGAATCAACCTACCTTGGTTCAGGTTAAACTGGATATCTTTGCTCCTACCCACCCTTCAGGTCCAGTGCACGTGCCAACATTACTCTCTCTGGGAAGAAGCGCAGAAAGCTCCTCCAGCAGATCCGGCTGGCCCAGAAAGAGAAAGCTGCCATGGAAGGTGAGGCCGGGCGCAGAGGTGGGGTAAGGGGGCAGCCTGGATTCGTTGGGGTTCTTTAATGCTTCCTCTTTCTTTTTGGTCAGTGGAAGCCCCCACAAGGCCAGTCAGGACTAGTGAACCACGGCCCAAGCGGCAAAAGAAGACAAAAGTCTCCCAGGATGTAGACATGGAGGACCTTGAAGATGATAACTGAATCTCTCACCCCTTCCACCAGAAGATTCTCAGCTGGAGCCAGAAGGACTCTGGTTGTTTCAGAGGACTTTGGAGAAAGCATTGCCCCTTTTGATTCTCCTCAGACTCCTCTTTCTTGACGCCCTAGTGACCTGCCCCAGAGGGATGTGTTGAGAGGAAGAGGGTGGAGAAAAAAGACTGGAGAATGGGGCTCCCTCGCAGTCAGCTCCACTTTTAATAAAGCCCTAGAGTTCTCACAGAGAGGCGTGTGATTTAATGTGGGACCGGGAATGGGCCACGGGAATTGGGCTATGGGTGTGGAAACAAGACAATTAAGACCCGGGAGCTCACTTGAGCTAAGGCAATGAGAAGCCTGGCTCTGTGATGATCCTATCTCCCTAGTGGGTGACACTCCCAACTCTCCATTTCTGACAAAAATTCAGCTTATTGCAGAGATGGTAGAGGAGATAAGGGTCCTGATATCAGCCCTGCCACTGCCTCTGTGTGACCAGAGGGGGCAAGTCACTTTATGTTATGTTTGTCTCCACTTCCTTTGCTGGATTTTATAAATATATAATTTATTTTTAAAGATTTATTTATTTTAGAGTTTGCAGGGTGGGGGGGCAGAGGGAGAGGGGAAGCCAACTCCCTGCTGAGTTCAGAGCCCTACAGGAGCTCCATCTCACGACCCTGAGATCAACTCTAAGATCATGACCTGAGTGGAAACCAAGAGTGGGGTGCTTAACTGACTGAGCCACCCAGGCTCTGGTGCAACCCTACTGGATTATATTTTTAATTTTTTTTTTTAAAGATTTTATTTATTTATTTGACAGAGAGAGACACAGTGAGCAGGAACACAAGCAGGGGGAGCGGGAGAGGGAGAAGCAGGCTTCCCGCAGAGCAGGGAGCCCGATGCGGGGCTCGATCCCAGGACCCCGGGATCATGACCTGAGCCTAAGGCAGACGCTCAATGACTGAGCCACCCAGATACCCCTTTAATTTTATTTTAAGTAAGCTCTACGCAGGACTGGAACTTGTGACCCTGAGATCAAGAGGTGCATGCTCTACAAACCAAGCCAGCCAGGCATCCCAGGATTATACTTTTAATAAACTGAAAACCAAGCATTATTTTTCCCATTTAACATTCAGAACTTCTGTTGGATGCGAGGGCTGGGATGTTTAAAGTTAAAAGCTGCCTGTGTGGAGGTGTGTTCAACAGAGGAAAAGCATATTCTGTCTGTCTTGTTTAATCAGTGCAGGCTTCCTGGAAGAGGGAGGGTTTGGGCCCGTGTTGCACCTCCCAGCCCAGCTTCATATTTTGAATATTTTGAATTTCAAACCTTCAGTAGAGTTAAGAAATTACTACAATGAACCTTTACATATGCACTGAAATGCACCAGTGTTTATCATTTTCCTACACTTGTTCTATCTCTATGCACTTGCAAATATGTATGTGTCTATTTTTGTCTTTGCTGACTCATCCGAAAGTCAATTGCAGATGAGATTTTACCCCTGAGAACATTCTTCTATATAGCCAAAATACTATTGTCACACCTAACACATTCAACATTGGCTAATACTGAGTTTTTCATATTCTAATTTCCTTAGTTCCAATAATATTCTTTTTTTTTAAAGACTTTATTTTTAAGTAATCTCAACACCCAACATGGGACTCAAATTCATAACCCCAAGATCAAGAGTCAGACATTCCACCAGCCAGGTGCCCCAGAAAAGACATTTTTAATATTTTGGTATACCCATTCATAATTTTGTTCTACCCCTGTATCTAAGGCAGAAGGAGCTGGCTGTGTTCAAAGAAGTTTCTGTATCTGGCATTACGCTGAGTCTTTTAAAGTGATCTTTGTAAAACATGTGTGAGATAGGAGACATCATACCCATTTTACAGATGGGGAAATGGGCTTCAAACAGTTGGGTCACTGTCTCGGGATTACATTGCTGATAAATAGCAGATATGAATCTAGATCTGTCCAACACCAAAACAAGGCACTTTTAGATTATGAAATCCTTAAGAGCAAAGACCACATAACAGTCTCATTGCTAGAGAACTTATCTGGTTCAAAAGTCCTTTTACAGATCAAAAGTTGAGGCTCTGAGATGGGAAGTGTCGGGTCCAAGTTTGAGGCAGTGTTAGGAGCAGAAATTGTCTCATATTACTGTTCTAGAACAGATTTTGCTAGTGAGTAGTATATACACTTTGTAAGTGATTGAACTTCTAAAATGTAAGAACAAAAAAAGAGCCATAATTAGTCATTTAGCTTTTAAAACACAATCACTTCAAAAGTGTTATTGGAAAATCGACCTCCATGCTTCAGAGCCAAAATATAGCAGGAAGACAAGAGTTGGGGATAAAGAGGAACAATAGCTTTATTTTTATTTATTTATTTATTTTAAAGATTTTATTCATTTATTTGACAAAGAGAGACACAGTGAGAGAGGGCACATAAGCGGGGGAGTGGGAGAGGGAGAAGCAGGCTCTCCCCTGAGCGGGGAGCCCAACGCGGGGCTCGATCCCAGGACCCTGGGATCATGACCTGAGCTGAAGGCAGATGCTTAATGACTGAGCCACCCAGGCGCCCCAAACAATAGCTTTATTGTTTTGCTGGGCAAAGGAGCCTGCAGCAAGCTATGGCCCTCAAAAACTGTAAGCCTACCGGGAGGAAGGGGCTCAGAGGAAGGTGCTGGGGGGTTTTATAGGTAAATACAGGCTCTAGCTGGTTTCTACAGGAATTGTGTAGGTGCTGACAGCCTCCTTAGTCCTTTTCAGGGTGGTACCAGGTTCCTGAAACAAAAGGCTAAAAAAGGAGGAGAGGAGGTTTGCAGGAGAGGGAAAAGTTTACTTTAAAATCAAGCTTCGCAAAAAAAAAAAAAAAAAAAATCAAGCTTCGTGGAAGCATTAGTGCAGTCATTTTGACTTTTGTTCAATTCTATGTTTTTAAGTGGTTTCAAAAGTACCTTCAGGAACTGCCATCTGGTATTATTCTAACTCACACTTCCACTGAGAGCAGTAAGCCTTCTGGCCTCAGAACCAATTTTCCTTTTCATTCATTCAACCAACTACTAAGAACCTACTACAACGTGCTAGGCAAACACTGTTGTAGGGGATGAGGATATAGTCTTCAACAAAATAGGGAAAGTTCCTGTTGTCAAAGAGCTTCTTTTCTGGAGTTTATTCAACAAATAAGGAGCGCCTGGGAGACTCAGATGGTCAAGAGTCTGCCTTCGGCTCAGGTCATGATCCCAGGGGCCTGGGATTGAGCCCCGCATCGGGCTCCCTGCTCAGTGCAGAGCCTGCTTCTCCCTCTCCCTCTGCCATTCCCTCCACTTGTGCTCTCTGGCTCTATCCCTCTCTGTCAAATAAATAAATAAAATCTTTAAAATACCATCAACTTGGGGCGCCTGGGTGGCTCAGTTGTTAAGCGTCTGCCTTCGGCTCAGGTCATGATCCCAGGGTCCTGGCTGGGATCGAGCCCCGCATCGGGCTCCCTGCTCAGCGGGAAGCCTGCTTCTCCCTTTCCCACTCCCCCTGCTTGTGTTCCCTCTCTTGCTGTGTCTCTCTCTGTCAAATAAATAAAGATCTTAAAAAAAGAAAAAGTGAGAGATTATATATTTAAAAAAAAAAAATACCATCAACTTAAAAAAACCCCACAAATATAATAAAAGTAGTGAATGCTTATATAGTGCTTACTTAACCATTGCAGGCACGAAGCGCTATACAGTGAATAATGTGGGGAACAAAGGCTAAAGAAATATAGAAAAAAATTAAACCTCCTTACAACTTATAGCCCATTGACAAGTACTTGAGACAGGCAGAGTGACCTTCCTCCAAGAACTCAACTGCTTCAATGTTAATACTTTGCTAGAGGCAAAAGGCAACCTTTGTTTGACATTAGCAACCTTTGTTTGACCGGAGCAGTCCTGGATCCTCTAAGTCTCCTTTAACATATGAAACTCCGTTTGGAAACGTCCTTCATCTCTTACCCTCCCCCCGCAAGATACATGTTAACAATCATCCTCCAAGCATATGAGCCACTAATCTACATCTGAAGGGTCTCATGACTAAAGTTTACTAGACAGTAGTAAATGACCCCTCAAGGTCCTGGAAACCTTAGAGACTTACGCTCTCTCCCTATCCCCCTCCCAACTTAAAAGTATATAATCAGTCACTCCTCACAACCCCAGTGCAGCTCTTTCTGCCCATGGGTCCTGTCCCTGTGCTTTAATAACCTTTTTTTTTTTTTTTGTACAGTAGACGTCTCAAGAATTCTTTCTTGACCGTTCACTCCGGGACCCCAACATTTCACATCAGTGAACATATTCCCTGGTTTCAATTTTCACAACAAACCCTATGAGGGAGTTGTACTATTATCATCCTCATTGGGGAAGAGGAAATAGGCATGGAGAGGGTGTTGAGCAAGAGTATACAGCCAGTAAGTGAGATAGCTGGAACTTGATCTAGACAGACTGGCTGTTGTGGGGGCTCTTCAAGAGGTGCATGTGAGCTCCTCATATAGTTAACCACACTCCCTCTCCGCAAGGGAGAGGAGAGGTCCTGAGTTGGCAGGCTGGGGAGAGAGCAAAGCCTAAACAATGAAGACTAACAGAAGGACCGAAGTGCCAGCTTATGACTGGGAGAACACCTACAGCCCAGCCGGCCCAGTTTATTTTGGGCTTTTTCTCCTTCCCTTTATTTCCTTTTCCTCTCTTAGGAGTTTTCCCTCCCTCCCTCCTCATTCTCTCTCTCAGGCTCCCACCCACTGTGGAGCCCACGAGGGGCTTGAACTCACGCCCCTGAGATTGAAACCTGAGCTGAGATCAGACTCCCAGCCTTAACCGACTGAGCCACCCAGGTGCCCCTGCCTCCTTTCTTTCCGTCTTCTTACCGCTTTCCCCTTCCCTTCTCTCCTTTAACTGCTTTTTCCATTGTCACTGTTTGTTTACTTGTTTGTTTATTTATTTAATATCGTCACTATTTATTGATGAAAATGTCTCCTAGTGCTTCGTTTTTTAAAACCTCCTGAGTTGAACACTGAATTTTTGGCTTTCGGAAAAATAATTAAATCCAACTGTGAATAGCCGCAGCTAGCTTTAGTTTGTGTCTTAAAAGCCTTTTGAGGGAAAACAAGGTTTTGTTGAGGCCGGTCGGATTCTCGTTGTCACCGTCGCAGTCCTGCTCTGGGATCCCGACGCGGTCCGGAACCAATGTATGAGGGTCGCGGACGTCGCCGGACGGGTTTTCCGGAGAAGCCTCGGCGCTGGTTCCTTTTGGGTTTCCCGTCAGCGCGCATGCGCTGCCTGCGCTTCGCCGCTCCCGCCTCGGGCTCGGGCTAGGGCTCCGGGATGTCCGCGTTGTGCGACCCTCCCGGGGCCCCAGGGCCTCCCGGTCCTGCCCCGGCCACCCACGGTCCCGCGCCGCTCAGGTAGTCAGAGCCCCTGGCATCTTCCCCCATCGCGCGGCCCTGCGCCGATCCCCAGCCTTCTCGGCAGAAACCCGGATCCTACCTCGAGAACTCGCGTCAGGGTTCTCAGAGATTCCTGCTCGGGTCTTCCCAGAACTCAGGGACTGCTTCACCAAGACTCTGGGCTCCAGTGCCCGCACTCCTAAGATCTCGGTCCTGCCTCCTCCTAACCGAAACGCCTAGTTACCCCAGATCCCGGCCTTGTTTTCCCAAGAGTTGGGGGTATCAGAACTCTTGGGAACCCAGCCGTCCTGCCCCTTTTAGACCCGAGAGAACCCAGGGTCCCCTGACTTTATGGAGACTCCCTGGGAACCCAGTCCCGAAAACCCATAAAATGCTTCCCTCTAGCCTTTGCCTTGCCCTCCAACTAAGCTACTCTCTCTCACCTTAGGGTGGTTTATTTGTTTATTTATTTATTTAAGGAATCAGAGAGGGCACAGTCGGAGCCCTATCAGCCCCTAGAGGATGCGGTCTTCTTTGGCAGAAAAGGCAGTAAGAGGAAGGGGACTTTGCCTCTTCCCATGACACCGGCTTCTGAACGCCTAAGACTGAAGCAATCTGTTTTGGGAGGGGAAGGGTTGAAAGGCAGACATTACCTTGTCTGTATCCTAGGACACTGTGATTCCTAGGCACCAGGAGGATGCCCCGAGTTGGTTGTTGATGTGTTCAAGTGGTGGGTGGTTAGGATGCTTGCAGAATATGGGGAAGAAACAGGTACTAGGAGGCCTTAATGAAGGACAAGTTCAGTTTAGGATTTTCTTTAAGAGCATAATCCCCCGTGCTTGTGTTTTGGGGGGAGGGTAGTCAAGCTGGAAAGGTGTTTTTAAAAGCAGATGTTGTAGCCACACAAGATATATTTACTCAATTCAAAAAATACTCATGGAGTACCTCCTGTATGCCTGGCACTTCAATAGAAAGGGATTCAGTGTTGAAGAGAATAGAAATGTTTACTACCCTTTTGGAGCTTATAGTCTGATTACTTAACCTTGGTTTTCTTATCTGTAAAGTGGGATCATACCTTATTGGGCTGTTGTCCGGATTGAAATAATATACATAAAGTACTTAAAGAGTACCTGACATGAGTTACCTGACATTGATATTATTGTTATTATTGAAAGAAAAAATATTTATTGGTGATTAGTGTGAACTTGATATGGTGCTTAAGTGTTTCATGTGCATTATCTTATGAGGGAGGTACAGTTACCCCTGTTTTACATGGAAAGAAACCAAAGCTCACAAGGGGAATGTAATGTGCCTAACATCTCCCAACGCTCTAAGTCTGCTTCTCTTGCTTCCTTTTAGCGCTCAAGAGCTGTCCCAGGAAATCAAGGCTTTTCTGACTGGCGTGGACCCTATTCTGGGCCACCAACTCTCGGCCCGGGAACATGCTCGCTGTGGTCTTCTCCTGCTCCGCTCTTTGCCACCTGCTCGGGCTGCCGTGCTTGACCACTTGCGAGGTGTCTTTGATGAGAGTGTCCGGGCCCACCTGGCTGCCCTGGATGAAAGCCCTGTGGCTGGCCCCCCTCACCTCCGTCCACCCCCACCCTCCCATGTCCCCGCTGGGGGACCTGGTCTAGAAGATGTGGTGCAGGAAGTACAGCAGGTGCTGTCTGAGTTTATCCGGGCCAACCCGAAGGCCTGGGCACCTGTGATTAGCGCATGGTCCATTGACCTCATGGGGCAGCTGAGCAGCACATACTCAGGCCAGCACCAGCGTGTGCCCCATGCCACTGGCTCTCTCAACGAATTGCTGCAGCTGTGGATGGGCTGTCGGGCCACCCGCACATTAATGGACATCTATGTTCAGTGTCTCTCAGCTCTCATTGGTAGTTGCCCAGATGCCTGCGTGGACGCCTTGCTGGATACCTCTGTCCAGCATTCCCCACACTTCGACTGGGTTGTGGCCCACATTGGCTCCTCTTTTCCTGGCACTATCATCTCCCGAGTTCTCTCCTGTGGCCTTAAGGATTTCTGTGTTCACGGTGGGGCTGGAGGCGGAGCTGGTGGCAGTGGGGCAAGCTCTTCTCAAACCCCCTCTATAGACCCCTTCCCTGGATCTCCTGCTATCCCTGGGGAGAAACGGGTGCCCAAGATTGCCTCAGTTGTAGGCATCCTAGGGCACCTGGCCTCCCGCCACGGAGACAGCATCCGCCGGGAGCTTCTGCGAATGTTCCATGATAGCCTGGCAGGGGGCTCTGGGGGCCGGAGTGGGGACCCGTCCCTTCAGGCCACAGTCCCCTTCCTGCTGCAGCTGGCGGTCATGTCACCAGCTTTGCTGGGCACAGTCTCTGGAGAGTTGGTGGACTGCCTTAAGCCCCCAGCTGTGCTGAGTCAGCTGCAGCAACACCTGCAGGGATTCCCCCGAGAGGAGCTGGACAACATGCTGAATCTGGCTGTGCACCTGGTGAGCCAGGCCTCGGGGGCAGGTGCCTACCGCCTGTTGCAGTTCCTGGTGGACACAGCTATGCCTGCCTCAGTCATTACCACCCAAGGCCTGGCTGTGCCGGACACGGTGCGTGAGGCCTGTGACCGGCTGATCCAGCTGCTGCTGCTGCATCTGCAAAAACTGGTTCATCACCGGGGAGGGTCTCCCGGGGAAGGGGTGCTGGGCCCGCCCCCACCCCCCCGCCCTGTGCCCTTCCTAGATGCGCTAAGAAACCATGTTGGAGAGCTGTGTGGAGAGACCTTACGATTGGAACGGAAGCGCTTCCTTTGGCAACACCAGCTCCTGGGGCTGCTTTCTGTCTATACTCGGCCTAGCTGTGGACCTGAGGCCTTGGGCCATCTCCTGAGCCGGGCCCGAAGCCCTGAAGAGTTGAGTCTGGCCACCCAATTATATGCAGGGCTGGTGGTTAGCCTCTCTGGCCTCCTGCCTCTGGCTTTCCGAAGCTGCCTGGCTCGGGTGCATGCAGGGACTCTGCAGCCTCCCTTCACTGCCCGGTTCCTGCGCAACTTGGCACTGCTCGTGGGGTGGGAACAGCAGGGTGGTGAGGGCCCTGCAGCCCTAGGGGCCCGGTTTGGGGAGTCTGCATCAGCCCATTTGTCTGACCTGGCTCCTCTCCTGCTACATCCTGAGGAGGAAGTAGCTGAAGCTGCTGCCTCCCTCCTGGCCATTTGTCCCTTTCCTCAAGAAGCCCTGTCCCCCTCCCAACTCCTGGGACTGGTGAGAGCTGGAGTACATCGCTTCTTTGCGTCTCTGAGGCTGCATGGCCCCCCAGGGGTGGCTTCGGCCTCTCAGCTTCTTACCCGCCTCTCTCAGACCTCTCCAGCTGGGCTCAAGGCTGTCTTGCAGCTGCTAGTTGAGGGAGCCTTACATCGGGGCAACGCAGAACTGTTTGGAGGGGAAGTGGATAGGGACAGTGAGACTCTTTCAGTTGTCTCAGCTCCTTTGGCTTCTGCCTCCCTGTTGGACACAAACAGGCGGCACACTGCAGCTGTGCCAGGGCCGGGAGGGATTTGGTCAGTTTTCCACGCTGGAGTCATCGGTCGTGGCCTCAAGCCACCCAAGTTTGTCCGGTCACGCAATCAGCAGGAAGTGGTCTATAACACCCAGAGCCTCCTCAGCCTCCTGGTGCACTGCTGCAGTGCCCCTGGGGGTCCGGAATGTGGGGGCTGCTGGGGGGCTCCCACCCTGAGCCCTGAGGCAGCCAAAGCGGTGGCAGTGACCTTGGTGGAGAGTGTGTGTCCTGATGCAGCTGGTGCTGAGCTAGCCTGGCCCCCTGAGGAGCACGCCCGGGCCACCGTGGAGCGGGATCTCCGCATTGGCCGGCGCTTCCGAGAACAGCCCTTGCTCTTTGAGCTGTTAAAGCTGGTGGCGGCTGCTCCCCCAGCCCTGTGCTACTGTTCCGTGCTCCTGCGGGGGCTACTAGCTGCCCTTCTGGGTCATTGGGAAGCCTCTCGCCACCCTGATACAGCTCACTCCCCCTGGCATCTGGAGGCATCCTGCACCCTGGTAGCTGTCATGGCAGAGGGAAGCCTCCTGCCACCAGCCCTGGGTAACATGCACGAGGTATTTAGCCAACTGGCACCTTTTGAAGTGCGTCTGCTGCTGCTCAGTGTCTGGGGCTTTCTCCGGGAGCATGGGCCATTGCCCCAGAAGTTCATCTTCCAGTCAGAGCGTGGCCGCTTCATCCGGGACTTCTCCAGGGAGGGCGGGGGTGAGGGTGGACCCCATCTCGCTGTGCTGCACAGTGTCCTCCACCGCAACATTGACCGCCTGGGCCTTTTCTCTGGCCGTTTCCAGGCACCTTCACCGTCCACTCTCCTTCGGCAGGGCACATAGCCTTTTCCAAGCTTCGGAAGCCAAGGGAGGTTGAGCGGTGAGAGAGCTAGGGGGCTAAGGTGCTGCAGAAAGGTGGAGGATTCTCTTCTAAAACCTTGGCCTAAAGAGCGCTGTCACTTTTTTCCTCCCCCATCTTTTTTTTCTAAATAAAATTTGCCGAGTTGAGAAAAGCAGAGTCCAGTGCCTCTGTCTGAAGCTGAGAGCTGGCAAAGTCGGACAGCACCTGGCTCTGGACAATCCCGCCCCCGCCCTCAGGCCACGCCCCTAGACCCGCCTGCCACGGGCATTTATTGTGCGCGCTCTGCCAATGGGACAACCGCCCGGCGCTCTCCGGTCGAGCCAATCAGAAGGCCGGAAGGGGCGGGCGCTAAGATACGTGGCTCAACGCGGGCGGGGGGAGGAGAGCCTCGGGGTCAAGGAGCAAACCCGGCACAAGATGGCGGCGGTAGCGGCAGTGGCGGCGCGTAGGAGGCGGTGAGGAGCCCGGAACCCGGGGGCACGGCCGGGACGCCCCAGGCCCCCCAAGCCCCATATCTCTCCTTCTGTGTGTCCTCCTGAGACTCTGTTATCCCCCGGCCTCGTGAGCAGCCTTTGTCCCTCTGGAGGCGGGCTCAGGCTTTCCCGGTTTCCTCGCGGTACATCCGCGCGGCGTTGGGGGCCCTTGCTTCTGGGGCTCCCAGCTCCAGCCCGGCGGCTCAAGAGGGCCGCAACCGTTCGTTCTTATTGGCCTTGGCGGCTCGCGGCGGTTAACGCTGCCGCCTCCTTCCTGCAGTGTGCGGGCCATCCGGGCGGGGGACTAGACGCGGCCGGGCCTCCGGGAACGCAGTCCGCTGTCCTGCGGGCCCCTCAGCCGGGAAGCCCCGCGGCCTGCTGTCCCGCCTGCACTACCCTTCTTGCCCTACCCCCCGCCTCTCCCCAAGAGTCCCGGACCCTGCCCTGCCCTTGTCTTCACGTGGACACCAACCATGGCTTGTTCGGTGTTCACGGTCGCTGGGCACGGCTGGGGCAGGATCCCGTAAGTTCACGGTCTGCCTGGATGATGGTGCTCAAACACAACATGTAGTCGAATGTTTTGGTCTGCGCTCTCGAGGTTCTGTTACCGAAAAGCAAAAAACAAAAAACGGTTCGAAACAATCACCAGCGCCACAAAACGTTTACCTGGACATAACGGATGTACTGGGGTGGGAGAGGCATGTCCTGTCACCAGCAGTGAAAAAAAGATTGGACTGTAAACTCAACTCTCTGGAAGCCTGTGACCTGAAACAATAAACGGGTGCACCTTACCCTGTGGCTCATTCCTGACGTTGGCTTGTGACCACCTCTTGCCCTCGGGCGTTCAAGGCATCCCTGAGTTCCTAGGGCCTTCCAACAGGTCACATCTGAAAGATCTTTTAGAAATTCTATCCTCATTGGCATTTCTCCCAAGCCCATTGCATAGATTGTGCAAATACGACTCCAGAGGGTATTTAACTCACTGTACTTCTGATTACTGCTGCTTTGGGCAGGTGGACGTGGAGTCAGTGGTTGCAGGGTGCCTGCTGCAGTCACTCCTCAGGATCTGGGCCACAAGTCTTGTTGTTGAGTTTTCTGGTAGCATTTCTTGTGCTTGTTTTGCTACCAGTTATTCCTGCTTGGCCTATCAAAAGACAGTGCCTGGTGTTTTCATCACTTTTCTGTGTGCCCTGGCTTGCTTTGCACATTCTTCTGGAACTGGAGGGCTTACTGTGTTCTGCCATCTCCCTTCTGGTGAATTTTCCTTACGTTTAGCTTTCAGGCAGATGCTGAGGCTAATGCTGAGTACAATGTATATAGTCTCTAGTTAGCAGTTTGCAAAGTTTTAAGACTTAGAAGAAGAGAAGCCTGTGTTTGTTTTCTCTCCTATTTGGGACACTTTAAGAGTGTGCTCCTGGACAACCCACATCCGTCGCTGGGAAAGCGTGTTTAAAATGCAGATTCTCCCAGGGTTCGGGAATCTACATTTACTAAACACTGCAGGTAATTCTTAACAGACAATGAAGTTTGAGAACCTCTGTTTAGGATTTACTGAGAATGGATGAATGTATCTTTCAAACTAACTTGTTTAGCCAATTAGTCCCTTGTCTGTCATTTGATAGCACCTTGGGGAAGTAACAGTTTATGGTAACCTTGGGGTAATGGTCCAGTGAGGCAGGCCCTGCTGGTAGGTAGCGTGCTGTATTGTGTATCATGAAGTACGTGGGCCCCGGAGTCAGGCAGAGCTGAGTTCAATCCCAGTTTCACCCCTTATTAGCAGTTCAGTTTTGGATGGATTATTGAACCTTTTATGCTTCGATTTTCCCATCTGGGAAAAACCCCAACCCTACATTCACCAAGAAAACAACGAAAGAAATGAAAAAGAGGTAGTATGTATCAAGAAGTGGTTTTGAGTGATGGTTGCCCATTAGAGTTGTTTTGAGGAGATTTTAAAAATTCTGATGCCCAGGTCCCGCTTCGTGCCAGTTCGATCAGAATCTCTGGGGGTGAGATTGGCACTTTTATTTATTTATTTTTAAAGATTTTATTTATTTATTTGAGACAGAGAATGAGAGACAGAGAGCATGAGAGGGAGGAGGGTCAGAGGGAGAAGCAGACTCCCTGCTGAGCAGGGAGCCCGATGCGGGACTTGATCCAGGGACTCCAGGATCATGACCTGAGCCGAAGGCAGTCACTTAACCAACTGAGCCACCCAGGCGCCCCGAGATTGGCACTTTTAAAAACTTCAGGCTGAGGGCGCCTGGGTGGCTCAGATGGTTAAGCGTCTGCCTTCGGCTCAGGTCATGATCCCAGGGTCCTGGGATCGAGTCCCACATCGGGCTCCCTGCTCCTTGGGAGCCTGTTTCTCCCTCTGCTTCTCTCTCTGTCTCTCCTGAATAAATAAATAAAATCTTAAAAAAAAAAAAAAAAAAAAAACAAACTTCAGGCTGAGTTGAAAACTAGGGATATAGGCAGTTAGCCCGGACCCTGGGGGTATGTTAGGATTCAGTACATGTGGCTGTTGTTACTCTTTTCAGGCTTAGGTCATGGTAGTGGCGACTTATTTTGAAGATCTAGGAGTGGAGGTCAGAGGAGCAGGATGCCTAGGGTGCTAGGGGTGTTGGGAATCTGGGTATTGTGACAACAGGCTAGCTGAGGGTACATCTTTAACTTTTCCACCGTAGCTCTACCTAATGCCTTCCCCGTGGAAAGGCATGGCTCGCTTTGTTTCTCTGTTCCTCACATGGTGCCACTACTTCCCCTGGGACTGGCTGTTACTGCTCCTTTCCTCTGAGAAGCTGATGTAACCAGAGTCAATACCAGGGCCTCTGAAGGCCAAAGATCCTTTGTCCACTTCCCCTGCCTTTTGAAGGGAAGGTGTGAGTGAGCCAACTCCTCAGGCCTGACATTTCACCCCATGTCCACTGTGCCTTCTCTTCTATTTGACCAGACTCTATTTTTCTCCCCTTTTAGGGTTGTGGTGGGAAGGGGCCTTTCCCTGTGAAGGTGGGGCCTTTTCTGATCTCTGTGCTGATTGTTCCCTCTTTGTCTTTTTTTCCTCCTTAGGTCTGGGACAGGTTTGGTACTCGCTTGTTTAGGGGTCTGCCTGGGAGTTACCCTTGCTGTGGATAGAAGCAACTTTAAGACCTGTGAAGGGAGTTCCTTCTGCAAGTATGATATTTCTTGGAGAGTGGGATGGAAAATAGGGTACTGTGGGAGGTGCTGTGGCAGATGGGGGGTAGCTTGGGGACATTGCAGGTGGTAGAGGGACCTAGGAACATCGGGGAACCTTCCCTCCTTCCCATTTCACTTGGCAGGAGGCAACGAAGCATGCGGCCAGGCCTCTCTCCGTACCGAGCCTTGCTGGACTCTCTACATCTTGGTCCTGATGCCCTCACAGTTCATCTGATCAACGAGGTCACCAAGGTCAGGGGAGAAAAGGAGGAGTCTGGTGGGGGTGGCGAAATGGCTAAGGGGTAATTCGGCAAAGGTGAACCTGTAGCCAACATTCTATCCCAGCCATCTTGGGATTTTGTGAGGAATTCGGATCTCAGATCCCTTAGGTAAGGGGCTAGAAGGAGGAGACCCCTCAGGAGGGAGTGGGTTCAGAGGGCATTCCATGGTGTAGCCCTCTCCCTTCTCCAGATCCAAACCTCTGCCCCCACAGGTAGTGCTGCTGCTGGAGCTCCAGGGGCTTCAAAAGAATATGACCCGGATCAGGATTGATGAACTGGAGCCCCGGCGGCCCCGATACCGGGTGCCAGATGTATTGGTGGCCGATCCCCCCACATCTCGGTAAATTTTTCCTGAGAAACCTATCCATTTCCCTGCTCCTTTTGTCCTTCCCGATTAACCTTTATTTGGCTGATTTTTTTTCCCACTTTGGGGTAACAGCTGACTCTATCTCCTCACTCTGCTAACCTTGCTCCATTTCTCCCTCTGTTTTCATGCATTTTCTCTTCTGCCCTTTTTCTTCTTTCATTCTGCAGATACTGCTTCCAGTTCTGTGCCAGGCCTGGGCTAGGGGCTGGCAATGCAAGAGTAGATAAACAAGGCCCCAGGTCTTGCCCTCCAGTGTTAGTGTCTCTGTGGTTGGTTCCTCCCGTCCTTTCCCTTCCCCTTACTTTTCTCTTTTTCTTTGTTTTTCTTCAGATACTCATGATATGATTACTCAAATTCTTGAATCATGACACAGTGTGATTATGAGTATTCCATGCATGGCTCGCTCTCTCTCTCTCTCTCTCTTTTTTTTAAGTTTGTTTATTTTATTTTTTTTTTTAGTAATCTCTGCACCCGACGGGCTCAAACCCACAACCCCGAGGTCAAGAGTCACATGCTCTGCTGACTGAGCCAGCCCAGCACCCCATGCATGGCTCTCTATTAAGTACCTAATTAATTAATTGATTTATTTTTTAAAAAAGATTTTATTTATTTATTTGACAGAGAGAGAGAATGAGCACAAGCAGGCAGAGTGGCAGGCAGATGGAGAGGGAGAAACAGGCTCTCCGCTGAGCAGGGAGCCGGATGCGGGGCTCGATCCCAAGACCCCAGGATCATGACCTGAGCCGAAGGCAGCCGCTTAACAGACTGAGCCACCCAGGCGCCCCTATTAAGTACTTAATTTAAAAAATGATATAATAAGGGGCGCCTGGGTGGCTCAGTCGTTAAGCGGCTGCCTTCGGCTCGGGTCATGATCCCGGGGTCCTGGGATCGAGCCCCGCATCGGGCTCCCTGCTCAGCGGGAAGCCTGCTTCTCCCTCTCCCACTCCCCCTGCTTGTGTTCCCTCTCTCGCTGTCTCTCTCTCTCTGTCAAATAAATAAATAAAAATCTTAAAGAAAATCTATAGAAAACGATATGATAAACCCTCTTCCCTGTATACCCTTTACCCAGCCCAACCATTACTTCTCACTCTCTGTGGTCCTGACCGCCCCCAGAGGTGAGTGTTACTCTAAAGTTCATCATTCCCTTGTCTTGTTCTTACGGTTGTATCACGTATGTGCACATAAGAACAGATATACATAAACGTATTCGTGTTTGTGTGCCTAAGCCATAAACTACGTAGGTGTGTTTGGTTTTGAGTGTTATAGGGTAAGTATCCTAGTGAATGTGGGCTTCTGGAACTTCCGTTTTTGACATAACTTTATATAACTCTGTTGCATGTAGCTTTAGAAATTCATTTTTACTGCCATATATATTCATACGGTGCCCCATGGTGTTAGCATTTTCTAAGTTGTGTTTATTATTAATTTTTAAATATAATTTTTAATTTTCATATTTCCTATATTTTATATAATCTTATATTTTTAATTTAACTTTAATTTTTTATATGCTTTTTACAAAATATTTATTTATTTGACAGAGAACAAGCAGGGGGAGTTGCAGGCAGAGGGAGAGGGAGAGGCAGGATCCCCACTGAGCAGGGAGCCTGATGTGGGGCTTGATTCCAGGACCCTGGGATCATGACCCGAGCCAAAGGAGATGCTTAACCAACTGAGCCACCCAGGCACCCCTTTAAGTTGTGTTGAAATAATTCTTCTCTATCTCAAGGTCAGAAAAATATTTTTTTTTCTAAAAATCTTACTTTAGGGCGCCTGGCTGGCTCAGTCAACAGAATATACAACTTTTTTTTTTTTTTTTTTAAGATTTTATTTATTCATTCAAGACACAGAGAGAGAGAGCATGAGCAGGGGGAGAGGCAGAGGGAGAGGGAGAAGCAGGCTCCCTGCTGAGCCAGGAGCCAGACGGGCTCGATCCCAGGACCCTGGGATCATGACTTGAGCTAAAGGCAGACACTTAACCATCTAAGCCACCCAGGCGCCCCAGAACATACGACTCTTGATCTTGGGTTTGTGGGTTTGAGCCCCATGTTGGGTGTAGAGATTACTTAAAAAAAAAAAAAAAAAAAAGAATTAAAAAATCTTACTTTAAAATGTTAAGTAATAACCTGTCTGGAGTTGATACTAGTATCTGGTATGAGGTAGGTATTTGGTACCATTTTTTTCCTGTTCAGGAAATCTGTTTTTCTGACTTCACTATTGAATAGTCCTCTTTTCCTCACCAACCGCCATGCTACCTCTGTTACATTTCTAAGTTCTAAGTATGCTTGGGTCCATTGCCAAGCTCTTCTTTGGTTCCTTTGGTGAATCTGTCCGCCCCGGCACTGTCCCCACACCAGCTATAGCTCTTAGCAGTCTCCCTCCCCCCCCCCCCCAAAAGTGTCATCACTACTCTTCACCCTTTGTGCTTCTTTGTATCCCTTTTGATCTCTTTCCCAGGCTTTCTGTCTCTGGCCGTGATGATAACAGCGTGGAGCTCACCGTGGCTGAGGGACCCTATAAAATCATCTTGACGGCGCGGCCATTTCGCCTGGACCTGCTAGAGGACCGCAGTCTTCTGCTCAGTGTCAATGCCCGAGGACTCTTGGATTTTGAGCACCAGAGGGCCCCCAGGGTCCCGTGAGTACAGGGGTTGGGACCGGAGAGAACCTAATGTGCCAGAGCCCAGGGATGTGGTGGATTTGGCCCCGGGTCCCTGGGAGGAGACAGGGTGGCAGGACCACCGTAGGGGCTGGGGCTGGGAAAAGCTGCTCTCGGGGAGAGTAGGAAGCAGACCCGGGTCGCGGTTTTCTCCGTTTCCTGTACAGATCAGGAGGCAAGTCACTTTTGTCTCTGAGCTGTACCCTGGGCACCTCCTCTGGAAGGCCTGCCTGGGTCTGCCTTTCCCTCTTCCCCTTCTCACACCATCACATTTCCCAGGTTTATTTTCTTCTTTTTTTTTTTTTTTTTTTTTTTTTGGTTTCTTTTCCGCCCCACCCCCCATCTCTGGAAGTTTGTCGACTGAAACTCACTTTTATGTTTCTGTTTTTGTGTTGGTTTTGTGCCTCCTTTTCCCCTTCCCTACCCATCTCCTCCTGCCCCAGTTTCTCGGATAAAGTTAGTCTCACGCTCGGTAGCATTTGGGATAAGATCAAGAACCTTTTCTCTAGGTAAATCCATGGCCACTGGTACTGTATCTGTTCCTCTGCCCTTACCTGCCCTTCACTCTGGCCCCCAGGGGAAGGTGCCCCAGACCTTCCTATGCCCTGCCCTTCACTCACCCTTCTTTCCCTAGATACATGGTATCTGGTCCCTGTTCCCCTGTGGGAGCTCCCTAGGAGAAGGAAGATGAAATGCTGGGAGTCCTTAAGGAATGTAGGGTGCTTCTTGCTTTGCCAAGGGGTGGAGAGATGCCGCCTGATGCTGGGGTTTCTGGCTCTTAGCAGGAGTGCACAGAGGCTCTAGGTGGAACTGCTTGCCAGCGGCCCTTGAAAGCTTTCTTTGGCAGAACCTCTTGTTTGAGTCCCTGCATATATCTCTAGAGGCTTGACCATGGTATGACCCACTTGCCTTTGTAAAACCCTGGTGTCAGGCCAAGAGGCTGAGGCCCAGTGAGAGTAGTTGGGGCCAGATTCTCTCGGAGGCTGCAGAGCCAGCACTGACATTGCCAGTTCAGGCACTTGAACCATCCCGCCTGTCTCTTCTGGAATGCAGGCAGAGGCTAGTGATTTAGTCCTGTGTGTGGAAGGCACCTCCTGGTGGCATTTAATCATTTCCCTTTCTCATTTCTCTCCCCGTCCTTTGCATATTGATCTGCTCACTGGGGTCCCTCGCCAAGCTTTAACATTCAGTCCCTTCCTCCAATGCCTTCGTTCCTTTGGACCCTTGGCTCTCTATTCCCTTACCCCTCCTTCCACTAGCCCCTCGTCCCTGCCCCCTCTGGATTGGAGCAGACAGCTCTCCTACCTTCCAGGCAAGGATCAAAAGACCCAGCTGAGGGCGGTGGGGCCCAGCCCGAGGAAGCACCTGGGGATGGTGACAAGGCAAGTCGGTGGGCTGGGTGGTTGGGCACAGGGCTGGCTGGGAGGTTGGAGGGGAAAGGCCCACAGGAAACTTGAGCTCAGTCTCCCCACTGGGGACGGGATTTAGAAGAGGGTGGGGGAAGAGAGAGCTAGTGTGTGATTGGAGGTGGTCTGCTTTCCTCCTCACAGCCAGAGGAGACCCAGGGGAAAGCAGAGAAAGATGAGCCAGGAGCCTGGGAGGAGACGTTCAAAACTCACTCTGACAGCAAGCCATATGGTGAGGGACTGGGAGAGCCTTGGGCAGGGACGCAGGGACTCCTTGTCAAACAGAAGCTTTGAAGCCCATCTTTTGCTTTCCTTCCAGGCCCCACGTCTGTGGGTTTGGACTTCTCCCTGCCAGGCATGGAGCATGTGTATGGGATCCCTGAGCATGCAGACAACCTGAGGCTAAAGGTCACTGAGTGAGTCCCATGGTGACATCAAGAAATGGGGAAAGAGGGGTCGGACGTTAGGGCTGTGGGGCGGTGTCCATGCAGTTTGGATACTCTGGACAAGCATGGATCACTTCCTGTGGCCAGATCACCTTTGGTGATCAGAAAATTCTCCTTTGAGGGGCGCCTGGGTAGCTCAGTCAGTTAAGCATCTGCCTTCAGGGGCACCTGGGTGGCTCAGTCGTTAAGCGTCTCCCTTCGGCTCAGGTCATGATCCCAGGGTCCTGGGCTCAAGCCTCGCATCAGGCTCCCTGCTCAGCGGGGAGTCTGCTTCTCCTTCTTCCTTTGCCCCTCCCCCCTGCTTGTGCACTCTCTGTCTCTCTCATAAAAAAAAAAAAAAAAAAAATTCTCCTTTGAGAAGGGGCAGGGGGGCCAGTTTTTATCACTCACCTGTATCTGTGGGATGGAGGTTGTGGTGCCACAGCCTAGGGCCAGTCTGTCTGTTTGCCTGCAGGGGTGGGGAGCCGTATCGCCTCTACAATTTGGATGTATTCCAGTACGAGCTGTACAACCCCATGGCCCTGTATGGGTCTGTGCCTGTGCTTCTGGCACACAGCCCTCATCGGGACCTGGGCATCTTCTGGCTCAATGCCGCAGAGACCTGGGTTGACATATCTTCCAACACTGCAGGGAAGGTGAGCACGCATGCGGAGAGGAGTAAGAGAGTGAGTCTTCAGGCCTGAGGCAAATGCGTGTGCTAGGGGCGTTTACTTGGAAGAGGCTGGCTGGAGGCTCTTGGGGATACTGTCTGGGGACTGGGTGGGAGAAGGGGCCCTGAGCCTTGGGAGCAGCATTTGAGTTCCCTGGTCCTTCCCAGAAAACACACACTCATGGAGAAAATATTGCTTCTGCATCTGTTGTCAGTACATTTGTTAGTGATCATTTGTCATGTACTAGACACTCTTGGAGGTGCTGGGGATATATTGCTCATTGAGGTAGGAAAGGTTCTTACTCTCAGGGTGGAAGACAGATGTTAAACAGGTAAGAAGGCGGGGTGAGTTCCGCAGCGGTAAGTGTTGAGAAGGAAATGCAGTGATCACAGGGTGGGGACGGAGGCAGTGCTGTTGGAGATGGCGTGGTCCAGAAAAGCCTCACTGAGGAGGTGATACCTGATCTCAGCCCTGACTGACTCCTTAGGACCCAGCTGTGTGAGGACTCTGAAGAAAACATTGCTGCTTTGTCTCTAGGTCAGGGAAGAAGAGGGTGGGTGTCGGACCTGTGTCTCTGGTCCCCTCTGTAGACCTTGTTTGGGAAGATGCTAGACTACCTGCAAGGCTCTGGGGAGACCCCGCAGACAGATGTCCGCTGGATGTCGGAGAGTGGCATCATTGATGTCTTCCTGCTGCTCGGGCCCTCTGTCTCTGATGTATTCCGGCAGTATGCCAGCCTCACAGGTACGTGTGTCCCCTCTCCGCCAGCCAGCAGCCTCCTCCGCTGGCCCTGTCTTCCTGAGACGGGTGCCTCCGTTTTCAAAAATTCTGTGCCTCAGCCTGCTTACTAGCCCAGTACCCTTCTCTCTCTCTCTCTCTCTCTCCCCCTCTCTCCCTCTCTCCGACAAGCCTCCCTCAATTTCTGGGTGTTCCCGATGGCCCCAGGTTGGGCCTGACCCCATTGTGACCCCCGTGCCTGCAGGGACCCAGGCATTGCCCCCGCTCTTCTCCCTCGGCTACCACCAGAGCCGCTGGAACTACCGGGATGAGGCTGATGTGCTGGAAGTCGATCAGGGCTTCGATGATCACAACCTGCCCTGCGATGTCATTTGGCTGGACATCGAGCATGCCGATGGCAAGCGGTACTTCACCTGGGACCCCAGCCGTTTCCCCCAACCCCTTACCATGCTGGAACACTTGGCCTCCAAGAGGCGGAAGGTAAGAGGGCTGTGGTCATGCTCAGTCTTCTCAGGCACAACAGCCCTGGAGAGCTCTGAGCACCCCTGTTCCTTGCCTGCAGCTGGTGACCATTGTGGACCCCCACATCAAGGTGGATTCCGGCTACCGTGTACACGAAGAGTTGCAGAGCCGGGGTCTGTATGTGAAAACCCGGGATGGCTCTGACTACGAGGGCTGGTGCTGGCCAGGTAGGTGGGCCCAGAATTGAGGGAGAGGCTATTGTGAGACCAGGGAGGTAGGATGGGAGCCATTTTGCCCCTTGGAGGTTGATAGCCAGCCTTAACTTGTCCTAGGCGCTGCTGGTTACCCTGACTTTACCAATCCCACAATGAGGGCCTGGTGGGCTAACATGTTCAGCTTTGACAACTATGAGGTACGGCAGCCCCTCCCCTGCCTGCATCTGTCTCTCCCACCCTGCCTCCCTAAGTCTGTCATTCTCTGCCAGCCAGCCCTGCTTTGGTTGGTTGCCTGTATTTTTTTTTTTTTTTTTTTTAAGATTTATTTATTTGAGAGAGAGTGTGTGCGGGGAGGGGGGTGCAGAGAGAGCAGGAGAGAAGCAGACTCCCCCCTGAGGGCAGAGCCTGACAATGGGCTTGATCCCACCACCGTGAGATCACGACTTGAGCCGGTAGTCGGTGCTTAACTGACTGAGCCCCCCAGGCGCCCCTGGCTGCCTGTATTTATTAGGAGCATTTATCATGCTCCTCAGAGGACGCTGAGAAATGCTTTTTGGATTCTTAGGAGTTCTCTGCTCTCACAGTTTGTCTTTTTCCTCCCCTCTGTCCCATTTTCTGCCTCGTGTGCCTAGGGCTCAGCTCCCAACCTCTATGTCTGGAATGACATGAACGAACCGTCTGTGTTCAATGGTCCAGAGGTTACCATGCTCAAGGATGCCCAACATTATGGGGGCTGGGAGCACCGAGACGTGCATAACATCTATGGCTTCTACGTGGTAAGAGGCTGAGTGAGGAGAGCCTGCGGGCTGGGAAACTTATACAGGACAGCAGGCTTTTGTTCCTCACTACCGCTTCTCTCCTGTGTCCACCCAGCACATGGCAACGGCAGACGGGTTGGTGCTGCGCTCTGGGGGCCTAGAGCGCCCTTTTGTCCTGAGCAGGGCTTTCTTCGCTGGCTCCCAGCGCTTTGGTAAGATTTGGAGAACAGAGCTGTGACAGAGGGTGTGAAGGCCAGATGGGAAGAGTGGTGCACCAGGGCCTGCTTCTCGGAGAAATGTGTCCACACGGCTGTCCTCCGGGAGCAGCAGGCTGCATCTCCGTCCCTCCCCCCCGAACCTGCGCACTTTAAGGGGATCCAGGGACGGGGGAGGACCAGTCCCCTTTCAAGTGCTGTTGTGAATTCTGCCACCTTGGACAGGACCCCGGGGGCCCTAGAACAGATGTGGCAGGTCATAGGAGTTGGCTGTATGAAAAGCAGAGCCCCTCCACTGTTGGCAAGCTCCATCTCCCTCATCTTCTCTTAGGAGCTGTGTGGACAGGGGACAACACTGCTGAGTGGGACCATTTGAAGATCTCTATTCCTATGTGTCTCAGCTTGGGGCTGGTGGGACTTTCCTTCTGTGGAGGTGAGAGGGGGAGGAATTGGGGGTCTTGGTTTGGTGGGAGAGGAGCCGGGTAGAGGGCACAGGACCCAGGCACAAACAGAGCAGAGAGTCTAGGGTGGGACCTGGGGGAGCTCCTTAGGATTGAGCCCTCTTTTCACCCTCTTTTCCAACCTCTTTCCTCCCTCCCCTCTCCCAGCGGATGTGGGCGGCTTCTTCAAAAATCCAGAGCCCGAGCTGCTTGTGCGCTGGTACCAGATGGGAGCCTACCAGCCATTCTTCCGGGCACACGCACACTTGGACACTGGGCGGCGAGAGCCCTGGCTCTTACCAGCTCAGTACCATGACATCATCCGAGATGCCTTGGGCCAGCGATACTCCTTGCTGCCCTTCTGGTACACTCTCTTCTATCAGGCCCACCGTGAAGGCATTCCTGTCATGAGGTGAGGCATTCAGCTGGGTCTGCGTAGCGTGGGCTGAGGTGGCTGAGGGACAGTGGGGAACTGGGCTCCATCTCTGGGCCCCTTTTGCCACTCACCAGGGCCTTGTAAAGGAGGGAAATGCTGGCTGCAAGGTCAAGAGTAAGAAGAGACTAAGTAGCAGTAGCAGTAAACATTGCGCCAGGCATTGTTCATCACTGTCCCTAGAGCCTGAAACAAGGCAGACAAGTATTCTTCCATCCTTGGGAGTAAGACACACAGACATGTACACAAATAGGCAAATAAGAAAATTGCCGGGGCGCGTGGGTGGCTCAGTCGTTAAGCGTCTGCCTTCGGCTCAGGTCATGATCCCAGGGTCCTGGGATCGAGCCCTGCATCGGGCTCCCTGCTCAGCGGGAAGCCTGCTTCTCCCTCTCCCACTCCCCCTGCTTGTGTTCCCTCTCTCGCTGTCTCTCTCTCTGTCAAATAAATAAATAAAAGTCTTTAAAAAAAATTAAAAAAAAGAAAATTGCCAACAGTGATAAGCTCTTTGAATAGGGTAATGTAATTTAGTTCTACAAATGGCCTTTTTAAAAAGAAGAAGGACATGTGAGCGGCACCTGGGTGGCTCATTCGGTTAAGCGTCCAACTTTTGATCTCAGCTCAGGTCTTGATCTCAGGATCATGAGTTCAAGCCCCATCTTGGGCTCCATGCTGGGTGTAGGGCCTACTTAAACAAAAAAAGGGCATGTGAGATGAGGCCTGACTAAGGAGGAAGACGGACTTTTGTGATCTAGAGGAAGAAAGTTCCCAGCACAGGAGATTGCAAGTGCAGACATCCTAAAGTGGAAATGAGTTTGTTGTGTTCCAGGGATAGAAAGACCAGTGTGTCTCAGGGTAAGGACCCAGGGGGGGAGGTAGGAGATGCTGTAGGAGAGGAAAATTCGACCTGATGCAGGATAATGAAATGGCCACTGGAATGTTGCTGTGTGGAATAGTTTCAGGTGGAGGCTGGGGAGGAGGAGGCAAGGAGATGGATTAGAAAGTTCAGTGACTAGACCAAGGGTAGGTTGTGTAGCTGAGGCCTACCGCGCAGTTGGGCTGTCTCGCGCAAGCTCCTGGCTTGTACCATGTGCTGTTCTTATTTCCGGTTCCTGGGCTAGCATCTTTGCCCTCTGCCAAGACAGCAGGTGTCTTCCCTTGTTTTCTTGCTTCCTTCCTAGGCCCCTGTGGGTACATTATCCTCAGGATGTGACCACCTTCAGTATAGACGATCAGTTCCTGCTCGGTGAGAAATGGAGGGGACAGTTGCTGGTGGGTTGGGATAGGGCTGAGAAGAAGTAAGCACCTGTGGGAGAGATGTCTGTGGATGCCCAGGGAGGGAGGAGTGAGTGAGGTCAGTGGCACAAGGCGGCAGGCGTTTTGGTGCTCCCTGTCTGGGAACTGGTCCCCTCAGTTCACAGCTGATTCTGGTGTGTTTTAGGGGATGCATTATTGGTTCACCCTGTATCAGACTCCGGGGCTCATGGTGTGCAGGTCTATCTGCCTGGCCAAGGGGAGGTGAGTTAAGGAAGAAAGGGTGTGGTGGGGAAAGGTGGTGAAGGCCAACGAGGGTAAATAGGATGGGGGCCATGTGCAGTGACCTACTGTGTGTTCTGCCACCCACAGGTGTGGTATGACATTCAGAGCTACCAGAAGCATTATGGTCCCCAGACCCTATACCTGCCTGTAACCCTGAGCAGTGTGAGTATGCCTGGCCAGCTGCCAGCTCCATCTGCCTGTCAGTTTCCAGAAGGGGAGAGTGTGTGCTTTGGGGTCCAGTACGTGAGTGGGCACAGAGGGGCAAGAGCAAAAGACACTGCCGGGCCCAAGATTGGACAGTGGGGCAACTTCATCCCCTGCTCTTGCCCTAGATCCCTGTGTTCCAGCGTGGAGGGACAATTATCCCTCGGTGGATGCGAGTGCGGCGCTCTTCTGACTGTATGAAGGATGACCCCATCACTCTTTTCGTTGCTCTCAGTCCCCAGGTGAGCGTGTGGGCAGGGAGCCCCCTCAGCCCTCTGCCTGCCTTCCTGGGATTCAGTCCCTGGGGGGAGTGCCCCCCACTCTCTCTTGGGCTCAGGCTCTCCCCTATCCCACTTCCCGCTCAGGGTACGGCCCAAGGCGAGCTCTTTCTAGATGATGGGCACACATTCAACTATCAGACTCGCCATGAGTTCCTGTTGCGTCGGTTCTCGTTCTCTGGCAACAGCCTTGTCTCCAGGTAAGGAAGTGCTCATTCGTCCTTGGTAGCCTCAGGGATGCTCACAGTGCACTGTGCTCTTTTCTTGCATATGACCTTGCTCTGGGTCTCCTCCTTCCTTCTACTCTGACATCTTTCTCCCTGACAGGCATCTGTTTTTGTTCCCTCTAGCTCAGCAGACCCCAAAGGCCACTTTGAGACACCAATCTGGATTGAGCGGGTGGTGATAATAGGGGCCGGAAAGCCAGCAGCCGTGGTCCTCCAGACAAAAGGTGAGGGGTGAGACTGGCCCCCAGGCGGGGGAAAGAGGGGAAGTAGGGGCAGGGCTGGGACACCTTGCCTGTAGGAAAGCAGTTGCTATGCCGTAGCCTGTTGCCGTGACCATGGAACGCTTTCTTTTTCTCCACCAGGATCTCCTGAAAGCCGCCTGTCCTTCCAACATGACCCTGAGACCTCTGTGTTGATCCTGCGCAAGCCTGGCGTCAACGTGGCATCCGACTGGAGCATTCACCTGCGATAACACAAGGGATGTTGGGGGGTGGGAGGGGGTGCAGTGGTGACGAGAGTTCCTCTTCCTTCTGCCTTGGGGTTTGACCCTCCCCAGACTTCACCTTTCTTATCTGAAGACTCAAATTCTGCCAACATCTGGGCAGGATGAGAAGCTGTCCCTGCACTCTGAATTCCTCCTGTGACCTCCTGACCTCTGCCACCCCGCTGACACCAAGTCTCCCATCGTCCCTCAACACTCTGTTGCTCTAACTGGAGCACATTCACCTGTGAAGACCTGGGGACCATGAGGCCTTTGCTTTCCCTTCTTTTTCCTTTCTTTTGGGGGCCCCGAATCTCCTCTAGACCTTCTTCATTCATACCTCTTGTGTGTTGATGCCATTTCTTGGAAGAAGAAGAGGGCAGTGAGCTTTAGGGCTCCTTTTCTCCTTCCCCTTCCCTCCCCACCAAACTGCTCTCCCTCCTTTTATTTCTTTCTCCCGATTCTTCTCTGTCAGCCCTCCCCTTTTTATGCCCCACTGATACACTGGGACCACCCCTTACCTGATAAGGGATGAATGGATCAAAGGAGTGAGGTTGCTGGAGAACATCCTCTTCCCTGTTGCCTCGACCTTTCCTCTCCCCGATTGCTTCTAGAGCTGCTGCAGTTCTGACAGGGGCAGTTCTATCTTCCCTGTCCTTTGGGGGAAAGAAGTTTCCACTCTTCCTTAAGAGGGGATGGGCATTAAACTTCTTTTGCCCCCTTTTTGTCCCCTCAGGGGGCATTCAAGATGGAGAAATCAGTTGTGGTTTCATCAAATCATGGTCACCTGTATTTATTGCTGGGAGAAGGCTGAGGGTGGGGGGAGATGATCATGTGTGCCCAGGGTTAGCTTGAAGCCCTGGGTGGGGGGTGGGGGAGGACTAACTGGGGACAAGGGGGAATATTTGTGGCAATTTTTTTTACTTCCTCTTGGCCCCCAGCTGCGACAGGTTTTGATAAAAGGAGAAACAATAAAGAGAGAAACCATTAAATAACTGTTGGTGTCCGGATTCTGATTCTGGCCTGAACCACAGACCCTTAGAAGCCTAAGGGCCTGACATTTTCATCTAACTTCAGCATGAGCCTCATCAGTTCAGCAAAATGAATGAGTGCAAGTCTTCCTCAACTTGCTAGATGCCAATATTTTCATCGAGGAGTCCAGCAAGGTCATCAGATTTTAGCAGGCCTAGTTGATAGTGGTGACCAGAGCTGATGGGGTCTCTCTTGAATAGAAACAGCTTTATAGTCATGTTCACATGCACAAGGCTGCTTCTCCTTAGCATCACTTTTTAAAACTCCCCATTGTTGGGGCGCCTGGGTGGCTCAGTTGGTTAAAACTCCCCATTGTTTTGGTGACAGGAAATAGATTTCTCCATTTTGGAGACTACCAGTTTTAGAGATGATTTTACCAGAAACAAGAGGGTTGTGTTTTTTTTAGGGAAAATGCTCAGGAAGGCTTGTGCCTGTGAGTAGTTAGGGGATGTCTTCGTGCAATTTTCAGCTCAAATATTGACGATTTCCTGGGAGGTAGCCCACTGCCTTGGCCCCCCACTCCCTACCCTCCCCCCATACACCGCGACCCTTATTGTCATCCGTTTGAGAAACGTGGGTCAGAGGAAACGGTACAGATTTTGGAGACAGGTATCTAGAAGGGACATAGAAAACTACATAGTGGCAATTTCATAGTTTTTGTCAACCTTGGCTACTTGTCCGTGAAATGGGGACAATACCACCTGTCTCAGGATTAGAGTGAGAAATGCAATGCGTGAGGGCACAGGCCTGGCACGGGAGAAGTCCCAAGATTTCATTCATTCGTGTAACAGGCGTTTGTAGAACTCTTACTGGGTGCTGTGGTTGAAAAGTGAATGAATGAAAATGACGAAATCGCACAGGGACTGGGGTTCAAGGGGAAGGTCTCAAAGTCGCTCCCACCAGGCTTCTCACTGCCCGCCACGCGAGCTCGCCACGCCGGATGTGACGTCACCCACTCCCGTGGTTCCCAGAACTAGGCGGAGGGACCGGAAATTAACCCGAGGGGCGGGGTGCAGACTGACCGGAAGTGGGCCCTGGCGGGCGCCGCGGTTCCCACCTCGCGCGAGCCGGTGGAGCGGAGCGTGAGGAAGGCGGGACACGGGGCGGGACCGCTGCAGGGGCGGGGTCTGCAGGCGGGCGGGCGGGTGGGGGGCGGGGACCCCCTAGTCCCCCCCGGACCCCGCCTGCCCGGGCGGCGGCACGGCCATGAAGCTGAAGCTGAAGAACGTGTTTCTCGCCTACTTCCTGGTGTCGATCGCCGGCCTCCTCTACGCGCTGGTGCAGCTCGGTGAGCGGGGCGGGGCGGGGGTGCGGCGGGCCCGCCCGAGGGCGCCCGCCGCCGTGCATCCCGCCCTGGGGATGAACCCCCGCGCAGACACCATTCAGCCGGCTCGGCCCTCCCACAGCCCTCTGCGGCCGCCGGCGCTCTCCCCTCTCTAGGATGCACCGCCGCTTCCCGCCGCACCTCGGATGAAATGCAGACTCTTTCCCAGAGTCCGCAAGGCCCCGCATGATCCTGTGGCCGTCAGCCTTTCCAGCCCCATTCCCTCTCCCACTCGCTCGCTCTGCTCCGCTCCGGCCGCACTGGCTGCGTGACAGGTTCTCGAAAGCCCACGCTCATTGCTCTCTCAAGCTCTTAACCTGTTCCTTCTGGCTGCGGTGTTTTTCTCCCTGCTCTTCCTGGCCGCCGCTTTCTCATGCTTCAGGTCTCAGCTCAAATGTCACCGCCTCAGAGGCCTTCCCCGACCACCTTAGCTAGCGTTAACTCCTCTTTTTCTGGATTCTCTTTTATTCTCTTACGTGTTTCCTTCGTGGCCCTTATCACAATTCGTAGTGATTTTACTAATTTGTTTCTTTGCTCAGTGTCTGCCAATGCCACTAAACTGAAAGCTCCATGAAGGCAGGGACCGTGTCTGCTTTGCTCCCTGCCGCATCCCCAGCACCTAAGGCTGTGCCTCCCACGAGGAGCATTCAATAAATATTTATCCAATAACGGAATCATTGAATTTTATGAGTCTTTGGTCACACAGCCAAGGGAACAGATGGAACGTTGCCTCTTACACAGAGAGACAAGGGCTTAGGGCTTGATCCTCAGGTATTTAAAAGACAGCCCTGTTTCAGGAGATCTAGTTGTTCTTTACGGCTCCAGAAGGCAACATTCGGATCAGCAGGTAGAAGGGATGGAGGCAGATGATTAGCTCAATATCCGAGTGAAAGCTGTAACAGATGGAATTGATTGCAGTTGGAGGGGGCTGCTGATTGAGGCCATGAGCTCCCCCCGACCCCCAATCAAGGGTGTGGAAGGAAGGGTGTGGCTGCCGGGGAAGTTGTCAGGAGATTCCTGCACTGGCTAGTTGAACAAGAAGGTTATGCCCCTTTGGGATGCTCAACATGCTGTGGTTCTCTGCCCCCATCCCTGCTTCCTGGGACCAGGTCAGCCATGTGACTGCCTCCCTCCCCTGCGCGCAGCCGCAGAGCAGCTTCGGCAGAAGGATCTGAGGATTTCCCAGCTGCAAGCCGATCTCCGCCGTCCACCCCCTGCCCCTGCCCAGCCCCCCGAACCTGAGGCCCTGCCTACTATCTATGTTGTTACCCCCACCTACGCCAGGTATGGGCTCTGGTGTACCCCAGAGGCCTGCATGGGCCAGGAGGTTGGGGTTGATGATGAGTTTGGGGAGGCACTGGGCCAGGTGATGTGCCTCAAACTAGGGCACGCCAAATGACGAGATAAATGAACCACAGCTCGCTCTCCTCAAAGATTTGTGGGAAAAGGGTTTTTTTTTCCTAGTAAAATAGACGGGTATACTCTGAAATAGAATACACAGTTCCTAACACATTTTAAGATAGAACAATAAAGTTTCAAGGAAATGTTGAGCTTGCCCATGAGTTCACTCTCTCTCTCAGGGATCCTTTGGTGAGAAAGTTTGAGGATCCCTGACTAAATTGAAATAGGAAAGGGCTTGGCCTTACAGTCATACTAGGGTCTAGAAATAGTACACCAGCTATGATTTACAGTTTACTCTCTACCAGGCACTGTGCTAAGTAAGGGCTTTCCTTTTTTTTTTTTGTAGTTTTTTTGGGGGTACAAACCAACTGGGGAACATGGTTTTGGATCTATAGCTAAAGAGCCTTCCAACACCTCCCTGGAATCAGGTGGCTGACCCATGTAGGCACAGGCAGCTCTAGACCCTGTCCCCTTCCACACACACAGCACCACCCCTGGGGCAGACAGACCAAACTGCAGGAGAAAGAAGCCTAGAAGAGACTGGGCCACACCTTCCCAGTTTCTTGTCTAAACTCAGGCAAATCCTCCCTTGGAGAGGAATGAGGCAAAGGGCTCCTCTAAATCTCTCTACCTGGAAACCCAGGAAGAGGACCTGGCCCTCCTGGTATTTTGGAAAGTCATTATAATTTCATCTTTAAGACAACATTGTTGTAAAATACCGTTATTCTCATTTTCATAGCCAAGGAAACTGAGGTGTGGGGAGATCTGACCCATTTCCCCCAGTGTCTCCCCTATTAAGTTACCAAGCTGGCATTCAAACCCAGATCTGTCTGATTCCAAAGCCTGTGCCCTTAACTTGTAGTCTCCCACAGCCAGAGCCCTGAGGTTGAGGGGGCTGCCGGACATGGGCTGCAGGAACAGGGCAGGTGAGCGCAGTGTGAAGTTGACAGGCAAGAAGGGGAGTTTGGGTGTTGGTTGGGAAAGACCATGGGGGTTACTGGAAGGGACCCAGGAGAAGCTACGTGTAGGGGCGGGAGTGAGCAGATGGTGCCGACCCCTCGCCCTCCCGTGCATCTTTCCCCCTGCAGGCTGGTGCAGAAAGCGGAGCTGGTGCGCCTGTCCCAGACACTGAGCCTGGTGCCCCGGCTGCATTGGCTGCTGGTGGAGGATGCCGAGGGCCCCACCCCACTGGTCTCCCGGCTGCTGGCTGCCTCGGGCCTCCTCTTCACACACCTGGCGGTCCTCACCCCCAAGGCCCAGCGGCTCAGGGAGGGTGAGCCCGGCTGGGTTCGGCCCCGCGGTGTAGAGCAACGGAACAGGGCCCTGGACTGGCTGCGGAGCGGAGGGGGCGCTGTGGGGGGAGAGAAGGACCCCCCTCCAGCCGGCACGCGGGGAGTCGTGTACTTTGCAGATGATGACAACACCTACAGCCGGGAACTCTTTGAGGAGGTGAGCGGTGGGGGGGCGGGGGGATGGGGAAAGAGGCAGGTGGGGCCAGCCTCGCCGGTTGCCTTGGTTACGGGTGGGAGGAGGGGGAGCAGTGGGGCAGAGTGGCCGCAGCGGCCCTTCCTGCTGCTCCCTTGCCCCGGGGCCACACTCTGTCTGTTTCTTCTCTCCTGACCTCTTAGATGCGCTGGACCCGTGGTGTCTCAGTGTGGCCCGTGGGGCTGGTGGGCGGCCTGCGATTTGAGGGCCCTCGGGTACAGGATGGCCGGGTTGTGGGCTTCCACACAGCATGGGAGCCCAACAGGCCCTTCCCAGTGGATATGGCAGGATTTGCTGTTGCCCTGCCCTTGCTGTTGGCTAAGCCCAGTGCCCAGTTCGACGCCACTGCTCCCCGGGGCCACCTGGAGAGCAGTCTCCTGAGCCACCTCGTGGATCCCAAGGACCTGGAGCCACGGGCAGCTAACTGCACTCGGGTAAGGAGCTGGAGGTGGGCAGAAACCTGGCTCTGGGATATGGAATGGTGATGGGGGAAGCGGAGTAAGGCTTTGGGGAGAAGGATCAAAGGATGGGTGTTTGAACCAGGAGGGACCCTCCAGAGCTTGGACTCAACCTTGCTTACTCTCCTGTAGGGGAAGCTGGGAGCCAGGGAAGGAAAGAGGTCTCCTGGGCACCCACGTAGCACAGAGGGGGTAAGGGAGGGGTAAGGCCCATTTTAGAGGCACTAAAGGCCCCTGCCTTTCACACTTTGCAGCCAACGCTGCGTGTGTAGAGGGGGTGAGAGAATCCGTTCCA